ACACGCATGTTTCGACACCGAGTTTTGATTGGGCTGCTGCTGGGATGAAGATGCCGCAGAAGGCTGTGGATGAGTGGGGTTGTGATGTCTGTCTAGTCACCAACAAAGCCACCGCTGACAAGTGTATTTCGTGCGAGACGCCGAAGCCAGCGCAGAAGACAGCGGCGAACACGCATGTTTCGACACCGAGTTTTGATTGGACGGCTGCTGGGATGAAGCTTCCGCAGAGGGCGGCTGATGAGTGGGAGTGTGGGGCTTGTATGGTTACGAATAAGGGGGATGCTGGGCGGTGTATTGCTTGTGAGAATCCTAAGTCCTAAGATGGAGGGGGAAAATCTGATGTGGGGAGTTGGTGTGGTGGGTGCGGTTGTGCAGTGTCTGACGAGTATTCTACAGCATAGCCTGTCGTGAGGGGTCTTTTGGTGATATGAAGGATTTTATGATAATAAAATATGGTAATCAAAACATTCTCTCGGTGTAAGCTATCCCATAAGTGTTCACGTCTCCATTTGTAATTGACCGGGCTACAGTACTGACGACCGCGCACGTCTGCGAACGAAAGCAGCCGGCAGTCTACGTCAACTGCACCATAAAGCTCGATAACGCCAGCAATTGATCGCAGGACATCTCGATCGACTTCTCCGTATTACGTCGTTGTACATGGTTCAGCAGCTGCACTACGGAAAATTAGTTTAAGGGCATCGAACAACCCGCATCGACAAACTCAACACCAGACGACAACACATACAAAATGTTCGCAGCAAGAAGAGCACTCTACACCGTCTCGGCACGCCCCGTTCTCCATGTGGCTCCCCGTATCGCCGTCGCGACCAGATCATATGCCGATAAGCAGGGTGCGCCGACCAAGTCCCACCCCGATGCCACCATGCCCCACATCACCGAGGAGACCAAGGCATACGAGAGGATTTATGAGAAGGGAAAGCCTACCACCGACCAATCACCAGTGGAGGATGAGGGCGTGACTGCACAGGAGCTGATCGAGGGTGACGCCGAGGCCGAGAAGAACGCACCAGAGGTTGTGAAGGAGAACTTGAACAAGTTCGCCGTACCAGAACCTTTGGAAAAGGGAAAGTACGATGATATTGTCCAGTTATTCGTAGGTGTCATCATGAAGGACGGAAAGAAGGCTCGTGCGCAGAACGTTTTGCAGAAGGCATTTGATGTCCTTAAGCTGAAGACAGGCGGAAACCCTTTGCAGGCTTTCGCGGAGGCTATGGAGAGGGCTGCACCGTTGATGTCAATCCGTACCAGTGTCAAGGGAACCAAGAAGGTTCAGGTGCCTGTACCATTGAACGAGAGACAGAGGCACAGGCATGGAATCAGGTGGATCATCAAGCAGTATGTTGCACATGATTCTCGGCAAATGGATGAGCTAACAATTTTTGCAGCTCCGAGTCACGAAAGCACAAAGAACTCCACTTGAGGATTGCGGATGAGTTGCTTGCTGTCTTGGATGGAACCAGCAACGTGTTCAACGACAAATTCGAAGTTCACAGGCAGTGCTTGCTTAACCGTGCCAGTGCTTCTGTCCGTGGTTAAGTGTACAACTATACCAGCCTACTTGAAGGCATTATTTAGCATAGCAAAGAACTATTTGGATAATTCTCGTGTTCGTCCCTGTTTGAAACCCTGCGTCATAATCTGCACGGTTAAGTCCCCACGTAAACCCGGCACTTGCAATTGAGCACAGCGCATAAACAGTCAACATTTGAAGGGCAACCAGTTCCAACACCCTGATGGATCAAGAAGATTCAACGAATAGATCATCAATAGAAAGCCTTGCAGCATCTGGCATCTTACCTGTTGACCTTCCTCGATCACTGGACGACGCACGACCATTGTCTTTACCTAGAGCAGCATCCAATTTTCTCGATCCATGGACAAGTCAGAATACCGAACCAGATGATTTACCACTACCGCAACCAGCGCAATTGAACTTCGGCTTCGGCGGTGGAGAGGAAGGGGACGATGTGGATAGCATTCTCAATGATCCGTCGTTATCCGACTTTACCAGGCGACAGCAATTGCAAGAGGTGTTTGGCCGAGCGGCATCAAATGGCGATCTCGACGTAATACGAAAAGTTATTGATGGACCGGGGCAGAAACTTGTTGATGTTGATGCGCAGGATGAGAGTGGGACGACGCCGTTGATCATGGCAGCGTGTTTCGGTCGAACAGATGTTGTGAAGGCATTGTTGGAGGCGCACGCGGATGTGAACAAGCAGGACAAGTACGGGTGGACAGCTACGATGTGGGCCTCAAACAACAATCATCCGGATCTGATTAAGGAGCTTGTTGCGCATGGTGCGTCCACCACGACGAAGACTACGAGTGGGCGAACAGCATTGGATTTCGCGGCGCCGGAGACATCTACGGAGGTTGCTGGATTCTTGACGAGAGGTAATGACGATAGTCCTGAGATTGGGACGTTGGGCATGATGGCTGGTTCGGACGATTGGTATGACCGAGGCGGGTTCTCGGAGGATAGGTTTGAGGAACAGATGGCTGAGGATGAGTTTCAAAAGAGGTTGATGATGGAGAGTGCGGCGAATTTGGAAGTGGATTTGTCCAGTTTGGGGTTGGATGATACGACTGATTCGCCATTTCTGGAGGAGATTGATGAGGGGCCGTCGTTTGATTATAGTCGGTGTTTGCCGTCGCAGATGTTTGTGTTTTCCGAGGAGGACCTACCGCATATCTTTGATGTTGTCATCACCCGGATGCAGCCCGTGCGGTCACCAGCCCAGAAGCCTGTTCCTGCCAACGTGCTCTTTCTCTGTGCGAGATTTGCACATTATTTCAGTACGCCAGAGTTGATGATGAAGCTGCTGGATGGTGCAGTGCTGCGGATACAGGATGTCACCAAGAAGCGAGCAGAAGACATGGCAAATCTGGCGTTCTGGATTTCGAACTGCACGCTGCTGTTATACCATATGAAGAAGGACCAGGGTTTAGTGGGCGTAACTATTCCACACCAGCAGGAGATTTCGGAGCTGATCAACGATATTTGGATGCTGCTCATCCAAGATGCGGAGCGAAGACTGGATAAAGTTCTCGATGCTGGAATGTTGGATAATGAGACCATTCCGGGCTTGCAGAATGTGCAGTTCGAGAATGAATGGAGATTATTCAGGTCGCGGAAGAAGGAGGCGCCTGTTGAGGGCGTCCGGCCACCTTCACCACGGCGAAGAGCCGGACCCTCGCCGAGGAATATCACATCATTGCTGTCATCGACATTGTTCGTGATGGAAGCGTACGATGTGCACCCTGTCATTATCGCTCAAACCTTTTCGCAACTGTTCTTCTGGGTTGGAGGAGAGCTGTTCAACCGCATAATCACGAAGAAGAAGTACTTGGCACGAAGCAGAGCAATGCAGATCCGAATGAATGTCAGTGCTTTGGAAGATTGGGCAACGCGCACCAACATTTTACGAAAAGAGGAACAAAGCGAGATGTCGTCACAGCCGAGCATCCATGAGGCAGCACGGCACCATCTTATACCTGTTAATCAGCTCCTACAGTGGCTGCAGGTGTTATCGTCGATTGGGGATGATGTAGATGCATTGGAGACTACCCGTGAATCACTGCACAGACTCACCCTGCCACAGCTCGCACGGGCAGTGCGAGATTACCGGTATGAAGTGGGTGAAGGCAAGCTTTCTTCCGCGGTGAAGAAGATTATCTTTGATGTGCCGACTCAGAAGGCGGATGAAAAGCAGAAGATCGACAGTCTGGCTGATCATCTGTATGAAGAGGAGGATGCGATCACGTTGGATACCACGTACATGTTACCATTCAAGCTTGCCACTACAACTGAGATGATTCTCGCGTACGGTGCCGGTATCGGTGGTACGAACCGGGAAAGGGAGAGAAGATATACCCCGTTCCTTCCTGCCGAGTTTTTGGATAAGCTTGATGCGGAGAAGAAGAAGGCTCAGGGCGAGATTGAATCTGGGAGTAACGGCAAGACTTGGGAGGAGGAGGCTGCTGGTATCGAGGATCTGCGCAGAGCTGATCTTTCGACAGTGGAAGCGCGATGGTAACAGCATAATGATTCCACTCTTTGGCGTTTTCGGTGCGCGGTTAGGAACAAGACTAGCATATGATACAGGCATGAATTACAAGCGTTATCTGTCTTAGTCTCCTCGTATGTGTAAATGATCGACAATCTCGATGGTTTCATGTCCTAACGGCTCTTGTACACCCGTGCTCGTTCAAAATATTAAAAGACATCTCAAACATGGTCTCCTGAATCTATTCGTACACCTATACTCCTTGTAATTGGCCTTCATCGAGTTGCGGAAGCTCTCCATACCTCTCAGTCTTGACAACTGGTGTACGAAAAGCATACAACCGGTCCGGTCTGGTATCTACGCAACGTCCAAGAGATCGATCACTGATAGCACACACATCACTCTCAACGGCATTGTGAAGCGCACTCGGAGCTCAACGTCAAGGAAGCGACCACTCCTCATCGATGTTTCGTCTCCCGGATCGGTCTCGGAATTTCCCACGCTATGATTAAGCTGCGAAATAAATACCCAAACTATTCTTGCGCTGTTGACATGGCATGCTGCCATTTGTACAAGATTGGTTCCCTCAGAACTCAGTCTTCAAACAGGCATCTTCAATGGTTGCCACTGACAAGCCTTTCATCCTGGGTTTGGTGTAAGCATCCGTGCGTGTAAGGGCGTCGACATGGACATTGGAAAGCACAACGCGTGTTGCTTTGATAGTCATCACTTTTCAGTCCAACGATCGTAGATATCTGTTCTCATAGCATGCACACGATGTCCTTTGAACATCCACAAGGACTGTAACTGCAAAATAACACCTCCAAACAAGAAATCGTTCAGATAACAAATATATGGTTGCGCTCACTGTCACGATAATCGTTTCGGCCTGTTGGCGCAATGGTTAGCGCATCCGTTTCCGGTACGGAAGGTTCCCGGTTCAAGTCCGGGGCAGGTCGCCTGTTTTTGTTTTTTTTGTGTGTCATCTGACCTCCCTTTAAGCATAATTCGTGGACGCGAAAGGGTCTTGGACTGACGAAAGTCCTTTTTATTGCGCATCCAGTTCGCCTTTGATTGCTGTGAGCTTTCGCCCGTGGCAACTCTGCTCGTGGCTTCCCGAGTTCGGCAAAGTGCTCTTCCCCAGTCCTTGCCCCTGCAACGTTGACATTCGCATCTTTCTCCCAATATTTCCACATCCACCAGCTTGGGGAAAAGAACCAAACGCGAATCATGTCGGAATCACCAATAATCGAAACCATCTCCTCCGTCCCCGGCGGCCACCCCTTCCAATCCCTCGACATCCTCCGTCCTGCATCCTTCGACTCCTCAACCGTCTCCCGCTGGGTCATCTTCATCCACGGTGGTGCATGGTAATCTTGAAAGTGAAGATTCTTTTACAACAGAGACTGACGACTTCAAAAAATTACAGGCGAGATCCAAACAACACCAGCAAAGACGGACATCCACTCCTCACCTCCCTCCTCTCCACCACCACAACCACCACTTCCCCTCCCTTCGGGTGCGCATCACTAAACTACCGTCTCTCACCCGACGTAACACACCCCGCTCACCTGGATGACTGTATCTCCGCTCTCCGCCTGCTACACGAGCAATATGGTATGCAAGAGTATATCCTCGTCGGGCACTCCGCCGGTGCGACACTGGCATTCCAAATCGCCCACGCCCTTTCACCCTCACAGAAAGGAGACCTCGGAACCCTGAAATCATTAATATGTACAGAAGGCCTCTACGACCTCGCTGATCTATGCACGGAATACCCTGACTACACCTCCTTTGTCGAATCCGCATTCGACTCGGTCCGTGCCGCATCGGTCGCAAGTCCGGTGAATCTGTTAGAAGGTGTGGAGAAAGAGGGGGTTGAGGTTGTGTTGGTGCAGAGTATGGAAGATGAGTTGTTGAGTCCGTGGCAGACGGGTCTTATGGAGGAGAGGTTGGAGAGGAGGGGGTGGAGTGTTGAGGTTAGGGGGGCGGCGGGGAAGCATGATGAGGTGTTTGTTGGACCTGAAGTAGTTGAAGTCGCTAGAGAGGTGATCGAGAAGGTGTGGTCGTAAGGTTTGGGGGTTGTGGTACGGCAGGGGACATTGAAGCGTTGACGGATAAGAATGCTACGAACAAGGTAGACGTGATAGAGATGCACCAGTATGCTTATTAGGCCTTCGCGTACGAAAGGACTGCCTCCTAAATCTAATCAAATGACCAAGCACCGAAACGCCAGACCCAATTGCTCAAACACCCCGGGTATGACGCGTCCCAGATTTCCAGAACGCGTAAAGCTTCAAACGCCATATCTCGCATCCCATCACGAGAAATCCAATGACATCTGCGCGGCAACAGCCTGCAAATCATCAACCTGTAAGAGCATTGTGAGCATGAACCTCTTGATCCCCATCAAAGCAATCACCTCGAGCATGACAGCCCTATTCTCATCCCCCTCCTTCGCCATCCTCGCTTTCTTCTCTGCGACAGCGCGGTGTACAGCTTCTGTACGCAGTTGTTAGCTCACGATCCTCAAGAAAAGAGGCTTACAAAGGCATACCAGTTGCGAAGATTTTCAGGTATTCACCCGCCATTGCAAGTGCGGCGGCATTGGTCTTTGTCTCGTCAGGATGTGCGAAGGCGCGTTGGAAGATTTTGTTGAGGGTTTGTGGAGGGAGGGAGGGCATTGCTTGGAGGTCGAATACCTCGTTGGTGGTGCTTGTGTTTCCGTTTGCGTCTGATGACATTGTGGATGGCTGGGATGGTGTTTTGTCTACGTTACCGAGGAGGTCTTTTGTGCCTGGCGGGATGTTCGATGATGATGTAACAGCCAAGGGTAGTCCCAATCGATCCGCAAATGGATCGCCTTCCCTTAAGATCCTCCATAATCTCAATACGAAATGTTCACGCGCATCACTCGCCATTCCGCTTCCCGCTCGATCACCTCCACGGTTTTACGTCATCCTTACCCACCCCTCTCCCACCTCGCCTATAAATCCCCTCTCACCTCCTCCATTTCCAATGTCAAACCGATCAGAACCTTCACAACAACACAAATTAGAAAAATGCCCACCAACGCCGCTCCCACAGCAGACCTCGTCGCTTCCTCCCTCTTCGACTGTTCCGGTCTCGTTGCCGTCATCACCGGTGGTGGAACGGGTATCGGTCTCATGATCGCCCAGGGACTCGCCGCGAACGGTGCCAAGGTCTACATCATCGGTCGTCGTAAGGACGTTCTCGAAACTGCGGCGAAGGAGCACGGATCCGACACGAAGGGTGAGATCATCCCCCTTGTAGGCGATATCACGGATAAAGCGCAGATCGAGGAATTGGCGCGCCAGATCAAGGAGAAGGAAGGACAGGTTAACTTGCTTGTCAACAATGCCGGTATCTCGGGTCCTACTGGAAAGGCAGAGGGTAAGGACGCGGAAGAGTTCAAGAAGAATCTTTGGGGACAGGAGTTCAGTGAGTGGAATGATGTCTGGAACACCAATGTCGCTTCGCACTACTTCACCACCATCGGATTCCTTCCCCTCCTCGAGGCGGGAACGAAGTCGAAGACTGGATTCTCTTCGTCGATTATCAACATTTCTTCGATTTCTGGGTTGACGAAGGACCACCAATCCCACTTCGCGTACAACTCCTCCAAGGCCGCATCGATCCACCTCACCCGCCTCATGGCAAAAGAGTTCGCGCCTCTCAAGATCCGCGTGAATACCATCGCTCCTGGTGTCTTCCCCTCGGAGATGACGACGGATGAGTCCGATGACAGGAATGTCTCCGTGTATGACAAGGAAATGGAGATTCCCGCCGGAAGAGCTGGCGATGTCAAAGAGATGGTTGGGACGGCGTTGTATTTGGCGAGTAAGGCTGGGTTGTACACGAATGGTGTTATTATTCCGGTTGATGGTGGGTTTTTGTTGAGTGGACCTTCCGCTTACTAAACCAAAACGTCACGGATGTGGTAGGATACGATAGTGGATGACTAGGAATATACCAACTGGCCTTGATGGTCCACCTTTTTATGAAGTTATTTTTGCTACGGCAGCTGTGCTGCCCTTGTCCACTGTTCAACGGTACCCGTTCTTCCCACGCTCATTGAGAAAACTTCAACGAACCAACCTTGAACGTCCGTGAGTTTAACATAATCATTCGTTGATGTCTAGAAGTGTCAAGACATTTCACGGCTCATGATACATTTTCTGGACGTCTGACTCTCATTACTCTCCGGCATGCTTGGTAATTAAACCTTGTTTCGTAGCATGCATATCCGCGTTTCAAACAGACTCCCTTGCTCGAAAAAGCTTACCCAAGCAGCAGGGATAAGAAGGAAAAATGCCCAGCCTCCTTCTGACGCCCCCTTCTCTATAAATCCCCGTCCTCCTCGCTGATTCGAGGTTTGTCCTCAGTCAACCCACTCACTACATCCCCATCACCAAAAGAAGACGCAGGTCGTCTTCGAGTTTTTGTGTTTCGTTTCACTTCATCCGTTTAAGTTATCAGTTTTTGCGGAGCAGGTCTCTTGCAGCATTCCATCTCTTACGTTCAAGAATCATTCGATAATGTACGCCTTCTCTACGATCACCTCTCTCCTCGCCTTCTCGGCCGCACTGGTTGCTGGTCAGGCCAACATCACGGCTGCTTTCCTCAATACCACTGCTGTCAATGTTACGAGCAGTAACAAAGCTATTGATGGCGGTGCGTTGGCGAACACCTCTTACGCCTCTTCGTCGGCTGTTACGCATGTTGTCGAGGTTGGAAAGGGTGGGTTGACCTTCAACCCGCCCCAGCTCCAGGCTGCCGTCGGCGATATGGTCCAATTCCAATTCTGGCCCAAGGTACTTCCCATCACTCTCCCCTCCCCCTTCATTCACCTAACCGTTGTCGAACAGAACCACTCCGTCGCCCAAGCCGCCTTCGCAAACCCCTGTGCTCCCATTCCCGCCGCCGCCGGCGTCGCCCAATTCTGGTCCGGCTTCATGCCCGTCTCTAACTCCTCCACCTCCATCCCGACCTACACCATCCTCGTCAACAGCACCACTCCGCTCTGGTTCTACTGCTCGCAGGGAGACCACTGTCAAAGCGGAATGGTCGGTGTGATTAACCCTACTTCCAATAAGACGCTCGAGGCGTTCAAGGCTAGTGCGGCAAAGGCGACGGAGAACCTCAGTCCCGGGCAGGTTCCGGTTACTGGGGCCAATGGGACGGTGGTCGGGGCGAATGGTACTGTGAGTGGGACTACTGGGGGGCGTGTGAACTCTACTTCGGCGAATGGGACGATTGCGAGCTCTTCGACTGGTGGTGCTGGACACTTGAATGTCGATGTCATGACTGTTACCTTGGCTGTTGTTACCGGTCTCATTGGGTTTTCCTTCGTTTAGATAGCCTTGGTGAGTTGTGAGATCTCTGGGCGTTGTTTGGATGATTGTATATTCTTGGTGATGGAATCTGATAACTTAGACACAACACGATGTGCACTGTTCGTAGTAACGTAGGGCATGATGAGCGCTGTAAAGGTCCAGAGCACCTGAATTAAGGTAGGTCTTTTTTTGAACGGGGTCGTAGGGGTTAGTCACCTTGCTCTCAGTAGTTGACAAGGCCCAGACTGGTATGTACAAACCTTATTATTGACCCAAAGGTATGCGATCTAAATCAAAAGCACCGAACGAACGCCGGTTGAACAACGCCGCAGCACAAGAAACCCTAATCTTGCATATATTGCGCAATCTATCGTACCACGCTTCGTGAATGTTGAATATTCGTAAAGCCACTCAGCCTCATTACATCCCAAAACAACCTCTTTCTCCCTCCTCGATATCGTGCTCACCTTCAGATCCTCCGTTCGCTCTGAACATTTGGCCTTTTGACGCCTAGATGATGTACTTCACAACCACCTGCAACAAGCATGCGCTGACAATAGGAATGACCACATTGTCATCCAGGCCAAAGACATCCAATTGCTCGGCGAAAGCTCCAATGATACCCGTGATGGCGCACAAACCTCCCAAACTGACCTTGCTGGTCTTCGGGTTCCAGCTCAAGGTTTCGGCAGATCCACCTCCGGGGAAGAAGTACTCGTCCTTGTAAGTAGCCAATACGCCCCAGAAAAGGTAACCAGCAGCAGAACCAACCGCGGCAGCAGAAAGGGTACCGATGAGGGACTTGCCGGGGCGAAGGGAAGGACCGTAGCGTCCCCACGCACGACCGAAGCCAGAGGCAGCAGTATCGCACCACGAAAGAAGAAGAAGAGAAACAATGGCAATGTCCTGTGAGAAGGTGCATCAGTGGGACATTCCACGAAATCTTACGATCAAGAAGCTTCTCACCTTGGGGAAGAATTTCATTACTGTCCAGGCACCGACGAGATACCAGATAACTCCATTCCATCCCATACGTTCCGACTCACGCATCAAGAAGCCGAGGACACGGATGTAGAAGTTGTTGAAGTTTTGATAATTGAAACGGAGCCAATCGGCCGCAACGATTGGGACCAACATGTAGAGGAGGAAAGGGGTAACCGAGGTGGCCTCGACACCGGCACAGTACATCGCAAGTGCAAGGAAGCCGATGGAAGAATGAAGTGCTTTTCTTTGGAGCTGTTTGCTGGTCAGTTATATTCATTGAACTGCAGATTTTCAACAAACCTCGTAGACACGCGCAATCCTTGCCCAGAACGTCTCCTTCAGCACAATCTCTTCCTCATCCTCAACATCACTCGCCAAAATAGACTTGCTCCGTCTTCTTCTCGGTCTTGATCGTGCGGTATCATTCAACTCTGATCCCGAACTCAAGGCTGACTCGCGTTCAGGGGAAACGGTTAGGATATTGTTCTCATCGAGAGATGTAAGTCGTCCTAATGACGGGGTACCCGTAGGCTTTGTCATCGACCGTGTTGCTGGCCTGTGAGTAGGCGATGGAGACGACATTTTCGCTGTTCTCTCGATCTTCTTGGTTTTGTCGAAGTATGGGATTTTGTGAGACGTGTCGACGTTACAGCTCGACGCGCCAGACGTCACCCAAGAGTACGACTGACCTGTAAATATCCGGATATCTGGAAAGCCTCCGAAAACTCATGAAATCACTGTGAGAGGGTCAATTGATACTGGGTGAATATGGCCTCGCTACTTTCTTCGATCACGGGGCGGAAGACAGCTTCTTCACCGCAGAAATCACCGTCGAAGGCATCGTCTCGACCACCGCTTGTTGCTCGTGCTCTATCACGGCGGACGACATCGGGACTGTCTGAGACTCAAGAGCAGGACCGTGTTGTGCTTGACATCGGCTGCCGGTACATCCGGGCAGGGTTCAGTGGAGAGGCAACCCCATTGGCCTCAGTACGCATGGCGACAAAAGGCATGAAAAGGCATTGGGAAGGTGGACGGAAGACATGCAATCCTGTGTGTATGCTTGAAGGGGAAGTTGGGACGCTATGGGGACTGGATGTACGGGATTGCGACACGGGAGTGCTCGACGATACACTGGAATTGTACCTCCGGCAAATATACCAAAGGTACGTTCGTACCAGATTCTTTCGAGGGCAAGAGATTAATGTGATCGCAGATACCTCCTCGTCGACAGCAAAACCAAGAAAGTCATCCTGACCGAATCACCGCTAACGCCAATACACATCAAAATGGCAATGGCACGAATACTGTTCACCTACTTCCAAATCCCCTCAATAACCTTCATATCCTCGCCAACCGCAGCCTGCGTCGCTTCCGGCGTCCGTAACGGGTTTGTGATAGATATCGGATGGCAGCAGACTATCATTACCCCGGTCTACGATTTGCGACCATTGACACCGTTTATCGTCCGTACAGGTATAGCAGGTAATCGTCTCCATAGACGTGTCGAATACCTCCTCCGAAACTATGGGTTTCCCCCACTACCGCCAAACTCTCGAGCCGAAGACACTGAAGACTTCTGCCAACGCGGCTTAATCTGCCTTCCCACGACACGAATTCCGTCACCCAAAACCACCGCAGACGAAGATTTCCGATCAACATATGACAGCGATACCCGTACCTCTGACGTCGAATGGACTGCACCGACGACTGGAGAGCGCCACATGATTCCCGGCTGGATCCGGGATGCGGCGGTCGAGATCTTCTTCGAGGGTGCGGAGGACGAGTATCAGGATAATGATGCGAGGTCACTACCCCAAGCCGTGACGCATTCTCTCCGGAAATGCTCGAGGGACATTCGTGCGCAGGTTACGCGGAACGTCATCCTCACAGGCGGCTGCTCCAATATCCCTGGTATCCGTACCCGTATCCGATCCATCGTCCAATCCTCACTCTCCAAAATAACTGGATCGGCGGATGCCGGGGAGAGGGTGAGGGTACTCGAGACTCCGAATGAAGCGGCATGGGTTGGTGCTAGTTTGTTGGGGAGTATGCGGGTACAGGGATTATTTGAGATTACGAGGGGTGAGTGGTATGAGGGTGTTGGTGTGCCGGACTGGACGCAGTTTAGGGAGATTGTGGGGGTGGAGGCGGAGGCGAAGGGATGATCGAGGACGGAGGGGGGAGGAAATGAAAGCTGTAGCTTATAGCACAGATATCTTGCGGTAGTAGCCAAAGGCAAGACCGCAGACAGCAGAGCAGGACGTCAAGGGACGGACACAGCAGGCAAGGGAATATGCAATGTATTTTCGATTCCGTATGCAAACTATGCATGATCTTTATACAAGAAACTTTTAGAGGACCCCAAAACTCCGGTTTGAACAAATAGCCTTTTGCCAACTTATAATCACACACTCTCTTTTCACCACCACCTTACATAGTAATCTCCCTCGTAACCGAGTAATCATCCAATCCCAATCTCGTGATCGTCTTCACATACGACTCCGGATCCTTTCTTCTCAGATACTTCAACAAACCCTGCCTCTGGTGCACCATCTCCCTCAAACTCTTCCAGGCAGCAAGGTCCTTCTTCTGGACTTTGCAGTGTGAGGCAAGGAAGTGGATCCTGGCCGTCAAGATCGCGGATTGGACTTCGGTCGAGCCAGTATCTCCCGGAGCGCGCTGGAACTGGAGACGAGCGTACTCGATGTTTTTAAGTTGAAGGGCCGGGGAGTTGGATTGCTCGAGGTTGAGAATACGTGCCATTGCAGCTTTCTTGTGTGCAGCCACTTTACGGATCTCAGCGACTTGGTAGGCGGGAGACATGGTGTTTAGTTTTGCGGGTTTGTTTTCGAAGAATTGTTGCGCATCGTCCGACGTAGCCTGCAATTCGGAAAGCAAAGGCTTGCTTTGGACGGTTTCTTCCTGGTTGGGGCCACCAGCGAGGAAGATCTTGGTTCCTTCCTCAATTTCTTCGGGTGTTGCGTCAAGGGCACGGATTTCTGCTTCCTCGGCTGCGTCAAAGACTTCGCGGGCGTGTTCTGAGGTGACGAAGAAATTGGCCCGGTCAGGCCATTCTTTTTGAACCTTCTCGGTCGAGGACAAGAGAATCTCTGTCGGGCGGAGGAGGCCCCTGGTAAACTCTGTTGGTCGTCCAAGGATGTAGTCACTAGTATTCGTGCGCTGCACCTTGAGCTCTGCCTGCCTGGCGATGTTCTTCTTCTTTAGACGGATGGCTGCAAGTCTGCGTTTGGTGACCTTGTGTACGGGGGCGGTGGAGGAGAAGGTACGGGCAGCGATGTTTGAGGGGATGGAGAGGGTGAGGGAGCGGAACGCGGAGGTGAGGGAGGTTGATCTGTTCATCGTACTGGCAATGGCGATAACGCGAGGACGGGCGAACGAAAGGAAACGGGGGAAAAGCGACAAGCTGCGTAAACGGGTGGACTCTGATCTCCCTCGAATGCGAAGACTTGAATCAGGCGAAAAGGCCGTTGAAGATGATACAAGAGGTTCTGGTTGGATTCCGTCTGGCTCCAGGATTTCTTCGAGCAAGGTGCGGCGATCGCTGCTTGTTCGGGGTGTAGTCAGGGCGCACGAAAAAAGTGGCCAGGCAGAACGGCGAGCGAAACGAACGACGACCTCGACGACCTCGACGACCTCGACAACCCCGACGACTCGACTATCCCGCCAGCGCACGATACAATGGGTGGACTTCTGTACGTCTCCTTCGCTCCGTTTATCGTTGGATCAGGCTGACCTCTCTTGCAGTATTCTCGCTGAAACCAGTGCCGGTGTTGCCGTCTTCAAGGTTAGTCCCATTGCTCGGCAAATGGAAAGGACGAATGAATCACAGTCCTTTCTGAATTTGCGCAAGCAAACGCAAATAGAATGATGAGATGTTGACTGTGTCGTTTTTCTATTTGTAGGCAAAGGACAAGATCCTCAAGAAGCCCGAGAACCTTGCCGAGGAGTTCCAGACCGCTGAGGGTGCTGCCAACTTGTATGTTGTCATTGTCGCTGGAGTCATATACAGATGTTAATTGTTGCGCAGGTTGAAGCTCCAGGCTTTCTCCAAGTTCGAGTCTACTGCCGATGCTCTCGACACCGTCAACGCCTTGATCGAGGGTAAGGTCTCCTCCAAGCTCCAGAACATCCTCGAGGACATCTCCGACAAGAAGTCTTCCCTCGTTGTCGCCGACCCCAAACTCGGTAACGCCATCAACAAGATCGCCGGCCTCGACTTCAAGATCATCTCCGACTCCACCGTCGCCCCTCTCTACCGTGGTATCCGCGAGCACCTTTCTTCCCTCATTACCGGTCTTACCCCCGATGACTTGAAGATCATGTCCCTCGGTCTCTCCCACTCTCTTTCCCGTCACAAGCTTAAGTTCTCTACCGACAAGGTCGACACTATGATCGTCCAGGCTATCGCTTTGTTGGATGATCTCGACAAGGAGCTCAACACCTACGCTATGCGTGTCAAGGAGTGGTACGGATGGCATTTCCCCGAGATGGGCAAGATCTTGTCCGACAACCTCGCCTACGCTCGTGTCGTCAAGACCATGGGTTTCCGCACCAACGCCTCTACCACCGACCTTTCCACCGTCCTTCCCGAAGAGCTCGAGGAGGCTGTCAAGCAGGCCGCTGAGATCTCCATGGGTACCGAGATCACCGACGACGATTTGGAGAACATCAACCTCCTCGTCGACCAAGTCCTTTCTCTCTCCGCCTACCGTGCGCAGTTGTCCGACTACCTCCGTAACCGTATGCAGGCCATCGCTCCCAACCTTACCGCCCTTGTCGGAGAGTTGGTTGGTGCACGGTTGATCGCCCACGCTGGTTCCCTCATCAACCTCGCCAAGCAGCCCGCTTCCACTATCCAGATTTTGGGTGCCGAGAAGGCCTTGTTCCGTGCTTTGAAGACCAAGCACGACACACCCAAGTACGGTCTCATCTACCACGCCTCCCTCATCGGACAGGCTGGTGTCAAGTCCAAGGGTAAGATCGCGCGTATGCTCGCTACCAAGGCCGCTCTCTCCCTCCGTGTTGACGCGCTTGGCGACGAGAAGAACGACACTGGCGCCCTTGGTTTGGAGTCGAGATTGAAGGTCGAGAACCGCCTGAGACAATTGGAGGGTGGTAAGCCCATCTCCTCCGGAAACGCGAACCAGACCCCCGTCGGAACGCAATCGACGAAGAAGTTTGAGTTGAACGGTGCTTCTGGGTACAATGCTGACGCCGATATGGCCGACGCACCTGTGGTCAAGTCTGCTGCTGACAAGGTTGGCTCTAAGCGTTCAAGACAGGATGAATCTGATGCTGAGGATGAGGTTATGGCTGAGGTTGAGGAGTCTGGTGCTGTTGAGTCTAAGAAGGAGAAGAAGGACAAGAAGGAGAAGAAGGATAAGTCTTCCAAGAAGCGCAAGTTGGAGTCTGAGGAGGCGGAGGAGGAGCCCAAGTCCAAGAAGGACAAGAAGGACAAGAAGGAGAAGAAAGAGAAGAAGGAGAAGAAAGAGAAGAAGTCCAAGAACAAGGATTAAGTGGTGAAGTGGGGTGAAAATGGGGAGAGTGGAAGAGACTATGATCTAATGTTGTAGCATATTGGGTTGTTTTTTGTGCGTTTTCTATTTGGTTCATTGGTTATACGGGCTGCATTGTGGGTTATCTTTTGCTACGATCATTATACTACCACGGTTATACAGGTCCATCTGTTACTGTTCACTGTTCATCGTTCTCTTGGTCATGGGCCTGTTGCTGGAGCTGCACGTGCCCTGGCTGGTCTCGAAAAGTGGTAACGCGGAGAGCTCAAAAACCTTATTAGAGCACCCAAGTTATATCAATCCAGCAATCTGTTGGACCCTCTGATCCCCTCCATCATTCCTGCTCAACTCCTCCCCGATAACTCCGAAGACATGACAAGAAACCTTGTCGTTTTCGGTACCTCTTCGCACCCGATACTCACCAGCGCAATCTGCGACCGCTTGGGTATCGCAGAAGGAAATGCCCAGCTTGGGAAGTTCAGTAACGGAGAAACCTCTGTCCAGATCTTCGACTCGGTTCGAGAGAAGGATGTGTACATCATCTCGCCTGGATCTGGGCACGTCAACAATAACTTGATGGAGTTGTTGATCATGATCTCGGCGTGTAAGACTGCGAGTGCGAAGAAGGTTACAGCTATCCTCCCTGTCTTCCCATACTCCCGGCAACCGGATTCTACGCATAGGAAGACCGGGGCACCATTGTTGCAGCGGACTGTGAAGGAGATTGAGAAGAGTGCCGGTACTTATACGTTTGAGTCGAGACCTGGGACGCCTGCGCCGACGGAGAAGAAGGGTTTCAACTTGGGTGATGTGAAGGATAAGGAGTTGATGCCCCCTCCGAGCTATAATGGTGGAGGACGGCCACCGGTTGAAGAAGTTATGAAGAAAACGAGTGGGTATAAGGATTGGATCGCCCAAGCTGGTACGCTGGTCGCGGATCTCCTCACCTGTGCCGGCGCGGATCATATCATCACCATGGACCTCCACGATCCCCAGTTCCAGGGATTCTTCGATATCCCCGTCGACAATTTGTACGGAAGGCCATTGTTGCAGAGGTATATTGTCAGCCAGATCCCGAATTATCAGGATGCGGTGATTGTCTCGCCTGATGCTGGAGGCGCGAAGAGAGCGACTGCGATTGCGGATTCGCTACAGATGGATTTCGCACTTATTCACAAAGAGCGGAGACCTAACCGGCCGAAGATTGGAGATAGGGAGGTTGCTAGTATGATGCTCGTCGGGGACGTCGAAGGCAAGGTTGCGATCCTCATCGATGACTTGCTCGATACTGGCAACACCATCACCCGCGCTGCTAAAGTCGTAAAAGACCACGGTGCGACAGCCGTCTACGCACTCACAACCCACGGCATCTTCTCCGGCGATGCGATCCAGAGAATCAATGCGAGTGCGTTGGATCATATCATAACGACGAATACTACGCCGCAGGAGGAGAATTTGAGGTTGTGTTCGAAGTTGGATATCATTGATGTTGCGCCGGTTTTCGCTGAGGCGGTGAGGAGAATTCATAATGGAGAGTCGGTGAGTATGTTGTTTGATTATGGCATGTAAGGGTCTTGATTATAGAGAATAATTTGAATGTACGCATAACTCATTTGTTTGTGCAGGTGGTTGTGATCTGATTGGGTATATTGGGTATATCGACGATCGCTGGCTATCGCTCTCGTTATGCTTATATCTTCTCCGCAACACTACCACCACTGAGCCTCGCTTGTATCGCTGCATGATTCTTGACGCCCTCAACCCATTCATCGCCGAAGACGTCCACACAGGCGCCAGTAAAGTCCACACCTACTCTCCCAAGACTTTGTGCGCAGTAGAGTAATTGCGTTAGTAGAGATTGCCGTCCACCTGTGTCTGTCATCTGAGGGACGTGTTCCTCTAGTGTTTCGCGGATCGAGGTAACGAGGTTTTGCGCGAATGACGGTAGGAGATTCTTTGCGAAAGTCCGTTCCACCAGACCAGTACCATCGCCGTGTGATGACAAGCCGTCGACGGCGGTGTCGTCGGGGAAGATGGAGCGGTATTGCATGAATATCGCAAACCCGTATTCTCGAATAAGCTCCACGTATCTCTTCATATATCTTGCTGAATCATTTTGCAATGGTTTCAGTGTCCCAATCATATCCTCCAAATGCTTCCATCTCGACAACAGGAAGATATACCGCAGTTCTGGATCCGTTAATTGTGTACTTCGCCGGAGATATCCTATGACTTTGATCGCGGTGGGTAGTTTGATAGATTGTCGCAAGAGAGTGAGCAGGTTTGATACCATGTCCTCCATACTCGAATCAACTTCTTTCACCAACTCCTCTAGTAGGGGATGCTCCGAGAATCGCATAGATAGTCGCCGGACGTGGGCGGTGAGATCCATCGCTTCGGTGTAGTACCCGTTTTGTACGCATGTCGCGACCAGCGACGGCATCTCCAGGATATCGAGTAGTCTGTCGTGGTTTGAGAGGAGGAGGGATGCGCGGGTTCGCTCGGTTGATTGCGCGGAAGCGAAGGTGTTGAACTCCCCTACTGCATTGCCTAGTTTCGTACATTGCTTTGAAAGACCGTCGACGCCGGTGGAGAGGGTCTCGTAGCTTGTGCGGTACGCGTCTGCGTGATCTGCGGCTGAGACGAATGCGTCGTGGTCGCGTTGGCCTGAACTCTTGAGGGTTGCTGATAATGAGGCTTTTTCTGATTCGAGTGCTTGTTGTTCGTTTGCGAGGGAGGGAAGGGAGATGCTCGTTAGGCGGGAGAGGTAGGAGGTGATCGTTGGTGTGGAGGTTGAGGAGATGATCTGCTTTAGAGGATCTAGGATGTCGAGAAGGGGACCGAATGCGTAAGAGTCATCCTGAGCTGATTGATCTGTTGACATAGGACGTTGACAGCTGAGCTGTGAACTGACAACCAAGTTCGCTGTAGAAAACTCACGGTGTTCGAGTTGGTTGTACTTGGCTGAGACGAGACCACTCGTGCAGCTGCATTCTACGACATGTTACACCAGGGCCTATTTGATAAAGGATTCTCAATTGCCTTGGAGAATAGTTCGTATTGTCGGTACAGCAATGAAATGATTATAGATCCTTCTGAACCTTGCCCCACGCCTTCGCCGTCGTCCACATCTCCACACAGTTCCCCCTTGTAAGCACCTCCCTCGCCGTCTGCTCATCCTCACACCTCCTATACTTCCACATCCTGAAATTCCTCTGCCTCAAGTCCCCTTCCCACACCAACTCACACCTATTCTTCGTCAAATCCTGCTCCATATCTCCATCTAAGTCTTCCCGCAGTGGAGCGTTTTTCGAGGCATCGGTCCAGTCGATTCGTTCGAGCATGAGATGTTTGTACTTTTTGACGGATTTTGGACCGCCTTCGACGATGACGAGGTTGAAGGAGGGGTTGAGGATGCCGACACCGGTGAGGCCGTGTTGATTTGCGTTGACTTCCACTTTAAACTTATTCGATCCTGGTGGCAAGAACTCGATTCTGAATACGGCGCAGCGGATACCCTTATCCCCGTCTTTCTCCAGTTTCTCCAAAACCTTTTCTCGGCGCTGATCGGGGGTGAGTTTGCGTTCCTCGTTGTCTTGCTCGTGTGCCTCTTTTCTTGCGGCGACTTGTTGGCGGACTTCACGCTCCACAGCCGTGGGATCCTTTACCGCCTCGGAGGTGAGTACCCGCATCAAGTTGTTCAACTTGACCTTCGGCGGATCAGGCGGGATCAATCCAAGACGCTGTTGATCTTGTTTGTCCTTTAGACGTTCAGCGCGTGCTTGCCGTCGAATCTTCTTCTGCTCCTTCTTCGTCAACACGAGCGGTCGAGCGGGAACCGGCTTCTCCCCAGGCGGAGGAATCGGGATAGGGTGCTGGACATAAAGCGTAACAATCGAATCCGGGCCAGCGATTTTGAAAGGCTCGTCGTAGCTCTTGTCCGTCACGAGACCTTGATCCCACCACTCCACTTCAGGCGGCTCCTCCTTCCTGAACGCATTTTCAGAAGTATCGAGTTCGTCTTCGAACCCTGCCTTTCGTGCAGTCGCGGCGATACTCCGCTTGAGTTCTTCGAGACGGGCTTGTTGCCGGAGAGCGGCGGCTTGCTGGATATACCGTCCGTGCTCGACGAACTCGAATGACCGCCCCGCGCGGGATTTCGTGGGGTTTGCGCCGAGGGAGGGATCGAAGTAGGAATTTTGGGAGAGGTCTTCGTCGGGAGTGTCGTAAATTTTGAGCACTTTCCGCTTCTTGGATTGGGTTGTGGTGATATCACCCATGAGAGCAGGGTGGAGACCGACTTTGAGACCACTGCCACCGGCTTCGGATCGCCCAGCTTCCTCGAAATGTCTAGCCCCTAAGGCGCTTACTCGACCACTAACTTTGGCTTTCGCTTCGGCGACACGCCGTTGCAGGTCTGCCATGTCAATACCAGGAGCTGAAGATGGAGACGCGGCGCTGGCGTTTCCAGCTCTCATGGCAGCGAGCTTGGCAGCGATCTGTGCCTTCGCTTGTGCGATGATGTCGACCTGGGACATACCGGCGCTTCCCGTAGCAGCAGGATCGGGACCGCTCTTGAGTTTCTTTCCAGGAGAATCCTCACCGCCGTCACGAGGCCGTTTTCTCTGATCCATCCTCTTCAAACGTCTTCTTGAATTGTAATTGTGCGTATGCCGGCACTTGATTCTTACGCGGTCGTGGCTGGTGTGGCTGTGTGCATGCGGTACAGGATTTTTTGAACAGCTGCTCGAAGCAGCACGCAGTTGCTTACGGCCGACCGACCGACCGACCGACCGTACGGACATTTTCCAATTGAAGGGAAAGGCAACGGTCGCAATTCCCCCCCTCCCCCCACCCGTAGCAGGTCTACAGTCACGTTGCTCGGGGTTTACCAACAGTGAAAGTGAGAGTCGCCCTCGACCACCATGAATATCGCACGCCCTGTGTCATCTGAGATCACGAGGATTGAGTTCAGCTTCTTGTCGACGCAGGAGGTTGAGCAGCTTTCCGTGAAGCAAATCACAAACCCCGTCCTCCTCGATAACCTCGGTCACCCTACCCGTGGTGGTCTTTACGACCTCGCACTCGGTCCTTTCTTGCGCGGTACTGTCTGTGCGACATGTTCCCTTGACGAGCGGTACTGTCCTGGTCACTTTGGTCATATTTCGTTGCCGGTACCTGTGTACCACCCCCTCTACTTCACCCAAATGTACAACCTTCTGAGATCGATTTGTCTGTATTGTCACCACTTCCGATTGGCGAAGACCGAGGTACATCGGTACGCATGTAAGCTCAGGCTTATTGATGCTGGGTTGTTGATCGAGGCCGAGGACCTTGATTTGCTGCAAGCTAAGGTTAAGAAGGGAGGCAAGAAGGCTGAGAGCAAGGAGGAGGAGGACGATGAGGAGACCGATGATGATGATGCGGATTCATTCATGGAGCGTCGGGATAAGTACGTTAGAGATTGCCTCCGCCGTGCTGGTCCCCACAAGACGAAGAAGACCACTATGCTTGGTGAAGCTCGGCGACGCCTGATTTTGGAGTTCTTGAAGAAGCTCGGATCCCGTAAGAAGTGTGACAACTGTCAGGCGATTTCTCCTTCGTACCGCAAGGATGGGTATGCGAAGATCTTCGAGATGCCTCTGAACAAGAAGGCGGCTCTCTACATGCAGCAAGCCGGTATCCGCCGTGTCAACGTCTTGAACTCCTCGAAGGCAAAGGGCGCTACTAGGGATGCGGATGCCATGGATGTGGATGAGGAGGATAATGGTATCTCCACCATGTCTGACGACGAGAACGAGGTTGACATCGAGGAATCCGACTTGAAGTCCTCCGGAGCATCTGGCAAGTACGTTCCATGTGCCGAGATCCGCAACCATCTCCGCCTCCTCTTCATCAACGAGCGTCAAATGTGCAGCCTTCTGTATCGTGCTCGCGGCAAGGATGGATCCGGCGCCGACCAGTTCTTTATGCACGTGCTTGCTGTTCCTCCCACCAAGTTCCGTCCTCCATCAAAAATGGGTGACGCTGTTCACGAAAACATTCAAAATGAGCTCTTGACCAAGGTCCTTCAGTCTTGTCAGATGATTCGTGATCTGAATGACCAGATCCAGAAGTCTCAGGACCCTGAGGCTGATGAGGATGCGAAGAGCTTGGGCAAGGTGTCTTTCGAGAGATTGATCAACGCCTTCGTACAAGTTCAGCATGATGTCAACTCCTTCATCGACTCTACCCGCAACCCAACTACCTTGCCTCAAGGAAAGCTACCACCACCGGGTATCAAGCAAGTTCTTGAGAAGAAGGAGGGTCTTTTCCGTAAGCACATGATGGGTAAGCGTGTCAACTACGCTGCTCGTTCCGTCATTTCTCCAGATCCCAACATCGAGACTTCTGAGATTGGTGTACCACCGGTTTTCGCTACCAAGCTTACATACCCCGAACCTGTGACACCCTTCAACGTCCAGGAGTTGAGACGTGCAGTGATCAACGGACCTTCAGTTTGGCCTGGTGCCACTCACATTCAGAACGAGGATGGTCGTCTTGTCAGTTTGGCAACCATGTCCGTCGAGCAGAGAACCGCTTTGGCGAACCAGCTCTTGACCCCTCAGGATTCTCGTGTTTCTGGCTTCGCCAACTCCCGAGTGATGTCCACTAACAAGAAGGTCTACCGCCACTTGAAGGATCAGGATGTTCTCTTGCTCAACCGTCAACCTACTCTCCACAAGCCCTCTATCATGGCTCACCGTGCTCGTGTGTTGCCTGGAGAGAAGACCATTCGCATGCACTACGCCAACTGTAACACATACAACGCCGATTTCGATGGCGACGAGATGAACATGCACTTGCCGCAAAACGAGATCGCTCGTGCTGAGGCTATGATGATCGCCAACACTGACTCTCAGTACCTCGTACCCACTTCCGGTGACCCATTGCGTGGTCTTATCCAGGATCATGTTGTTATGGGTGTTTGGATGTGTAACAAGGATACTTGGTACACTCGTGAAGAGTACCAGCAGCTTTTGTACGGATCCTTGAAGCCGGAAGACTCGACCGCCAATGAGGGCAGAATTCTTACCCTTCCTCCCGCTATCATGAAGCCCAAGCCCATGTGGAGTGGAAAGCAGATTTTGTCAACTGTCTTGCTGAACTTGAAGCCCTCGGACCGTCCCGGACTGAACTTGCGTGCCAAGGCTAAGGTTGCCGGAAAGTTCTGGAGTCCCAAATCTGAGGAAGGTGTGGTCATCTTCCACGATGGTTACCTCTGCCAGGGTGTTCTCGACAAGGCTGCTTTCGGTGCAAGTGCTTACGGTCTTGTTCACTCTGTCTACGAGATTTATGGTGCTACTATCGCGGGTAAGTTGCTCAGTGTTCTCGGTCGTCTTTTCACAAAGTACACACAGTCGCGCGGATTTACCTGCCGAATGGATGACTTGCGTTTGAACCCGGAGGGTGACAGGTGGAGGAACGACTTGAAGAAGGCGGGTGCGAACTTCGGTACTGATGCTGCTCGCGAGTACGTTGGTCTTTCCAAGGAGTCTGATGGTTCTAAGCGTGATGCTGCAGAGCTTAAGAAGCGTATGGAGGAGGTTCTCCGTGATGATGAGAAGCTTGCCGGTCTCGACTCTGCCATGAAGGGTAAGATGAACGGATTGACTTCGTCTATCATCAACAAGTGTATCCCTGATGGTCTGTTGAAGAAGTTCCCTCATAACCACATGCAGACCATGACTGTTTCTGGTGCTAAGGGTTCCAATGTCAACGTGTCTCAGATCTCTTGCTTGCTTGGTCAGCAGGAGCTTGAGGGTCGGCGTGTGCCAATCATGGTGTCCGGAAAGTCCTTACCTTCGTTCAAGGCGTTTGACACCAACGCTCGTGCTGGTGGTTTCATCGCTCAGCGTTTCTTGACTGGTATTCGTCCTCAGGAGTACTACTTCCATTGTATGGCTGGTCGTGAAGGTCTTATTGACACTGCTGTCAAGACCTCTCGTTCCGGTTACTTGCAGCGTTGTTTGATCAAGCATTTGGAAGGTATCCGTGTGCACTACGATCACACTGTTCGTGACAGTGACGGTTCTTTGATTCAGTTCCACTACGGAGAGGATTCCCTTGACGTCACCAAGTCCAAGCACTTGATGGAGTTCGAGTTCTCTGCTCGCAACTACAAGTCTTTGATTCAGAAGTACAATGTCGCCAGCTCATTGTCCGCTCTCGACTCTCAAACTGCTATCGATTACGCCAAGAAGGCATTGAAGAAGCCTGCGAAGTACGATCCTGTCTTGTCTAAGTACGACCCCAGCAGGTACCTCGGTGCCATGTCTGAGGCTTTCCAGACTGCTTCCGAGGAGTACGTTGAGAAGAACCCTCATGCGCTTATCCAGGCAAAGGGCAAGGAGTCGAAGCTCGCTACTGCAGCTGCTGTCCTCGACAAGAAGAAGTTCCGTGCGCTTATGCAACTCAAGTACATCAACTCCCTTGTCCACCCAGGAGAGGCCGTCGGTATTCTTGCGTCGCAGTCTGTCGGTGAGCCTTCTACTCAGATGACGTTGAACACTTTCCACTTTGCTGGATTCGGTGCCAAGAACGTTACTCTTGGTATTCCCCGTCTTCGTGAAATTGTCATGACTGCTTCCGCCGAGATTAAGACTCCTACCATGACTCTTGCTATCAAGGATGAGGTCACTGATGAGCACGCTGAGAAGTTTGCTAAGAGCGTCTCCAAGCTTATTCTTTCCCAAGCCGTTGACAAGGTCTCTGTTACCGAGCGCATCACTGGCCAGAAGGGCAACGAGTCTCGTCAAAAGATCTACAGCATCCGCCTTCAGTTCTACTCAAAGTCTCAGTACCAGGAGGAGTACAACATCACTCAGGAGGATCTCGAGCGTTGCATGACGAGCGCTTTCATTCGCAAGCTTGACATTGCCATCCGCAAGGAGACTAAGAAGGGTTCCAGGAAGTCAAAGGACATCGGTGCCGACGATGCTCTTCCCGAGATTGGTAAGGCCTCGCGTGCGGCTGCTGCCACTGCTGAAGTTGATGAGACTGCCAACGTTAATGATGATGCTGAGTCCGACAATGGTGATGGTGATGCCACCAACGCCAAGTACGCCTCCCGCGAGAAGGGCCAGGCTTCCTACGAAGCGCCCGATGATGACGACAAGGAGATCATCAGGAAACAGGGTCGTGCAGATGAGGACGAAGATGATGAGGAGGATGTTGGTCGCACTGAGCCTGCGGACGATGACGATGAGATGCTCAGCGATGAGGATGAGGAGGAGTACGAGAAGCGACAACTCGCCAAGAAGCAGGCTAGCAAGTCGTCGGCAACCAGGATCGCCGAGCGCCGCGAGAAGGTCAAGGACTTGTTCCAGAACGTCTCTGATTTCTCTTTCGATGACGTTAACGGTGAATGGTGTGAGGTTGAGTTGACCTACCCGTCCGACTCCCGTAAGCTCTTGATGGTCAACATTGTCGAGCAGGTCTGCACGCAGACTATCATGCACGAGTTGAAGGGTATCGACCGATGCTTCAGGCTCCCCAACGAGTCCGAGATGGACACTTCTCGCAACTTGGCGACTGAAGGTATCAACTTCAAGGGCATGTGGGAGTACCAGGACATCATTGACAAGGACACCATGTACTCCAACGATATCGCTGCCATCCTTCGGACGTACGGTGTCGAGGCTGCTCGTAGTGCCATCGTTCGTGAGGTGTCTGGTGTCTTCGGTGTCTACGGTATCGGTGTCGACACCCGTCACTTGTCTCTCATTGCCGACTACATGACCTTCGAGGGTGGATACCGCGCTTTTAACCGTATGGGTATCGAGTCCAGCTCTTCACCATTCCTGAAGATGTCTTATGAGACTACTTGTCACTTCTTGACGCAGGCGTCGCTCTACAAGGATTACGAAACTCTGGAGTCTCCCTCGGCATCGGTTGTTCTTGGTAAGATTGCGGGTGTGGGTACTGGTGCATTTGACGTGCGTGTGGCTTTGTGAAGCGGCCATGGGAACAGCATTTCTTAGACTTTCTTCTTTTTCCTTCTTTGTTTCGCATTGTTAGCGGTTATATCTTGGTCATCCGTTCGGTGTTTTCGGGATTTGCAGATTTGTAGATAGCACAAAAGAATTGATGGGTTAATTATCACACCATATATTTATTGCATATTCAATATTCTATCGTGATCTATGCTTGATCCTTCTTCTGATGGACCTCCAATAATTTCAGCGTAAGTGCCGCTAGGAAGCCTGGTGTTGTCTTCTTCTCAGCCAGCCACTCCGTCATCAACGCGTCCATCTCCTGACTCCATTCCTCATCAGTTGTTTCTCCCGTCCGCATAAGCGTTCCAGTATCCAAGTTAATCACGATCGAAGCCTGCTTGTCCTTCGCCAACGCAGACACCAACCGCACTCGACCTTCGGGCAAGAACTCCATCTTGTAACCAAGAAGATTCCACACCGCTTCTCGGGACTCTTGCATCTTTGCGCCGATGACTTCTTTGAGTCTGGATGTCCTAATTTCACTCTGCTTCAGTGCAGCCTCCATTTTCTTGATCTCCTTCCGTACCAAAGTCAAAGTCTCAGCTGGTACCATATTCCCACAATCCTCAATCCGACCTTCAACCTGCGCCAACAACGAGGCATTCTCGGCTTTGAGCAGATCGAGTTCTTCTTGACGTGTAGCGTGGTAATTGACAGTCGGGTTACTCTTCAACTGCAAAATCCGCGTCTGTCCAACCTTCGCAAGTTTATCGAGTTCTTCAATCTGAGCCTGTAACGAAGTCAACTCCTTCTTCAACAAGATATCCTCTTGTTGAAGTTTCGCGAGGTCGTCTTGCAACTGTCTGTTCCGACGCGTTAACTCTCCCAACCTCTCATCCTCATCTTCCTCACGTTTCCGCTTAGCACCCGTGACGATGGCATCGACGTCGATAAGACCAGCCTTTGCAGCATTCTCCGAGTCTTCAGAGATGAGTTTCGCGAGTTCGGTTTTGTAGTCAGTCAACATGACCTCCATATCATTCAATCTTTTCGCCTTTTGCTCGTCGTAGCTGCCTTGCATGAACATACTTTCCTCATCATCATATGTCTTGAGTTGTGCCCGAAGAAACTCCACTTCCTGCAATGCCAAGGCTTTCTGACGCTCAAGACGTAACTTGATCCGGTCCATAACGGCCCATTTTGCAGTCTTGGTGGCGAGTTCCTCCTTGACCTCCTTCAACTCCTTTTCCCACTCGCTAGCTTTGCTTTCTTGGGAGCTCAGTTCTACCTCTACACGACCAAGTTTCTCAAGAACGATAGCGCGTTGCCCGCGTTCTTCTGCCAAGGCCTTACATACAGCCTCGGGTGTAGCACCCCCAATATCCTCGTTCGCCTCCAAGAACGAGATCCACTGTGCGCGTTCACGCTGTAACTCGCTGATCTTCAGTTCAGCTTCGGCTTTGCGTTCACGCAAATCCTCCATCTGCTTCAGCCGCGTCTCCAGGATCGATTTCTCCTCCGTCAAGACAGCGATGGACTGTGCTTTTTCCCTCAAAGAATCCAGCTCGGTTTGTTGACGACGGTTGACAATCTCCAGTTGCCGGAGCTCATCCAGCTTATGGCTAAGTTCACGTTGAACAGTAGCCATCTCTTCCGCATCCACACCTCTCGACTCCAACTCCTTCACCCTCTCCTCCAATATCGTAGCCTTCTCCTCACTCGCTGCCAACGCATTCGACTTCTCCGTAAGTGTCTTACTCAGCGACGCCATTTCCTCCCGCATTTGCGCATTCATCGCCTCATAGTTTTCCACTCTGGCATGCATGCCGTCTAACTCTTGTTGAGCGTTTTCAACAAGAAGGTGATTTTGCGTATCCAGATGGGCTACTTTCTCCTTCATTGCGCTATTTTCCTCACGCAGGGTTTTCGCTTCCTTTGCAGTCTCCGCTTTGACCTTTGCAAGCTCTGCCCGCAAATCATCTAGCTCAGCAGCTTGTTCTTGGCTTCGTTCGAAGAGGAAACGTTTGTCTGTTTCCAACCCATTCACTTTCTTCGTTTCTTCTAGGGCACGAGCCTGTGTTTCTCTCTCCTTTGCCTCGAAGTGAAGTTTCGACCTCTCACTATCCGACTGCAGATTCGATAACTCATACTGCAATTTCTGAAGCTGTACCAAAAGTTCCGCGGATTCACTATCACCCTTCCTAGGCGTGCCGACGATTGATCTGCGAGCACTGTACGGCGTACCGGCCGCGGATCCGAAAAGTGAACGGGCGGGGGTTGCTTGTAGGAACCTTGGCGACTCTCCTGCTACCAGCTGCATTTGTGCTCGGCGGGCGGTTGAGCTCGCGGGTGTAGCTACGTTTATGAAAGGATCATTGCCCGACGCGGGCGCACCCGTATCCGGCGGATCGAACCGGACTGGTGAGAAGTACAGCAGATCATCTTTAGACACCGGTGCAGATGCTGGAGTTGGCGAAGCAGCGGACGTTGGAGGTTGTGGAGCAGCAAAAGCCGGTGGAAGGCTTGGTTGTGCAGGAGCAGCTGGCCTGGCTCCAGCGAGCATGTGGATGCGCGAGGTGGGCGCCGGGATCTTCGACGGCCCTATCGACATCCGTTTCTGAAATGGATTCTCCTTCGACATCGTGCAAATATTCGTCGGACGGTGTGCGTTTGTTTGGGCGGGTGCAGGCAACGCAGGAGACAGGCAGCGGATGCACCCAGCAGTAGAACATCGATAAACTAAACAAACCTTATTGACAATGACAAGCGCTCTGATTTACCGCTGCAATGGATGGAAGTCATGACGATGACATCGTAGAGCTGTCACCCTCGATCGCAACATCCTTAACTACGACTTATCTTGACGCTCTCAGTTCCTACCTCTCCAGAACGACACCGTTGACTTTGGATGGTCCCGGCTCAACGGAGGAAGATGCACAGGAAGAGCGCGAGGTAGATAAGATGCTTGAAGGGGTCCGTTTTCCGTTCATCGACTTTCAAGAGCCATACTGATTCTGCCTAGTAGCTGAACCTCTTTCAGGAACAACCCCACCTCCTCGATCCTTTCCTTCCAGACCTCATCACTCCCATAACCGATCTCCTCACACCCCTCATTCTATCCACCGCCGTACTTCAATCACGCGCGGAACGGCTATGCAAAATCCTATATACGTACTCCAAGCTCCGCTCACACAAGATCATCACGACATTTCTTCCGCCGGATGTGTATCTCCTCGAACCACTCCTGTCGCACCTGTCATCGGATTTGATACAGTATACATGGCAGGCAAGATACGTGCTGTTGCTATGGGCTGGGTTGGTGTTCATGGCACCGTTCGATCTACAGACAATTGATTCCGCCACGGAGGGACAGCAATCTTTGGTCGAGCGCGCGGTGCAGATCATCAAGGTTGAACTCGGTAGGAGCGGAAAAGAGAGGGATGCGGCCGCAATCCTCGCGGCACGAGTCTTGACGAGGAAGGACGTTATTGCGCAAGGTGGGTTACGCGCCTACACCGAATGGTGCAATGAGAAATATGGTATAGCGAGTCCGATGCTGAAGTCAGGGATTTTGGCGTCCCTGGCACAGATTTACCGGTCGGGTGAGAGGGAGACACTGAGGAAGGAATCGGAGCACGTTTGGGGCCTTATCGAGGCGGCGGAGGGGGATCAGAATGATATTCATATTCGGAAGTTACGGGTCAAGTTGGCTTCGAGGATTGGGTCTACCTTGCTGCCGCCAAGACATGCGAAGGAGGTGGAGGAGGGAGATGTATCGGAGTTGGTGGATGCGGTTATTGATGCGTTGTTAACGGCGTTGAGGGATGCAAGCACGATTACGAGGTATTCTGCCGCAAAGAACCTAGCTGCACTTACATCGCGTCTGCCACTTGCTTATCAATCTGAGGTCGTTGATGCGGTCCTTGCGTTCTTTGAGGAGAATGGTGGGTTTGCGCAGGGTTTTGAGCAGGTGAATGATGCGTTGTGGCATGGTGCTACATTATGCCTGGCAGAGTTTGCGCGTCGCGGAGTTGAGGTTGAGGACACGGACACAGTACGGAATGTGGTGCTGGCTGCACTCAAGTTCGAGCAGCGACGGTCCGGGACGTATGCTCTGGGCGCACACGTCCGTGATGCAGCGTGTTATGCGATTTGGTCGATGGTCCGATCACCGGTGTCGTCAACTAAAGCAGTCGTCGGGACTCAGTCCGTAGCGGAGGAGCTTGTAATCAGAGGGTGCTTCGATCGTGAAATCAATGTTCGACGCGCAGCGAGTGCGGCATTCCAAGAAGGCGTGGGAAGGATGGGTATTTGGGAAAGGGGTATTGAGGTCCTGGGTATCATGGATTTCTTTGCGGTTGGGGTCAGGAGGATGGCTGCGCTCGATGTTGGGGTTAAGTTGTTTGCACTACAACAGTATAGGGGGTGCATTGTACAATACTTGGTGCAGGACGGTGTTGAACATTGGGATTTGGAGCTGCGGACGTTGGTAGCGAAGTGCTTGGAGGAGTGTGTGCGAACTGGTGTTGAGGGGGGTGAAGAAGCTGTTGTTGACGAGTTGAAGGGCATGGTGAGGAGGTCTGCAGACGCAACTGATGTTGGTGTAAGGCAAGGTCTGACTGTTGCGATCTCTGCTATTATCCGGGGAAGCGCTTCGCAACGTGGGCTATTCAAGCAAGAAGTCAACGTGGTGAAGGACATCGTCGCATTGGTAGGCGGTTTACCTCCATACCTAAGGAAAGGGGTGCATAGCGGGATGATGCTCACCGCTACATGTGTCCTCATCACGGCACTCGCTGACGCTGGTGTTGATGTTGGTGAGACTGGAAGGAAGGAATGGTTGAAGCTCGTTCACCTAACACTTGCGAAATCTGACGAGTCCACGCAAGAGGCCGGAGCGCATGCCACGAGAGCCGTGTTCGCTGCATGGGATCTTTGGATTGAGATTGCAGTGTTTGTTAAGTGTATCGATGTGCGGAGTAGCAGGGAAGTACGACGAGGGTATGCGAAGGCACTTGGTGTCATTGCTTGGGATAAGCATCCGAATGAGGTGGGAAGGGTTGTGAGGGCGCTCTTGAAGGCTACAGAAATCGAGGAGAACGAATTTGTCAACGATGGCGAAGCGAGACGGGATGCAACCCATGCACTCGCGCTCATCCTGAAGAGCGCTGGTGCGAGGATGGAAGTGGCATTGGTGAAGGAAGTGGGGAGTGGCTTCCTGAGGTGTCTTGAGGATTACGCTGTTGATTCCCGAGGTGATATCGGCAGTTGGGTACGGAGAGAGGCGATGTACGGGCTTACTGTTGCGTTCACCGCAGACTTGTCAGAGGGTGCCGTGGATGCGGAGGCGTGGAAGAAGGGATTCAGTGGTATACTCAAGCAATCTGTGGAGAAGCTGGACAAACTTCGAAGTTTTGCCGGAGAATGCATTAAGACGATCATGGAGGCCGGCAAGTTTGAGATGGAAGACGTTGCGAAGGAAGTCCTTGCAGACGCCACGCCAGATTTCTGGGCCAGTCCTGGAATGTTCTTCCCAAAGATTGTGGAGCTTTTGGTGGTTGAAGAATGGAGACTGCCGATTCTTTCTGGCTTAATGACGAGTGCAGGTGGTGCTGGTGAGTCATTGTTAAGAGCTGCGAGCACAGCACTGTCGAATTACCTTGAAGGACTTCCCGACAACGATGAGGATGGTGCACCATTGTCGCTGACACAATTCATGGACGCATTGGTTGCGGTCATTGAGGACAACAGCGACAAAGACCGTGTTATCATCCCGTGTTTCGAGTACACGAGTACGATGTTTGACATGCAGATCCCCCAACGACTTGCGGATACATACACCTTCAACAGATTTATTTTCCTCGTCCAGAAGGCGGCATACAAAACCACATCTATCCCGAAACTCCTCGCGGTGTCGAAACTCTACGCCGGTCTTGCATCTCTTGAGTTCTCAGCAGATACGTCTCCGAATACGGCGGTGAAGACCAAGGCACTTGGCAAGCTTGTCGGGATGTTACGGCATCCATTCCCGAGGGTGAGGGCAGTAGTGGCGGAGCAGTTGTATCTCGTCGTGAGTACCTGGCCTGAGTGTGAAGAGGTCGAATGTCTGTTGGTGGAAACCGACTGGATGGGCAGTGTGAAGGAGACGAAGGGAGTCTATGAGGAGTTGAGGAAGGGGTTGCGGATCGCGTGAGTGGAACATGTGTTGCGAATATGGCGTTGACTGACATCCTAGGCATGCTAAGGGAGCACGAAGTCGAGATACACAACCTGATTGGAACAGATCTTTAGGTATAGACAGCCAAAAAAATTACAGTCGTTGTTCAACGGAGAGAGCGATGTGACCGTGCGAAAATATGCCTTGCACGGCGATAGAAGAAAAGGCAATCATAGGCCCCTTCTTCTGCTGCGTATAATGGGTATCTACTTACCTATGTCCATACATACAGCCTCACTCTTCCCTCCCCATCGCAAAATCGACAGCCTCCCTAACCCCCTCCCTCTCCACCTCCTCCCACTCCCCAGCCCCAGAAACACTCCTAATAACCCCCTCCTTCCACGCCCCCGTGCCCAATGCAGTCCTGCCCACCCCTTGCGCCAAATCCTTTGCGAGGAGGGTGGCGAGCGTGTCACCAGGCCCAATTGAGAGGAACCTCATCGGTTCTGGCTCAGGCAAGGGTTGGGATTCCGAGGATCTAGCATTTGCGTCGAGGATGTACTCGATCGATTGTCGCCATCTGACAGGGCGGGTGAGGTGGTTGTAGAGGTGTTCGATCAGGAGGTTGCGGGTTTCGTGGGGTTTTGCTGTAACGTTCGAGATCACGACTGGTTTTAATTCATCCAAACGTGCGTCTTGACCGAGGGAGATGCCAAACCCGTCAATGTACTGTTTAAGGTCCCTGGCTGCTTCGGCCATGAGCATAGAGTGAAAAGCACCGCTGACTTCCAAATCCGTCATCCGGACCGCAACCCTTCGTGCTCCTTCACCCTCAGACCCAAACCCTACTCGAGCCGCGCGGCTGATCTCGGACTTCGCTTTCTCGAGTCCGTCTCTCGAACCAGCAATAATGACCTGCGTCTTTGAGTTATGATTCGCGATCCCTACATCCCCAATTGATTCCGCGAACCGCTCCAGCCGACCCATATGATCCGCAGGACATGATACAGCAAACATCCCACCTGGGTTACTCATAGATGCAGCTTGCATAACTAAACCCCTGTACCCAACAATCTTGACCGCCTCCTCATATTTCAACACCCCCGCCGCAGTGAGCGCAGCATATTCCCCTAACGAGTGTCCCATCACGTACTTGGCCTTCTTCACATCCAACCCAAACTCCGTCTCAAGTACCCTCAATATCGCAACGGAACTCGCAAAAATTAGCGGCTGTGCGATATGTGTGCCCAGTGGTCCCTTCAACGGGGTGCTTGAGGAAGGAGGTGAGGTGATGTAGTGCGTAAGGTCTGTGGAGAGTAACTCGGAAGCTTCACTGAGGGTCTCTCGGGCAATCCGAAAAGTAGAGAGGAGGGGGGCGAGGAGGTGGGGACTGAGAGAGCCTTGGCCGGGGAAGAGGACTGTTAGGGGTTTGGTGGTGGTTGTAGTTGTTGTGGCAGTCGTAAGAAGGCGATGGATGTGATCATGGTGAGCGTTGAAGGAGAGCTTGAGGCTGGCCAACGCTGATCGCATTATTGTGCAAAATGGGTGGGGCACCGGGGATGATGGTGCCCGTCTACGTTACAGGCGCTAATGGGCGACCGTGCGCAAGGATACCCTTTTCGGCGATAGACATAATAACCATTCACCAAGAAGAACTCAAAGAGCCCTATCCTGAACTCCCGGAACATATCTTATCACACCATTCACGTGTATGTAATACGCGACAACTACTCTCCTTCCGGCACTGGCGTATAGAAATATGCGTGTTTCAGCGCCTCGGCTGCTGGGATGCGAGTTGTTGTGTCGTAATCAAATATTCTGTCAAGTAGGTCCAAGAACCTCTGGTTCAAACTCGTCTTTGGTGGGATGATGTGCTACGAAACATATCAGCAGCGCTCCATAATAGGTGTCAGAAGGGAAACTCACGTCCAAAGGCTTCACGGCCTTCACATACTTTCGGCTTTGCCTTGTCGTATCATCATTGGGATAGTCAAGCTTGCCGTCTCTTCCGAAAAATTTGGACCCATCCTTGGATCTCTGCACCTTGTCCTTCACACGACTAGGGACCTTTCCACAGATTTGCTCCATCATTGCAAGATGCTCCAGGTTGTCATGAGTCTGGAAGAGAGCTTCTCCCGTGTGGAATTCAACCAGGATACACCCGATCGACCACATATCGCACGCATAAGACCACCCAGTGCCGAAGATGATTTCGGGTGCTCTGTAATGCCGGGTCGATACCACATTTGAATGATACTCGTCATCGAAAGTAGCTGACCCAAAATCAATGAGGCGGATTTCCGTATTCAGCAGGATTTTTCTCGTTTTGTAAGCGGATCCACGTTTCGCTTGATACTGCACTTCCCGGTACTCGCTGTTAACCAGCAAAATATTCTCCGGCTTGAGATCCGTATGGATAAGTCCGAGGGAATGCAGGAAGTTAACTGCATCCACCAATTGCTTCCCGAATAACTGGATATGACTTGGCGGAAATGGGATGAACGAATTTAACTTCAAGAAGTCGAAAACGGAGATGCCAAGCAGATCCGTAACGATGCAAATATGGTTCCGAAAGTCAAAACAATCCCGCAAATGAATGCATCGGTGAAGGTTATCCGGGTCTCGCTCGCGGAGAGTCTTCAGGACCCTCAACTCAACCTTGCTCGCATCTCGATATTTCTGAACAGCACGAATGACTTTGATCGCCACGTATTTCTGATGTGTACGATCCCAACATTTCACCACCTTTCCGAATGTCCCCTGACCAAGAATATTCATGATCTTGTATCGAGTCGTCAACGACGCTTGAGCCACCGGGATGTAGTGACCCTCAGTGTCCGTGATGAGTGTATTTGACGTAACAGGTTCATTGATAGGCCTCACATAGACATCCGTGATCTTCGCTGGTGTAGATGGCGTGTATTGCACTGTGCGCCGTTGTCGTTTTGGTGCTGGTGGTTGGGGTTGCGGTGCGTAAACCGGAGCAGCCACATACGCAGGATAGTACGCAGCGGTACCACCATTGTAGTATGCCGCCGGATACACAGGTGCTACCGGCGCAAGATAGCCAACCGGCTGGCGGTAGTATGCGTTCTGTGCTGACTGCAGATATGCATGGTCATCGTACACCGGCTGCCGATACTGCTGCTGCGACCTCTGCTCCGTCGCCCTCCGTCTCTTCGAAGTTGGATACCGTGGATCCTCTCGATCTGTATATCCATTGCGAGGTGCTTGTGGTGGTGGTGTGTCGTCTATGACGATCACGTCCGCTGGATTGTTGCCCCCATAGAACAGATCCCAATTAACGGGGGATTCTCGCCTGCGCTTCGACCGCTGCGCTGTTGTCGAAGCGGAGGTGGTAGACATGTATCCAGTTGTTGTTACGGTCGCCAAACTGGTTGAGTATATGGATCAATTGTTCCGATGGACTCAGTACGAGTCCGGTGGTGTATGCAGATAGAAGTGGCTTACACGTTATCAGCGTTGATCCGTGCAGTTTGAAAGTAAATTCGATAATTGATCCGATCTGAGTGTCCTGGTAACCGGTTAGGATGCTAGTTTGGGGTCGCCCAGGCTCCGACTAGGTAAACATACTGTCCCAAAGGGTGCCGTTCGTGGTAATACTTGGATAACTGGATGATCTCGCGAGTACAGAAGCCGGCAATGCTTCTGAGGAATGTATGGATGCTCTGGTAGTTGTACAGTCGTTTCAACGGCGTGCAGGCTGACAAAGCGTCACACAGCCGTCGGATTTGCGGTTGTCCTCAACTCGGCGGTGCAGCACGGCTATGTCACTCGACGCCCTGCAGCTGACAGCAGACCTCGAAGATCTGGAAAATCATCAGAAGTATATGTAATAATTTATTATTCTACAAGGTATCCAGTGCGAGGCCCAAAAGCTCCAGTCCTGCCCCATAAACATGATCGTCGCTCGTGAGAACGGGGTATCGTAGATCTCCAGTAAATCAATGCGTGCGCCTACTCTGGTGTATCGCTCCTCTCGCTCGTCGTCTCACTCGTCGATTCACTTGACCTTCTAACCTTTTGACTCAACGGTACAACACTTTGCAGCGCAGCTGCAAGTCTTTTGGGTAGAATAGGCTTAGGTATATGATCCTGTGAAGATGTCAGGCTTGGCAAAACACAAAGGTATTGGATTACGACTGACCTTCATTCCGGCTTTCAAACACTTCTCCTTATCGCTAGACATGGCATTAGCCGTCTGCGAGAAATGTTAGTTCAGCAAGTTCAATGAACGACTTATTCCGAACCTACCATCGCAACAATTGTAGGCTGTCGCCATGGTTCCGGCCATTTCCGTAGAATTTCTGCCGTTGACTCGTAACCATCGAGACGAGGCATTTGCACATCCATCAGTACCACGTCGTACATTTGGCCATCCTTCGCTAGCCTCTCGCATGCTTCCACTGCCTCAAGACCATCTCGTGCGTGATCAGCCGCGTATCCGAACCGCTTCAGGTGCTGCAGAGCGACCTTCGTATTGATGGGGTTGTCTTCTGCCAAGAGAATCCTCAACGGGTGCTCATCGCTCAGTAAGCCCTTTACTGCAGGCTTGTTCACACCGCTGGAAGCCATAGTCGCAGGCGCACTGCTAGACCTCTTGGTAGGACTTGGTGTAGACAAGACACCCTGGACGGCTTTGATCAAGCGGCTCCTTCGGACAGGCTTGACAAGATAATCAGAGATATTGAGCTTGTGGAAATCGTCCGGGATTGGAGCCCCTACAGACGCAAGGAGAATGACTTCCAACGCCGGATCAGCCTTCTTCAAGCTTGAAGCAGTATCTTTGATTTCTTGTGGTTCATTCAGGGCAATGAAGGCTACAGAGAAGTGACGAGGAGGATGATCTCCAATAGCCCTAACGGCACCATTCACGTCCTTGACCACGTTGGGCCTGAGACCAATCGAGCGCAATGTTGATGATAGAATCTCAGGCGACGTCGGGCTCGGGTGAATGATCAAACATCCGTTAGAGGATGGCGCAACACCCTGTACAACCAGATTTTCCTGTTGCTTACCAACGTGGAACAATGCCGTAAAGTGGAACGAAGTCCCTTGTCGCTCTTTGCTCTCAACCCAGATGGTGCCGCCCATAAGGTTGACAAGACGCTTAGAAATCGCCAAACCAAGTCCGCTTCCTCCATACTTCCTCGTAGTCGATGAGTCAACTTGAGAGAAGGACTGGAACAGACGTGCGAATGCAGATTCAGGAATACCAATACCGGTGTCCTGCACCGTGACCTTCAACCTGTACCGCTGCCCTTGTGGATCTGACGGTAACTCTTCCGCGCCGATACGAATAACAATCGTTCCTTGGTGCGTGAACTTCACCGCGTTTCCGAGAAGATTGAGAATGACCTGACGGAATCGCGTCATGTCACCAATAATGGTGTCAGGAACGTATTCTCCATCTGTGATGTATCCGATATCAAGACCCTTGTTACTGGCGGGCTCAGCGATGACCTGGAGCGCACTCTCAACGCAGTCACGTAAAGAGAATGGTTCCCGCTCAAGCTCGATCTTCCCTTGCTCGATCTTAGACCAATCCAAGATTCCATCGATGATGTTCAAAGTCAACGTGGCCGAGTTGTGAATGGTCTCGACGTAATCACGCTGCGTGGTCGATAAGGGAGAGTCTAACAGGAAGATCGACGCACCGATGACTGCGTTGAAAGGCGTTCTGATTTCGTGTGACATGTTTGCCAGGAAGACACTCTTTTGCACTGTAGCTTCTTCAGCGGCCTTCTTCGCAAGCTCCATGCTTCTGTAGAGCCTCGCCTTCTCAATAGTGACTGCTGCTTGGGTACACAGGAGATTGAGGACCTCAAGACGCTGAGACGTAAAGGCGTTAGACGCGTGTCTGTTCTCCAGATACAATACACCCATAGGTTTCAACTGGCTCTGGATAGGCATACACAGCACTGACTTCGCCCGATTTGCATGGAAGTAACTATCCCTTCCCCAGGTGCTATCGAACTTCACATCGTTGGCACGTTCTCTGACAAGTGTTTCACCAATCCGGCCGGTGAAGTTAAGCATCGAGAAGGGGCAGACGTCCGTCCTAGTACTGGCAAGCTCGTGGTCCACAATTGTCACGTCTGTCAACAACCCCTTTGTTTCGATATACAATTGTCCATCAACGTCGATCAAGGCCAGGACACCGTAATCGGCTCCAGCAGTTTGAAGCACGGACTTCATGAGCGTCAAAATAACATCTTCGAGACGAACGCCTTCGGAAATAACCAATGACGCCTTGAGGACGGTTCGCAGATCCAATTCAGAGCCCATGCTCGATGTCTGATCGTCTTTCGTACGGGATGATGTAGATGTAGTATCGATATCTTCCTGCGCACCGGAGAAATCTGATGAAACATAAACTTGCTCAGTGAAGAGACTTCCCATATGCCCTCCGGATTGCGATGAAGTACTGCGATCCTGCAACGAGGGACGACGTCTGCGCATCACATCGGCCACATGTTTAGTATTCGCTGGAGGAGAACTTGCTGGAAGGCTCGTCTTGCTAGAAAAGGGTTCAAAATGGATGGTAGGTGAATGGTCGGACATTTGCCTTCCACCTTCACTGACCTGGCCAAGAACCATGCGGTCTAGACTTGCGAAGGCAGTCTTCTCCGAGGTAGGAGTCATAACAAGCTGACCTTGCGAAAGCAGAGAAAAGCCAACTGAGGTACTGAAATCATCTGACCAGGTCGTAGCGAGGTAGTCAGCTTTCGCATTGGCACCCCATATGGTGTACAGCCGGTACGCTTCACGAATGTACTGAGTAGACCGGTGTTTCGAGATCGGCCGTAGCCATTTTGCGGCGCGCTCGTTGTACCATGCAGCATCAGCAATAGAGTTGGATGATGTAGCAGCTGAAATGGCCTGATCGAACAAGTCAAGTGTTTGCAAGTCCTTCCCAGAACATTTCGACAATTCAGCGTCAAGGAAGAATAATTTGTGTTGGAACACGCCTGCTGAAGTTACGGCGAATTCCCTAACCCGCTGAACGTATTGCGCCAGACGTCGTGCTTGGACTTCAGAAAGATCTTCGAGGTCGAGATAGATAGAGATGGCCAGGAACTCGTACATGACCTTGTAGTACGAGCCCATCACCGAAGAGGCCAGCTCTTCGCATTTCTCTCCAACTTCAAGAGCCAGTTCAGTCTTCTCGAACTGTACCGCCAGGATCATTCGCCAAAGGTAATACACATATGCGTGCGACTGTGACTCGCACTGTTCAACTGCGGCAATCTCATCAGCTCCACCAAGAGCTTCGCCTTGAAGAGAGGCCAAATCTGGATTACTGTTGAGACCCCTGAGGTTCAAAATGCCTTGTAGCGGGATGTTCATCCAGAGAAGGGCAAGCTTGCTCTTCAACTTTCGCACCAAAGGCGCTGCTGCAAGTAGATTGTTATGTGCCTGCTCCAGGTTACCACCGGCAAGAGCTGAGAACACAGGGATCTCAACAGCGGCGAACCCGGCGTATGCCAGATCATACGTAGTGAAACTCGTCGAGACACAAAGCTGAAAGTTGCGAAGTGCTTCACTCAAAGGCTCATGGAAAATAGAGATATGCCCAGCAAAGACCTCGTAGATAGCAGGTGCGATAGAAGGCACCATGGGCTCACTCTCCACCAGGGTCACAGACAGCTTACCATAAGCATAACTGCGCACCAGATCATCACCGCCAAACTCGCAGAGAACACAAGCCGCCATTAACAGAGGGTATGCACTGTGTGTTGACATACCATGCTCTCTGGAGATAACCAAAGAGGTATAGCATACGCATTCCAGCAAGTCCGGCTTGCCCATGTAGACCGGCAACACGATCATTGCCAGGATTTCCTGCACGAGAAGTAAACGCTCATCCGACAATTTCCTCGCTTCACCCATGGCCTGGATCTCTTCCGGTGAAAGCATGATTTGCGGCCTCAGATTTCTCGCCTGCTCCGCAGCAGCCTCTGGATCAATCGGGATGTGGTACTCAAGGAACGCCAAACCCTGCAGACCACTCTGAATGGAGCCTAGCAACTCCCCTTGACCCATCTGACAATTGATCTTCGAGATTATGCCCTTTGCTTTATCCGTTGCTGTCCTTCCCCTTTCAGTAGCAATGTCGCATAAAGCGATGGCTTCCTCGTAGGCCGCTGAAGAGTACAGGGCGTCGGCAAGAGCCATATGCGTCTCAAGGGTCATGTCATACTGATCATCCCATGATGTGGGTTTCAGCAGACTATGAGCCGTGCGAATGTACTGAAGCGAAGCATCGAATGCAGTCGCCTTACCCGCTTTCATACCAGCCCGAAGATTGAGGTTGATCAGCTCCGTTCTATCTTCGTCACTGAGGGAATCCAGATCGGCGTTGAGCTGATTAACGATCTCATAGATGAAAGCCTCGACCTGCTCCTCGGAGAAGCACTGTAACATACGCTTACCGATCATCCTGTGAACGGCGGGGCGCTCCTTTGCATCGATGAGGGAGTATGCGGCTTGCTGAACACGATCATGCAAGAACCGGTACGTGATCGCAGCGCTCCCATCCGGTGCGGTGCCTGACGGCGGACTCACATTCGGTATTGGGCTGATGCTGGACCGTCTATCGCTCGTCGTTAATACCTTCAAGCTATTCTGCTCTGCCTTGAGACTGTCATCCAACCACGTTCCCATCGCTCCAGGGATCTTATAGCTCGAGCTCGTAGGCATTACTAATCCGTTTTCTAACGCACCCCAAAGATCCTTCGCGGTATCCTCAAGCGACCTCTCCGACACGAGTGCAAGCACCGAGAGCTGAAACCGGTTCGTCCCGATACATGCGGCCAACTTAAGAACTTCCTGAGTCTCCAAACTGAGGTTCAACATCTGCATGACAAGCAGATCCACAACAGTGGGTGGTAAGTCCTCCGCCTCGATACTCGCCAGATTGAACTTCCACATCGAAGACTGGAAATCGAAAGAGATATGCCCTTGTCGATGTAACGATTTCAACAACTGGTTCACGAAGAACGCGTTTCCCTTCGTCTTCGCAAAGACCAACTCGGTCAAAGTCTGCATCTCACGATCATCCGGACTCTGTCGTCGAAGTGTCTCCCCAATGACTGAACGAACACTGTCCATACCCAATGGTCCAAGCGTCAGCTCCACCAACTGTGTCCCCGCATCTTTCATGAGCCTCAATGCACCGTAAAGGTGGTGGTCAGAATCGACTTCGTTATCACGATAAGCCCCGATAATGAGTAAACACCGGTTCTTCGACTCCGCAACAGACGCCGCGATCGACGAAATCAACGCAAGCTCACCAGGCGAACTCCACTGCAAATCATCCAAGAACAAAACCAAGCCCTTCCGTGTAAACACCCCAATGAACTTCTGGAATACCGCCTTGAACCGGCTTTCGCGCTCAGCAGGACCGAGTGCGGTCATCGGCTCAATCGCATAATTCGGACCTAGAAGTAGTGCGACCTCAGGAATGACATCAACCAAAACCGACGCATCCGTATCGATAGCTCTCAGCACTTCCTTCCGCCATCTCTCCAAACTCCGCGTACTCTCGCTCAAAACCTGCCTAATCAAATCCTGCAATGCTTGAATTAATGAGAAGAACGGCATGCCACGCTTGTACTGATCGAATTTTCCCGTCAGAAAATGGGAACGGTTGGCGACGACGGGACGTTGCATCTCGTTGACGAGTCGTGACTTTCCAACACCAGAATATCCGGATACGATCACCACGCATGTACCTCCATTCTTCCGCACACGCTCGTAACAGTCGTTCAGTTTCTCCAGGTCCTTCTCCCTTCCGTATAGCTTCTCTGACACATTGAATTGCGATGCCTGATCCGTCAATCCTGCTCTGAAGTCAATAAGTGGTGAGTTTGTCGACAAGCTCTGCAGGAGTAGCGCCAAATCTGACTTCAAGCCGGATGCGGTTTGATATCGATCTTCGGCATTTTTCGAAAGAAGCTTCAGGATGACGTCGCTGAGTTCTGGAGGGATGTCGGGGTTGAGTTCGTGGGGTGGAATGACCGGTGCCGCAATATGCTGGTGAATAATCTCCAGTGAATCCCTTGACCGGAATGGCGGGAACCCAAGACAAGCCTCATATAACACCGCACCGACCGCATAAAAGTCCGCCCTCGAATCGACACTCCGGTTCATCCTTCCCGTGCATTCAGGGGCAAGATACGGTAGCGGCAGAGACGACTGTCGCAACCCTATTGACGGCGCATCTTCCCTCTCCAACCTCGAATATGAATCCCATCCAGCCAACCTCGCGTGTCCATCCGGTTTAATGATGATATTCTGTGCCGTGATCGAGCCGTGTGTAATCTTAAGTGTATGCGCCGCTATCAATGCCGAACATAAATCATCCGCGACCTTCAGCAATGCCGGTATCGTCTCCTTGCTCAACTCCCTCGGTGTGAGATTTGGTTCCAGAGACAATGGTTCGATTCCTGACCCTTCCGTGATGTATGGTTGTTCGCTGATATGCACTTCCCTCAACGTCTTCATATCCTCGCATTTATAAATCAACATCATCCCTCCATCCTGCCCGACATACTCCCACGTAAACGGCTTCAAACAATTCGGTAAGTCCGTCTCCGAGAAATCCGCCCACAATCTCCACTCCTGCCGTAACCGTGCCAGTGACTCTAAATGAGAACATGGACATACTTTGAGAAACTCCGTCTGTGATCGCGAGACCGAAAATGCCACAAAAGTCTGAATATAACCGACGCAGTTGATCAACCGAAGGTTCGTGTATCCGGCGATGTAGGTAACGATGTCATGAGGCAGTGAAACCGGGGTATTTGAGGTGACCGGACTCGTGGCTATAGTCTTGACGGAGCCTCCATCAGACGACATCGTTTCCCTTTCCACTCGAGGGTCGAGCAGCAGTCCGTCTCGTCTCGTCGTTCAGTAGCGATGCTGCTCTGGTCTCGAGCTCGGCGTGGTGTGGCTGTTCCAGCCACGGGGATTCAAGAGCTCCAAACGGCCGGCGCGCGTGAATCGGTCGGTACCCCAGGCAGGCTATGATCGATCGACGAAACACGACGTTGGCAAATGCCGTGCTTTCCAGCCGATTGGATGGGGTCGTTTTGCACCGGAAGGTTAGAGTTCAGTCGGGTCACAAACAAATACGGCCCGAGCCTCTCAACGGCGCCGGCTGTGGACGCTACGCTGCTCCCGCGGGCGCTGGTGAGATTGAAGCGAGATCGATATCGACGTCAGCGGGGCAGACGTCAAAATACCGTAAGCAAAGGATGGGTGTAAAATTTCTTGTATCAAACATCTCATATACTTGAAATTGTCGTCGGCTTCCACGACACTTTCGGGGTGTGCGTCCTCGTGTTCCGGAATTCATGCCGTTTGAGACGCCCTGTGAGCCTCGGGGACAACAGTTTTGCCGGCCATCCGGAGGAGTAAGGAGCTCCGCGACCATGGCAAAACTTCGTCGTAAAGATAGCCATTGGATTTCTCTGTGCATTTGAACGCACAGGAGCCCTCTACGGTATGGGGGTTTCTCAATCCAATACTTTCGCGCATGTTGGGCGAGACTGTGCGGATCTACGTATACATACATGTCGAGATTTCCCACGCCCTTGACAATCGTCGATGTCCCGGTAAAGTGTATCGCCAGCCCAAACGTTCAATGTCATCTGACCTTACTCCGGACTACACTTTACACGCCGCTTTCCGGGCATGCGCATATTGGGTCAACGGGTGAGAGCAACTTGGAACCGGGAGGTCCGGATTATTCCGCCCTTATGAGAGAACTTGGACTAAGCAGATACAGGACAAGGAAGATGGAAACGTAAGTAAGCATCAGAAGAGTGATCAATTCTCCTAACAGTGATTTTGTGTGCACGGCCAAACGAAAAAACAAACATTCCCAAACCGAACCCAGCAAACTTAGGCCTCGAATCCCGGTGTCCCGTAAACAAGAAAAGCAAGAAAAACTCCCAGAATAGTATAGTAAAAAGAAGAAAACCCATGTGAAACCCTAGTAACCGTGAAAGAACCAAACCAGCGTATATCAGAACCATTGCCAGTGACTCATGGCCTGCGTGCAGACTAGGAGGTGGCAAAACGACCCATCAACTCAGAAGAGATTGAGTGGGTGTTTAGGCGCGCTCACCGCGGAGACGGCGGGCCAAGGACATGTCCTTGGGCTGGATGGTGACACGCTTGGCGTGGATGGCACACAAGTTGGTGTCCTCGAAAAGAGAGACGAGGTAAGCCTCAACAGCCTCCTGGAGAGCACTATGGTCGAGATATTAGCATCGATTATTCAAACACTGTTCTCGGAGTAGTGTGACATACCCAATAGCGGAGGACTGGAAACGCAAGTCGGTCTTGAAGTCCTGAGCAATCTCACGAACCAAGCGCTGGAAAGGCAACTTGCGGATCAAGAGCTCAGTGGACTTCTGGTAACGACGGATCTCGCGGAGAGCGACAGTTCCGGGCCTATAACGATGGGGCTTCTTGACACCACCGGTCTGGGCGGGGGCGGACTTGCGGGCGGCCTTGGAGGCGAGCTGCTTGCGGGGAGCCTTTCCTCCGGTGGACTTACGGGCGGTCTGCTTAGTACGGGCCTGGTAGACGTGTTAGAATGATGTTGGGAAGGGTGGGGGAGGATGGGATGGGATGGGGCAGTGGGGGTCCTCAGGACTCCTCTCCAGCACGTCGCCACCCAACCAGCGACGACTCGAAGACGAGACGAAGTGGAGCGCAACAGCGCATTGAACAAGAGTCAAAGAATCCATCAATAAACCCAACTCATCCTTGTTCAAGAGAACTCACCATTGCTAATGTTGGTTACTGGGGTGGAGTGGTGTTGTTGAGTCAGAAGGGTTGGGGCGGGGGGATTGCGCGGCTTATATGTGAAAAGGGGGTGAAAGAGCGTCTGGAAAGCGCGCCGAAATGTGGCCTTATTGCGCAGCGTTGATGCTTCACTGTCAACTCGCGCGTCCGAAGCTCTGGCGGACAATGCACGTGCGGGGAGCGCGACGAAACCGCGAATCGCCGAGTCGGGAAGCCTTACACTGGAAAGGATCAACATCGAGCACAGTCAAAAGTCCATGGAATCAAACTGAAAAAGAGACGACATTAACGTGATTTTCTTTCAGGAATGTCACACTTTCTGCGACCTCAAATTCACTCAAGTCACTTCTAGGGTCTCCCCGATTCGGCCAGAGTCTGCCGCATCGGGCAGTTCAAGTACACAACTTCCAAAATAGATTTCAACGTTACCGCGCGATCGGCATCACACCAAAAGTTCGTGCACACAACTTCCGCAAACAAAAAACTCTGAGTTCCATCCGATCGTAGGACCATGGTGACTTCATGACTCCCGTAGCTCCCTTGCCCGGTCCTTTTCTCAATCGTCGTTTTTGCTTCGTGGATAAAAAGAGCGCCCCATCCACTCTAGCCATCCCATCGATCCATCTTCGCCGGCCAACTCGTCTACCAATGAAGAACCTCCACAGTTTACCTCCAACAAACAACGAGGAGCACAGCAAAGATGACTCACGACTACCCTCACGTTAATATCAACCAGATCGACCACCGCTCCTACTATATCCCCGACTGGCCCCGCGACCGCGAGTACTAGTACACGACCTGCTCTTTCACTCCCTCGTCCAAATGCCAAGCCACCCATCCTGTCGCCGCAAAGAGGGGGATCACGGACCAGTACGGCAGGAAGATCAAAAAGTCGAACAAAGTGCCCATGTGTGGTCAGCTGCCACCAAAGTTCAACCGCGCGAAGCCCTGGGCCGAGCCGCAGTATTCCGAGAAGCACGCGAGTCGTGAAGCACGCGAGTTGAACACCATCTTCTATGAACCTTGGAAGAATTTGAACTCTTGGTGTACACTTATCCGTGGGAAGATTTGGCGGGACTTTGGGGGCGCGCAAACCGCAGCTGGCTGCACACAGCAGCAGTACGCACTCCATGTCTCGGTTGGCACGCAAGCGGAGACCGACCCCGATACACCACCAACAGCATACACCTCCTTCGAAAGCTTGATCAAGGATCACTTGAGCAACCAGCAATTGACCCAACGATGGACTCGTTCGCAGCATCTTGCGGCCCTTCAAATCCGCTACAGACACTCTCAAAGCACCAACAGCATGATACCTCTCTTCAGCGGGACCGGTTCAACTCGCAGGGTCCAGCAAGTCAACGGCAGTCGTTCAGATCTACGCCGCAGATAGATCCGCAGCTACAGCATGAAGCTGAAGCATTTATGCGGGGAGAGCCATTACCGGGACCTGAGCTTGGAATGGGGATGGGAATGGGTATGAGGGGTGTTGGTGCGAGGCCTCAGGGTGGTGGGATCGGCATGGATGGGTGGGCGGATGACTTTCAGAGACTACAAGTGTCACAGCCAAAAGCACAACCACTTTTTATGGCCGTGAACGGGAAGGGCAAGGCGGTCATGGGAGGTGGAAGAGGTGGGTGGGGTGCAGAGTTCCTCGCTCAGCGTCGACAAACAGCGCCGCCGCAACCTGCCTCACAAGCATACGCCGCACAACGAACAGGCATGGGCATGAGCATGGGTTATGCCGGTGTGGGAGGACAGCTCTATCACGAACAAGTACAGCAACAACCCACGATGAACCAACAAGAACAGGTGAAGCACGACCAAGCCTTAGACCAAGCATTCGCCGAAGCAGAGAAGCATGCTTTCGAGAGTATCAACGTGGAGCAGGACACGATAGAGATCCAGAAGTGGGATCAGCAAGGTCTTGTGGAGATGTACAGGGACAAGATGGATGAAGTACTCCGGGAGAAGGGGGCGGGCGCGGATCCGCTCGAGGTGTATCATCATACGGAGAGTGATATGCTCAATACATTTGCGCCAGAACCCGAACTTGAGACTGCTGCTGAGCAACAGACAGACAAGCCGGTCAACCACAACGACGCACTTGCCGCCACCGCTGGCTCTTTACTCGAGAGCCTCAAAGACGAAACAGACGAGAAATTCCAACAATCGAGTTTCATGCAGCTCATGCGCAAACTCCGAGATGGCGAGGTTCACGTTGAAGGCGACAAGATGGTCGAGACCGTCGAACCCGTCACAACCTATGGACATACAACCCAGGACACGCACTGGCCACATACCAAAAGCGGTGCATTCACCCCCGTTACAGACGCGGATATCCACCGTGCCGGAAGACTCGAACGGAGCTGGGGCGAAGACCTCGATTTCGAGAAATTCGAGAACGAGAATTTCTTTGGGAGGGGCCAGTGGGGTGGAACAGCAGCTGACCCCGGAAACGCAAATAGGTGGGAGAATCCGAATTTCATGGAGGGGTGAGCGTAATGAGCCGATGTGTACGATGTGTCCGCCGATCGAATGGGAGAGTACGATATAGATACCCAACACCACCAAACCACCAAATGCAATGCAAGTTCTTCTTTATCTTTTTACTCCGATGCAGCAGCCCTATACCATCTAACATCACCCACCGCACCCACCGTAACGAACCCCTCAATCCCCGTCTTCGTCCAGCTCACGTCCCAAACCGGACCCTCATTATCACTAACCGTACACACGCACTCCCGTGTCCGTACATCCCACACCTTGACTTTTCCATCCACAGCGGCTGACGCGATATATTCTCCAGTTCTATTCCAGTCTAGAGCGAATACCCATCGGTTGTGGCCTGTTAGTGATGCGACCTGTTCTCCTGACCGCGGGTCGTGGAGACATATCGTTTCTGAGTCGCCGACGGATGCCAACAAACTACTTCCCGGACTAAACTTCACCCCTCTGACCGTATTTGAGCCATGTCCTGGTAGCGAATGAAACATTCTTCCCGTTTCGGTGCTAAAGATGTAGAGGCCCCCGTTTTGGTGGCCGGTTGCGATGTACCGACCGTCGGGGGAGTAGGCTATGCAGGTGCCGAATGAACCGCGGGTATCGTCTGAAGCGAGGCGGGAGGATGATGCGAGATCGTAGATTGTCATTTTTCCGGCGTAGGAGGTTGTTGCGAGGGTTTTTGTGTCGGGGGAGAGGGCGATTGACCATGCTGTGTCTTTTGAGCCTGGTTCTGTAGGCTCTACATTAGTCACCATATACAGGCCAATACCAGAAGAGCCCACCTTCGATTCGTCCTACTTCTTTCATTTCTTCCAGGTCCCACACTATCACCTCTCCAGCAAACCCAACGCTTACCATCCTGTTTCCCTCGGCATTCACAGCCAAATGATGGATACCCGCAGCATGTGGTGTTTCTATTGTGTTTATCAGGGTATGTTCAGGACTTGCTGCGTCCCAGAATTTAATTGTTGAGTCTCCGGAGGCTGTGATGAGGTGTGTGGAGGTGAGGATGGAGGAGTAGATGTCTGAGGAGTGTGCGGAGGGCTCGTGGTGAGCTGTGAGGAATTGGGTTGACTGTAAGACGCATGTTAGTCAATGACGAGAGCGATGAACCCTTAAGTCTTACAGGCATCTCTTCGGGGCGTAGGCTCCTTCCTTTTCCAGCTGCTTCACTTTGGTCTCGAGGAGTTCAGCTGTGACGTCGGCAAGGCCAAATGAGATGAAGAAAACGCCTGCTGTTCGAGCTTGGACGGGAATGAAAAACACTTGGTATTATGTTCAAAATACATTGATGCATCTCGTTTTCCAGCCGTCCGAGGAAATCCAAAGTCCCAGGCACATTGCAGGCGTACACGAAGCTGGGTGAATATCGCAACCCCCACACCAAATTGTTGCAAGAAGGCAGATCACCCACAGTCATGCCCCGCGACTATAGAGCCCTCCGTGTCCACCAGAAGGCGTCCGACCTTCTCGCTGGCAAGCAACTCAAGATCGAGCCAGCATGGTACCGCCCTATTCTCCACCGTCCACCATCAACGAACATCGTCATGCAGAAGAGGAACCCAAGAAAAATCGATTATCCAGAGGATAACCTAAGGGCAGAGTTCTACAAAGAACACCCGTGGGAGTTGGCAAGGCCGAGGGTTATCACCGAGAACGATGGGAGAGATTACGATAAGTATGATTGGAGCATGTTGGAGCAGCCAGGAAAGCCGCTAGATGGTGAGAGGTATGTCAAACACCCCTTTTACGTAGATTCGCGAACCGATGCTAACGTTCTCACAGCGTCGTGCAACACCAGTTATGGCTCATGCGTAAAGCCGGCATGTCAAAGCAGAACGCCTACCTCCAAGCCTGTTTCCAATTCTACAAACTCCGCGCCAGATCTGAAGTCCTCCAGCGTATCGCCCGCGAAGAGAACCTTCATAACGGCTGCGGCACGATCTGGAACAAGAGTGTTTTGGAGCGTGCATATGAGAAGGAGGGCAAGGTCGTTCAGGACTGGCTTGAGAAGGCGACTGCGAGGACTCGGGAGGGTATGACGCGCCAAGGCACGGCAGGAGGTGTCCAGGCCTGGGCAGATGAGTTGCTTCAGGAGGAAGAGGCACCGGCAGCGGAGGTAGCAGTAGAGGGAGCACCTGCCCCTGCAACAGCGGCATAGGGGTGGAGCTGGGGATGTGAATGAGAGATCTGAACTTGACACACAAAAATTGGATTTCATGTTTGGGTAGTGGTTGTTATTATGGCGTTTGGAAGGCATGCACATGAAACCAAACAAATTTGATGCATTTGGAATACAATCCCTGGGTATATTACTACTCCTCCTGACTCCCTATCTTTGCAATGGTGCGCTTCATTCAGCGCAGCTTCCTCGCTTTCTCGTACAACAGGTCTACGACATCCCCAAGGTGCTTCATAGTCTCCACTGCTTGGTTATACAACACCTCCTTCTCCTGCTCCTCGAAGATCTCCACGCAGCCACTACCTTGGTCGAGCACGCCCTTCAACACCTTGTCCAAGATCATTTGTGACAACTTGTTCTCCACCTGTTGCTGACTCAGCTGGATGGTCTCTGCGATATACGAAATCTCCACCCGTGAAAAGGGCTGCAAGATGCGCAAAAGGTTAGACTCGAGGAGCGAGTCGTAGAGTGCCGTAAAGTGCTGGCGAATGATAGGATCGGTCTGAAGCTCCGATTTGTAGTTGCTTAGCGCTTTCTCGAATTCCGCGAGACTCTTCTTCTGGTGAGCCACCGCGACAGCCTTCATCGCCTCCACCTCGCGGCCGACGTACTTTTGCGCCATCTTGCTGCCGATCACGACACCGAGGTCGTCGGTTTCCGACATCATGATCTTGCACAACAGCATGTATTTCAATGCCCTGACAGCATCGCCGTACGTGTCGACCGCAGCCTCCTTGTTCGATGCAGAAGGAGAGTTGATGCCCGCGTACCCCTCCAACGCCTCGAAGAAGTAGGAGTAGCCAGTCTTGAAATCCCTATCATCCGCATGCAAGATACCGGACTGCATATCCAATCCAGCTTGAAGCAAGGGTGGGCAGTAAATCGAGTTGGCGTTCGTGCGGGCTGCGGTGAGGGCGGCTCTTGACTTGGCGAGGTTGCGCAATGCGGAAAGCACGCGTGACTCCAAGAGGTGTACCTCGACAAGCATAGCCTTATCGTCAAGCTTCTTCAACTCACGCAACAAGGTCTCGATCAACTTGAGCGCATCCTGGAATTGCGCGTTCTCCAAGTACAACCCAATCAACTTTGCCTCCAGCGTTTGGCGGAGAAAGATTCGCTTGTCGTTTAGGGCCCATTCGATGCATTCTTTGGTGATGCTGATTTGGACGGGGGTCGCGGAGGGGATTGGGTTGAAGTCGTCGATGAGGGTACGGATGATCTTTGCGGACTTGGCTTTGGCGAAGGAAGACATGAATGTCCGAGACTTGCGGACAAGGTCGGCGAGGGCATCAATGTTTCTGTCAACATACGTTAATCGTCATTCCATAATCATTCAGTTGGCGAAACATACTTCTGATCCCTATACAACTCTCCCAAACCAAGCAATGCATCTTCCTGCTCTCTCACCACAGTATCATTCGTGTTTCCTAGCTCAGTAGAGAGAATGGCAACATAACCCTGCTCGGCAGAGTGAAGGTCGCCTTTCTTGTGAGCGTCTTTGGCTTGCTGAAGTTGTGATGTTGCGTCAACCATTGTCGTTGAATTGCACTGATTGTCCGGGTCTGTATGCTTCGAGTCTCGGTGTAGTGGTTTGAATGCGCGTACGTCACCTAAGGCACGTGAGGGCTGCCGGGTTTGTACTTCTTGGTTGAGGTTAACTTAGGGGTGTAAAAACGGCGCGCAAGTCAATTGAAGAAACGGGGGATCCTCAATTGGAAACCGGAGAACTACAAAAAGGGATGGTGCAAACAGCGGGAAACGGGCAAGACATGAACTGAGCCAGATAGGATAACAAGCAGATCTTTCAACACGTAAGCACCTCCTTCAAGAAACGACCTTCAATCGCGAGTAAGGTTGCTTCAAGCTGCATTCAAGCCAGGGCGAAACGCTCGAGCCCAGCCGGTGCGCGTGCTCCTCCAAACAGCATATACCCGCGACTCGTCGCATACAACCGCAATGATCCCAGCAGGCGCAAGACCTCCTCAACATACTGTCCCAGGATACCAACGTCGCCGAGGTCCTCCCGGTCTGCCGCCGGGTCCTCCACGTCAACCATCTGGTCTTACGCGGTTGAATAAGCCAATATTGCGCGACGTGCCAAAGAGAATTGCTGAGCTTGTGCCGAATGTGGAAGTACGCAATATCCTGAATGCCTTTTGTGCAGTACTGATGGAGTTGCCTTTCAGGAGTACAACAGTCTACGCGATGTTGAGCGACGGCTCGACGCGGTGATGATGCGCAAGAGGGGCGATCTGGGAGAAGCCATTGACATTCCACGAAGGGTATGTTTTCATTTGCATAAGTTGTAGTGCATTCTCTGACCCTCTTTATACAGACCAAGCAAACACTCCGTATCTTCATTTCAAATACTGCCTCAGACCAGCCATGGCAGGCCACCGACCAACTCGATACAAACGCGTTCGATTTCGAGACCGGTGCTATCCCGTCCTGGACCCTGAAGATCGAAGGCAGAGTATTGGAAGACGATTCGAAAAAATTCTCGGATGTCGTCAGAAGTGTCGTGGTGGACATTGAGCGAAGTCGGGACTTGTATCCTGACGGGAATGTCGTTGAGGTACAAGCATCCCATGAAAAAGCAGTCTCGACCATGCTAACAAGGCCAATTCTACAGTGGCAGCAAAACCCCAACCCTGCACAGCGCGGCCCAGCTTTCGACGCCCTTGAAATCAAGCGCAAAGGCGATACCGACTGTCCCGTACGCATCCACATCCACCCCCTCCTCCTCGCCGAGAAGTATAAGATTCACCCATCTCTTGCCAATGTTATTGACATGCGGGAGGGCAACATGCCTGAGATTGTCATGGCCCTCTGGCGCTACGCGAAATACCATAATCTCCAAGACCCGGAAGAGTTGAGAATGATCAATTGCGATATGGTGTTGAAGCATCTCTTTGGCGTGGACAGGATTGCATTCGCGGACCTGACGCAGGCGTTAAGGCCCTTGACAAATTGTCCTGCTGACCCTATTACGTTGACATATACTGTCAAGGTGGATCAGGAGACGACCATGGCTCCCACGGCCTTCGACATCGAGATTGAGACCTACGATAATGAGTCTACGAAGGAGATTGCCAGCCTCTTGTCTGCTCTTTCTACCCCAGATCCCAAGATCCTCGAACTTGACGACAGAATCTCCGTTCTCATTGGCGCTTTGGATGCTAATCGTCTTAAGCGTCAGTTTTTCCTTGAGTTCTCCAAGGACCCCACGAACTACCTCAAACGATGGATTGATGCGCAATCACGTGATCTTGAGGTGGTCCTTGGTGACCGTGCTGTTGATGAGGAGGAGAGTCGGAAATCCGACTTTTATCAGAAGGAATGGATGGATGAGAGTGTGTGGCATTACCTTGCGGCACAGACGCAGAAAAAGGTACAGGAGATTTTGGCAGCGCAGCAGACAATGAGTGCACCACCGGCGGGTGGAAGAAGATAGGAGGGTGGATGGAAAGATGAGGGGAAGGGAGCGGACGTGGGATTCATAGCCCATTTATGACAGGAGTTGTTACTTGATCTTAGATTGTATGGCGGAGTTACCTTTTCTCAATGAACTCCGCACCACCTATGAACGGCCGCAACACCTCAGGAATCCTCACTCTCCCATCCTCCGTCTGCCCATTCTCCAAAATCGCAATAATCATCCTTGGCACCGCAACGGCCGTTCCATTCAGCGTATGTACGAACTTCAACCCATCCTGCGTCCTATATCTCGTATTCAACCTCCGTGCCTGGTAGTCTGTGCAATTCGAAGCAGAGGATACTTCACCCCAGCCACGGGAAGGCATCCAAGCTTCGATATCGTATTTGCGGTATGCGGATGCGCCGAGTTCGTGGGTCGGCATGTCGAGGACACGGGCGTGGAGGCCAAGTTCTGAGACGATTTCCTCCTGAAGTGTGCGGATTTCCTCGAGCATGGCGTCTGATGCGTGGGGTTCTGTCCACGCAAAGAGTTCGATCTTGGTGAACTCGTGCACACGGTAGAGGCCCTTGGCATCGAGTCCGCCTGCGCCTGCTTCCGCACGGAAAGCGCGGCCGACACCGACGACGCGGCGGGGGAGGGATGATTCGGGGAAGATGGTGTCGATTTCGAGACCTGCGAGGGGAATTTCGGCGGTTCCGGCTAGGCAGAGGTCGACAGTATTGTCAGCTGATCCGTGTGAGACGCGGTATGTCTGGTCATCTGCCGCGCCCTCTCTGGGTCTGAATCCACATGCCGCAGCGACTTCAGTTCTCACGACATCGGGTGGTCTCACTGGCATGAAACCCTTTGAGATCGCTTTTTGGAGGGAGTAGTTGATGAGGGCCTGTTCGAGGAGGACTGCGGAATTTTTGAGGTAGTACCATGAGCCACCTGAGACTCGGGATGCGGCGGTGAAGTCGACGAGGTCCAGGTCCTGCGCGATGGTGACGTGGTCCTTGAGGTTAGGAGTGTCAAGCTTGGAGGAGGGGTTGAGGAGATCGACAGTTATTGCGTTTTCTTCGGGGCCGAGGGGTGCGGAGGGGTGGGTCGTGTTGGGTAGCGTCAATCCTGTGTTGAGGAGTTGTGCTTCTGTATCCCGTAATGCTTGCTCCTGCGCTTGAATGGGCGCTTTAAGCTTGCTGGCTTCCTGTACTAGTTCCTTCTTTTTGCCATTGGGAGCCGCTTTGATGCGATCCGTTAACGCATTTCGTTGTCGGAGCATGTTGTTCAATCCCCTTGTCTTCTCGGTAAAATCATCGTAGAACGCAACGAGCTTTGCCACATTCGGTGCTGCCTTTGCGAAATTTCGATCTACACAGTTCTTCTCGACTAATTCCGCATTGTCGCGAACGTATTTGTAGTCCAACCGGGGCTTGGGAAGGGGGCTATGGGCGGCCGAGGAGACTGCAGGGATCGATCAGCTCCATTGCTCCACTCTCAACGACCACGTCTCCAAGCGCACCTGCGAAAGTTCTTCTGAGCTTCTGTGGCTGGACCGCTCGTCGTCCGCCGGTCTTACAAGCTGTACAGACCCAATTCATGATTTCCAATATTCGGTAGGTAACGTCGACAACCTCGGATGCACGTGAGGCTCAACGCGCATCGCACCTGCAGGGCACCTGAACCTTACGAGACGAGCAACGACGAGGAATAACAGAAGGCAATCAGATAGAAGGTACGTAGTCTTGTCATCGCGTTTAAGGAATGGAATTGGTCGAGGAGCTCTGTGGATCTTCGCGTTCGGCTTGACTCTAAAGTTCTGCTTCAGGAGCTTTTGGTGTTTCTATTTCTTCGACGACGCGACATATTGGTGCAATGAATGCTAACATTGCTTGCTACAGTCTGTCATTATGAACGCCCCTGTCATCGTCGTCAACAACAACGGCGAACGCCAAACCGGCCGTAAGGCCCAGACCTCTAACATCACCGCGGCCAAGACCGTCGCCGACATCATCCGCACATGTCTTGGACCAAAAGCCATGTTGAAGATGCTCCTCGACCCTATGGGCGGTGTCCTCCTCACCAACGATGGTCACTCCATTCTCCGTGAAATCGATGTTGCTCACCCTGCCGCTAAGTCCATGATCGAGCTCTCAAGAACACAGGACGAGGAGGTCGGTGATGGAACTACCACTGTCATTATCTTGGCTGGAGAGATTCTTGCGTATGCTCTTCCTCATTTGGAGAGGAACATCCATCCTGTTGTTATTATTTCGGCGTTGAAGGAGGCTTTGAAGGATGCTTTGGACATCGTGGAGAAGGTTTCGATTCCCGTGAATGTTGAGGATGATAAGGAGATGACTCGCTTGATTTCCGCATCTATTGGTACCAAGTTCGTCGCCAAGTGGAACGACCTTATGTGCAAACTTGCTCTTGATGCCGTCCGTACCGTCGCGACCGACGTCAACGGCCGTGCTGAGGTCGATGTCAAGCGTTACGCACGTATTGAGAAGGTTCCCGGAGGTGATGTCGAGGAGTCACGAGTATTGGACGGTGTCATGCTCAACAAAGATATTACCCACCCCAAGATGCGCAGACGGATCGAGCACCCCCGTGTCGTCCTCTTGGACTGTCCCCTTGAATACAAAAAGGGAGAGTCTCAAACCAATATTGAGATCACAAAGGAGGAGGACTGGAACCGTATCTTACAGATTGAGGAGGAGCAGGTAAAGGCTATGTGTGAGGCCGTTCTTGCGTTGAAGCCTGATCTCGTTATTACCGAGAAGGGAGTATCAGATTTGGCGCAGCACTACTTCTTGAAGGCGAATGTTACTGCGCTGAGACGAGTGAGGAAGTCTGACAATAACCGTATCGCACGAGCAACGGGTGCTACCATTGTCAACCGTGTCGAGGACTTGCACGAATCTGACGTCGGCACCGGCTGTGGTCTCTTCAACATCGAGAAGATCGGAGACGAGTATTTTACTTTCCTTACCAAGTGCAAGGACCCCAAAGCATGCACGATTCTCCTCCGCGGTCCATCAAAGGATATCATCAACGAGGTCGAGCGTAACCTCCAGGACGCCATGTCCGTTGCCCGCAACGTCTTCTTCCACCCCAAGCTCGCCCCAGGAGGTGGAGCGACCGAAATGGCCGTCTCTGTTGGTCTTGCCGAAAAAGCTCGCTCAATCGAAGGCGTCATGCAATGGCCCTACCGCGCCGTCGCCGACGCAATGGAAGTCATCCCCCGCACCCTCGTCCAAAACTGCGGTGCAAACCCCGTTAAAGTCCTTACCCAACTCCGCGCAAAACACGTCGAAGGCCAATCCTCCTTCGGTATCGACGGCGATAACGGCAAGATTGTTGATATGCACACATATGGTATTTGGGAGCCTCAACAGGTTAAGACTCAGAGTTTGAAGACCGCGATTGAAAGTGCGTGTATGTTGTTGCGTGTTGATGATATTGTGTCTGCGAAGAGGGCTGCTTCTGGTGCTGGGAACCGCATGGGTGGACCTCAGGATGCGCCTGAGGAGGCTGAGGGTCAGCAGTAAGTCGTGGGTGTTTAGACATTATTGGGAGTGTAAAGTAAAAATCTTGATTAATCATAGACGATGTTTTGCCTTGGGTATATTGTGATTGTCTATATCCTTTTCCGTTTGGTATCGTACGCCATCCTTTAAGTCTGATTATTCCTCCATTGCATCGTCATCGTCATCGTGTTCCGCCTTGGCTTCTTCCTCATTGTCTTGATATCTGACTTGATGTTCCTCCTGATATTCTTCCTCTTGGGACCTGCCTTCCTGGTATCCGCCCTCCTGTCCATCCTGGTGCTCATATCCCTCTCCACCTTCCTCGTACCCCTCACCATTCTCCATTTCTGCATTCTCCTCAGCCGTAACCCCAAATAACCCGAGAATGGCGTGCATGTCTTCCTCACTCATCCGATTCTCCATTTCCTCAACAATGTTGTATAAATCCACTGCAGCTTTTGGTCTCGAGTTAATGATCTGCAGTGTTTCTGCCTTCGTGAGATCGAAGTGTGCAAGATCCTGAGACAGTTGAACGATCTCTTCTGCGGTATAGTTTGCTGCTGGAGATGATTTCAGGTAATCAAGAAGCTGTGAGCCAAGTCAGCAAATTCTAGCAGATAGCTGAGGGAGATGGGCCGATGCCTCACCTCATACTGGATAGTCCTGAAGTTCGCTGAGCCCAGAGCAGCTGCTGAACCCAGTACTCGCGCTGTCTCCTTCTGCCGTTCCTCAATTTCTCTGAAATGTGCGAGGACTTCGTAATCTGTAAGGAATGCCTCCCTTACCTTCAGGATCTGTAGGGCAATTTAGCGAGAGTCAAAGTAGAGCTCGATCTGAGCAGCCATACCTTCATGACTCCTGGCGCTCTCGTCGCAGGGCTGTTGTTCAGAAGTGTACGTACATACAAAGTCTACGTTACAGAGTACGCGCACGTGAACTGGGAAACAGTGCCTACATGTTCCGAATATGGTAATAGGATGGGGGAATGAACCGAATCTGTACTCGGAAATAGGTATCATTGGTGTACAACGAAGAGAAAAAATTATAGTTCAACGCCTCGCTTCCACTTCTCACCGGTTTCACAACATCTTTCTGGTTGTGGCTCGTTCATATGACAGCTAGGCACACGAGTAATCTATGTGAGTCTCCCTTGGCTTGTTAGGCGGTAAATGTCAAGTTTAATGCTGCAGAGCCGCCTGATTAGCTGATGGATCTCAACATTCAGTCGGAAGACCTACGTCAACATCATCCCAAGTCCTCCCATGCACACCAGCAAGGTCCTCCATCGTGGGAATTGCACCAGAAGTGAAGTATCCAGAGTGAATCTTGGCGTCAATCTCAACGCGGGAATCTGCAAGTCACCTATTAGCATCGGAAAAACTACAATTCGTTTAGGGACTCACCGTCTGGAATCATATCGTCCGGAATAGGTACGCGTTCGTAAATAGGGATGCCGCTGTCGACAATCGCATCGTGTTTCTGTGGAAAAGTCAGTGCAAGCGCGAAAGAGCTGGCTGAATGACTTCCTCACCATGTTTGACATGGACAGCATCCTATCGACTTTCTGGATACCAAGCCAATGCAAGATATCCGGCATCAGTGCCTGGAACCTCATGTCCTTCACACCGGCAATACCTGTAATCGGTCGTCAGCAGCAGAACTCACAGAACTGTACTCAAAACCTGCTTACCTTCAGTACGAGCAAAGTACTTGTCAGCAGTATCACCCGTCCTCTTCCTAACATTGTAAACCAAGTACTTGGTAACCTCACCCAATGCTCTTCCCTCCTTCCTGAAGTAGATCACCACACCACTTCCACCATTCTGTGCCTCCTTAACAGCCTCCTCAATACCGAACAACAGGTATGGTCGACACGTGCAGATATCAGATGAGAAGACATCTGATCCGTTACACTCATCGTGGATACGGAGAGCGAGGCGGTTGTTTGGGTTGGAGACCTTGGCGGGGTCACCGAAGATATAGACTGTCAACCCGCCGATAGGTGGGAGGAAGACCTTGAGGTCGGGGCGGGTGATCAACTCGGGGTAAGAACCTCCAGTGTCCTCGAACAATGCCCTCCTCAGAGTTCCCTCCTCGATGCCGAAACGCTTGGCGACCCCAGGGAGATACCATACTGGCTCAACCGCAACTTTGGTGACAGCGAGTTCACCAGACTGGTTCACAACAACCTTACCGTCTACTTGTATTCTACCTTTCTTGACTGCATCCTCTAATTCCATCAGTTTCATGTGCGCTTTAGTGACTGCGATCGTGGGACGGATGTCCAGTCCTGCTTCCAGCTGGGAGGAGAAGAGAGAAGCTACGGCGTGACCGAAGGGATCTGTATTGAGAAGTTAGCCGATATCGTAGATTTGTCGGACATGGTCTTCAATACCCATCGACACAATTTTCTCAGGATCACTCCACTGCGGTTGCTGCATGATAGGAACGGGAGGCTGTGTATGGGTGAAGTCTGGCTTGTGGTTGATTGGGAGGTCACCCATAGCGACAGCAAGGGCATGGTAGATCGAGTATGACTGTATGTCGTCGTTACTTAGCCGAGCTTGAAGAAAGCTGCTTGACGGGGAACTACTTACACCACCATGCGCACCGATCGCATTCCTCTTACGGATGGTAGAAGGCTGGCGAGCCACGATAACTGTCTCAAACAGTCAGCCTTTGCGTAGGACGTCGCGAATTCTTTGGGACATACTTGGCCCTCTAGCTCTCGGGTCCTCAGCACCCCACTTCAACGGAACAGGATCAACTCCTGACTGGCCAGGGTACGTAGTCAAAACCACTCTCTTCCCCCAACCATCTTCGATTCTCTCTTTCACATCCGTAACCTTCCTTTCCCCGGTGAAAATAGCCCTCGTGCTCATGGCACCGTTGTTCATCGGCATAGGGGTCACCGTGGGAGACAAAGGGACACCAGCGGGAAGGCCGGGGTTTGGCGGCGTGCCGTTGAGGACGGAGGCAATTGACTCCACTGAGCCGCGACGACTGCTTGAGGAGCCAGATATGGCTGCAACTTGGGATTTGAGAGAGTCAATGGTTGCGAGGGTTGAGGAGGTGGTGAGGTCGAACTGTGTCCAGTCAGTCAGCAGGTGCCCCAAGGCATAGTCGATGACGGAAACATACCTTCTGAGCAAGCTTATCCTGGTCCAATTTGAGTGACTGTACGCACTCGTCAGCCTACGCTTCACGGACCAGAACCGGATATGCGAGTGCATACCCTAATTGTCTCAAGAATTTGGCCCAACAGAGCACTTTCGGTCGAAGTAGCGGTGCTTCCAGGTATCATAGCAGCGGGGGTCATTGTTGTTTGTTCAAATGTATCTGATTCAGGCATTGTATGCGGGTCTTTGGAGTTGCGGTCTTATACTGCTGAGCTCCTCTTCCGACGTCGGGAAGCAGCCGACATACAGTACAGTCCAGTACCACGGCACGCGCGCCCGACCCCGCCGCTGCGTACATACCTCGTACGGCTGCCGTAGCGATTAGAGATAGGGAGGGACCAGCGGATACCTACAGGGGACATATATGCAATGCTATTGGATTGTCAATTTGTCTAATGAGAACCGTCCTCCTAATCCAATTGTTCTGCCGTCGCTTGACCTACTCCACGGGCAGTTTGTCCTCCCCCTTCGCCGTCATCGCCGCCTGGAAATTCGAGCTCGTATCCATCTTCAACACCTCCCTCAAAGCCATCGTAGCATACTGACTCGTCCCCAACGCTAACTTGACCACAATCGCCGTAAACGCACCATCCTGACCCCTCTCCCCCGCCTCGACATTCGTGTTCATCAACAAATCAAGATCGGTACGAACGAGCTGTTTGTCTCCGTCGGAGTACTTGACGATTTCCCAGGATACGGTGGAGGGACGGTAGACGATCTTGCGGTAGTTTCCGGTGAGGGAGAGTTCGCGGACGGAGCGGTACATGTCGAAAGGGTTGAGGGAGTCCTTGGCCATGATGTCGACGTATGCTTGCTTGGTGTCGTTCTTTGGGTACTGAATTTCGGTACCAGGGGTAGGAAGGACGATGTCGTGAATGGTGTACTTGCCGCTGTCCACATCCTCCTGCGTGAGAATCTTGACCTTGGGCACAGTGCTGACGACAGGCGCGTCATTGTTGTGCATGGTAGAAGTCTCGAGCTCGGGAGCCTCCTCATCAACAACATCCTGAGTCTTTCCTTCGACCTTCTCCTCTTCCACAAGAACCAAGTCTCCGACGACGGGCTTCAATCCAAAGTTCTTGATTCTCTCGCTCACAACCAAGTTCCAGACGTAAGACTGGTAACTGTGTACATACAACAACCTCAGGTTCCTAGGCACAGCCTGGAACGCAGCAGAGTAGTTTCTGGTGTTACCAGTGTTAACCATAGCCTGCAGCACAGCATACTCAGCCACACAGTTTCTCGGCATCAACTTCAGGGCCTTCGCGGGGTCCTTGGTCTCTTTCCAAACTCGTCTAGCTTCGACAGATTCTGCACGCATGAACTTACGTTCGGCGAGGATGAGCTCGACAGCTGCTTCCCAGTTGGACTGGAGGAGTAGGATTCCAGCGTCATGGGTTCCGATCGACGAAGTACCGAAGCGCTGCATACCAAAGTAGTTGATGAAACCTTGTTCTTTCAGGGTTTGCATGGCGGTGTTGATCTGTTCCACGTTCTCGGCCTTGACGTTACGGAGAGTAATTGTGAACTCATTGCCCTTGAGCTGGCCCAATGCCAGCTGGTGGGGACTGTAGCTGAAGTTACCGATCTTGAAGCCGTAGAGAGACTTGTTCAGGTTCTGCAGACGTTCGTGCTTGATTCGGTGGATAGAGAAGCGCTGGACGGTACAACCACGCCTATCCTTCGTTCCCGCAAAGCCAATAGATTTGTTCGAGATCTTGAGCAACTTGGCCAAGATAGACGCACACTCCATCGTATCCTTATTCTCCTTGTAGAGGTAGAAATGACAGAACTCGCCACCCAACTCCTCCCAAGTCTTCTGCTCGACCTGACGATTTACTCGGGGCTTTGAGCGGTCTCCGCCACGTTGGTTGCGCTGTTTCTTTTTGAGAAGAGTGAACTTGATGGCGCCGGTTTCGATCATTTCGGTTTCGAACATGCCGGGGAAGACCTTGCGGGTCGTTTGGTGGACGTTTGTACGCTCATCTTTGTCGAGGTCCGCACGGGTGAGGACGGGACCGGAGGCGGCGGATGCACCGTTGGTGTTGACGAGCTGGATAACCTTCTCCAAGCACTCCTCGCCGATGAGAGCAGCCATCTCCGCGCGTCCCTCGGGAGTGATCTCAAAGTCCTTCTTCTCTTCTTCAATAGGCTTCGGCTTCTCCTCCTCCTTTGGTGCCTCCTTAACCACCACCTCCTCCTTCTTCTCCCCACTCGTAGCCTCAGTCTCAGGCTTCTTGTCCTCCTTCTGCCTCAACTCGGTCAAGTGCACAACATTTCCCTCGAGATCAATCTCGTTGACCAAGAAATCGGTGTACCTCTGCTTGATGATGGCCGAAAAACCGGGCGCGGAAGGATTGATGTACTCGGTAATACCGACGTCAGTTTCACAATACGGCTTCAACTCGCCTGCAGGAGTCGACTCGATCCTGGCTCTCTTGGCCGGACGGTCGTTGGGTGGGGAAGCGAGGCGGGCTTCGGCGGACATGGCGGACGGGGTGGGTCGGAATGCACTGAAAGGCCGGGAGAATAAAGGACCTCGACGAACGGCGGATCGAAGGATCTGCTTGGACGGAATGGTGAAAGAGGTTTCTTCGAGGACTCTGGAGTAGCAGAGCGCGCAAAATGGACGATAGAGCTTATCAGCACGTGACACCGACAACGACACCGAAACCGACAACAACCATGACCATATGCCGTGAATGCACAGCCGACAATGACCAATGGACGAAAGCGACGGCGGTATCGGATAGCGTATGTCACTGGCTTCGTGTCTCTGCAAAACAGCGGCTTACTCGGGCATGCAGGATGGTCTCTGACTTCTTCTATCCACAATCAGGTGGCATTGAATCGCATATATACCAGTTATCACAGGTGCAATATCTGTTGCTTTGGTTTGGACTACCTGCTTATGCAATGTACAGAGACTTATCGACCGAGGACACAAAGTCATCGTAATCACCCACGCCTATGGCGACCGTTCCGGCGTTCGGATCACCACGAACGGCCTCAAAGTCTATTATGTGCCTTTCCTTACCATATACCGAGAAGCGACACTACCGACAGTCTTCTCATTCTTTCCAATATTCCGCAATATCATCATCCGAGAACGCGTTGACATCGTACACGGTCATGCATCACTCTCCTCGCTATGTCACGAAGCAATCCTACACGCACGGACAATGGGAATCAAGGCAGTCTTTACCGACCACTCACTCTTTGGCTTTAAAGATGCCGCATCGATCTTCACCAACAAAATACTGAAATTCACTCTAAGTGACGTGGATCATGTCATCTGCGTCTCGCATACATGCAAAGAAAATACCGTTCTTCGAGCAGCGCTAGATCCACAGATGGTCAGCGTGATCCCAAACGCAGTGGTCAGCGCGAACTTTACGCCTGCTCCTCATCGACGAGATCCACACCATACGACCATCATCGTCATTTCGCGACTTTTCTACAACAAGGGAATCGATTTACTGATCAACCTTATTCCACGAATATGCGCATTACATCCAAGGGTACGCTTCATTATCGCAGGCGATGGGCCGAAAAGAATCGATCTGGAACAAATGCGCGAAAAACATCTGCTACAAGACCGTGTCGAAATGCTAGGTTCCATCCGACACGAAGACGTCAGAGACGTGATGGTACGAGGAGATATCTACCTCCACCCGTCACTCACCGAGGCATTCGGTACTGTCATCGTTGAAGCGGCATCATGCGGTCTCTACGTCGTTTGCACCCGCGTTGGAGGCGTACCAGAAGTCTTGCCAGAATACATGACATCCTTCGCCCTACCCTCCGAAGACGACCTCGTCCACGCAACATCCCGCGCCATCGCTGCGCTCCGTACCCACCGCGTCGATACATCTACCTTCCACGAAGCTGTTGCAACAATGTACTCATGGACCAATGTCGCTGCACGGACAGAATTGGTGTATGATCATGTTAGTGAGATGCCTACCCTCGGTTTTGTGGAGAGGTTGAGGAGGTATTATGGGTGTGGTGTCTGGGCGGGGAAGTTGTTTTGTGTTTGCGTTGCTGTGGATTATTTGTTGGGTGTGTTGTTGGATTGGTGGAGGCCTGTTGAGAGTATTGATGTTGCGAGGGATTGGCCGAGGAAGAAGATGGTTGATGGTGAGCCGGAGAAGAATGAGGCTGAGAATCGGGGTGTGTGGGGTAAAGAGACAAGATGAGGGGTATTCTGGGCACATACTGTCTTTTGTGAAAGCGCGTTAGGACATCTGGAGTTATCTTCGCTCATACCCAGGCTTGAAATTCCGTTGAACACGCAATCATATTATCGTTCTTCACCTAACTCAATATCATGCCAAGATGCCCATGAAACCCGACGAACTTATTGCCTCCTGTTGTAGTCCCGATCCGACCTGTTGTCCCTGGAACCGTACCCACCCTGATTGTATGATCCATTGTAACCAGATCCCGATCCGTACCCTTGGTTCGACCTATCATCGCGCCTCTCACCCTGTTGACCGCCTTGACCGCCATACCCACCATACTCGCCGTATCCACCACCCTGAGCTGGTGGCGGTGGAGGAGCTCCGTAGCCTCCATATGAGCCATAACCGCCAGTACCAGGCGCAGGCGGATAGCCGTTACTGCCGCTGTAGTATTGCTGACCATATCCTCCAGCGCCGTAAGATCCATAGGACGTAGGCGCTGGCGGCTGTTGTTGATTGTAGCCGCCATAGCCTCCGTACCCACCCCCACCGCCACCACCACCGTATCCGCCACTGGCATACGAAGACCCGCTCTGGTAAGCACCACCCTGATGTCCGGCAGCTTGTCCGGCTCCACGGTCGGTGTAACCATAGCTACGGTCATTATATCCTCCAGTAGCGGGCGGAGGACCATTCCTGTCTCTACCACGACCACGACCACCGCCGCCGTATCCTCCACGTCCATCGCGACGACCGCCGTTCCTAACAGTCTCCTTGTCAGCATAGTTGAGCGCAGGCGGCTTCAACTTCACGCCTCTCAAGAGCATCGACTTGTGAACGTAGGAAGATTTGGGCACGTGGTAACGGACACTGATCGAACGGTCGTTCTCAATATCCTCCAAGTTACCTTGCTTCAACGGGAACGGCACAGTACTGTTTGGGATGCATGCTTCATCCACACTAACGCTTCCAACCAAGCCATCACTGACTTTCGGGTTCAGCTTCAATGGCTTGTCCTGCTTCTTCTTGGAGTATAGTTTACCAGCGAGCTCATCATAGAGCTTGTTCTGGTCACCGCAATACAACAACTCATAACCATCCTTGTTGCGCAAGTTTTCGTCCTCAGACAACTCGGGGTACTTCTTGCCTAGTGCATGCAACAGCCTCTTCTCATCAATAAACGGAAGAAGCGCAACACCTTGCCAAGCAAACTTCTTTCCATTCAAATCGATGGGAAAGTCTTCGGGGTAGAAATCCAAGATCTCAGACTCAGGATCCGTCATGAGCTGCTGGAACGGCTCAGGAATGTGCTGCTTCGAGTGCGCAGGCAATACACCCATAAGCTGCTCAAAAGGCTTGAATGGCTTTCCCTCGCTAAACTTAACGTCCAAGTCCTGAATATCTTCGAAATCAGATGCGAAGGGCGCGTAGTGGTATGGGTAATACCACGTCCAACTGGGACAACCCTGGTAATAGTAAAGCAATACCCAGCACAAACCTTCAACATAGGCTTTCGCTACTTGACGACGAATATCTCTGTCAGAGGGAGCTGCACCGAACTTCTGTGCGTAATACCTGTCCTTGTATCCAGGTTCCCAGAGACGAACAGTATCCTCGACGTCGTCATCTTCAACAGAAACCTTCGACGTACCGTCGCTACTCTTGACCTCGTCATCAGCATCTCTCTTCCTCTTGCCTGGAGTGGTCTTCTCAGCTGACACAGCATCCGCCTCCACGGGCGGCACAACCTCGGCACTGATCGGGTCGGTGGCAATGGGCTCAGCAGGAAGAGTCTCGTCGACTGCGGATTCATCTGCTACCTCAGCAGGGGTACTGTCAGCAGGCGTCCGCGCACCTGAATCCTGTTCACTCTCAGAAAGCAGCTCTGCGCGCATGGCCTGAGCAGCTGACATGTTTGACAGATTCTTCTTTGCAACAAGCGCCTTGTTGAGCGCGCGCATCTCTTCTAGATTGTCCCTTCCTCGGCCAAGTACAGCCAAAGTTGACAAATCAGGTCCGGCCGCAACAGCAGAGCCGTTGAACTTGGTGTGCTTACCTTGAGGCAACGATCCCTTGACCTCTTGCTCGAAGGTCAAGCCACCCGCATCGCCTCTCTTGTTAGCCTCCCTCCGTGCCTCAGCCTCAGTCTTACGACGCTTGTTGTTCTCCTCACGCCTGACCTCTTGCTCCTTTCGCCGTCTAAAGATGTTGTCCTCCTGCTTTCCAAGCTCATTCAGGACGATCTGCGCGCGCTCCATGTTCACACTCCCATCCAAAGTCAAATACCCGCCCATGGCGGGGAGGTTCCTCTTCCAGATGTTCTGCAACGTGTCAATCGCACCCTCCCTAATCTCTAATGAAGGCAAGTGTGGCAAGAAATCGTTACCGACGAAGAAACAAAGGAAAACCCAGTCATCGATAGCTCGCTCCAAATCAAACGTGAAGGGACAGTGTGGGATATCAAGTTCGGCTTCGAGGTACTCTCTCAGCACATCAACTTGCAGCCAAATGAACGGCTTCTCCACTGCTACCGGATTGTCCTCCTTTGGCTTTGGCACACCTGTACACTCAGCGGCATAATGACCTTCCTTACCGCATATTCTGCACCCTTTGTCGTTCTTATCCTGGAAGAAGACGTCTTCACGCAGGACGCGGAAGTGAGGTTCGTGGGTAGCCAAACCCAACATAATAAGGTCGGCATCCAAACCGTAAATGACGTGCTTAGTGTTAGGGTCGTGCTCAGGGCTGGCACGCTGGGATCGCACGAATTCCATGATCTTGTGCTCTCCCTCACCGGGAACTCCAGCATCGGACAGAATGACCTTCAAGTCCTTCCATCCAGGGTTGTAGTTGAGCTGGTAGGCGATCCAGTACCGTAATGAAGCAGCAAGGATATCCATGAACGGTGTTCCGGGCGTAATCGCGTTGGAATCCCAGGTCTTCTTGCCCTTCAAGCTCTCATCAACCTCTCTTCCCTCATCCTCCAGTTGCTTGATCAGGGCCGCGGTCTCTCTCTCCTTTGCCGCAGCTTCCTGCGCAGATCTGAAACGACGCGACCGCTGCTGGTTCATCTTGGCACGGGGAGCAACACCGTCAATAGCAATCATTAGTAACTTACGCGGGCGAACCATGCCGACGACGCGCTCGGTGTACTTGAACACCTCAAGCATCATCTCATCTTCGGTCTCAGGCGCCGGCTTGTTCTCGGGGTGCGAACAGGGGTGAACGATACCGTTCATATCGAGGTAGAGGTTGTCAAATTCCTCGCCATTTGGGTTCGGCTTCGACGTGTCGACTGGAACAAGTTCGCCATTCACCAACTGCGGCTTGTCCTCGATCACCGGCGCGATGGTCTTGGGGTATTTCTTGGACAAGAATCTGAAGAGGGCCGGAACACCCATCTTGTCTGCTTATCCTGTCGGTCTTCGAGGTGCCGAGCGTTTGGGTGCAACGTCGCGATGCGGGGCGAATTTCCTGCACGTGATGATAAGATAAAAAAGTATCGAAGACGTATTGCAAGTAACGTAGACACGAAATCTAAGAATGTCTGGAAAGCCAAGACGGCAAGAGTCTACGTCCAAGACGGCATGGACCTCCTTGGAGACGCCGCTGACTCCGTGGATCGCCGAGGCCATTGATCTCATGGGGTTCACCGACATGACCCCGGTGCAGGCTTCTACGATCCCCTTGTTTATGAAGCACAAGGATGTCGTTGTGGAGGCAGTTACAGGAAGTGGAAAGACGCTGGCATTCTTGGTGCCAATCTTGGAGAGGTTGGTTAGGAGGGAGACTCCGCTGGCAAAACACAATGTGGGGGCAGTCATCATTTCGCCTACTCGAGAACTTGCTACACAGATCCACACGGTCCTCAAGTCCTTTCTGGACATGCAGCCTGGCTCTGCCAACGAGGAGGCCGAGGAAGGGGAGGAGCCTATACCTAGCCCGCACTACTTGAAGTCGCAACTCCTCATCGGTGGTACGGTTACTGTACAACAGGACTTTTCAACCTTCCGCAACAGTTCCCCCCATATTCTTATCGGTACCCCTGGGCGCCTGAACGAGCTGATCTCTTCGTCAAAGTCGCCTGCGATCCTCAAGGAGTTTGAAGTATTGGTCATGGACGAAGCGGATCGCTTGTTGGATATGGGATTCAAGACCGAGTTGACTACCATTATCGGTAAACTGCCGAAACAGAGAAGAACGGGTCTTTTCAGTGCCACTATGACCGACGCTGTTGGCGAGCTTGTCCGTACAGGTCTTCGCAACCCAGTTCGCGTTATTGTCAAGGTGGCTACGAACAAGACTGGTGCTGACGCTGAGAAGCGCACGCCAGCATCTCTCCAGATTGGCTATATTGCCGTACATCCTTCTGAGAAAATTGCTCAAACTATCCGCCTTTTGAACTACTCTCTCAAGAACGACAACCTCACGAAGACCATTCTCTACCTACCAACATGCGCCTGTGTTGATTACTTTACCCCTTTGCTTTCTGCCCTTCCGGCTCTGAAGAAGTTCATTCTTGTCCCTCTTCATGGAAAGCAAACTCCTCAAGCACGAAAGAAGAACTACGAGAAATTCGTGGCCCTGCCCAGCTCTACCCCCTCCGTTCTCCTCACAACCGACCTTGCCGCACGCGGTCTTGACGTCTCTGACGTGGATCTTGTCATCCAGCTCGAGCCACCACAAGATCCAAAGGCATTCGCACACAGATGTGGAAGAGCAGGTCGTGCTGGCCGTGCTGGACGTGCCGTTGTCTTCCTTAACGCTGGTCGCGAGGAGGACTACGTCGAGTTTCTCCGAGTACGGAAGACACCAGTGCGCAGGATTCCACGCCTTACACCGGAGGGCGAGATCAAGGTTGACGAGGAAGGTGCGGAGATTCAGGCTGACAAGCAAGTTGATGAGCTCGTGGATCAGATGAAGAAGATTGTACGGAAAGACAGAGATTTGTACGAGCGCGCGATGAAGGCATTCGTGTCATACATCCGTGCTTACACGAAACACCAAGCTACCTTCATCTTCCGGATAAAGGAGCTTGACTTAGATGGTGCTGCCAAGTCCTATGCTTTACTCCGATTACCTCGGATGCCAGAGCTAAAGGGTCGTACTGTGGAGTACGACAGCGAGGTCGTAGACATGGAGACCTTTGCCTACGCTGATAAAGTTAGGGAGAAGGCGCGTAAGGAAGCTTTGGCAAAGGCGAAGGCTGAGGGTTCTGCTGCCAAACCAGCTGAGGAGAAGAAGCCTAAGATCAAGCCTACAACAGCATGGTCCAAACAGCTCGAAACTAAAGCCGCGAAGGAAGAGCGCAGGACGAAGAAGGAGCGAAAGCGAGAATGGGAGAAGAAGGAGAAAAGAGCAAGGGCTGAAATGGAAGAAGACGAGAAGGAGGTCAAGAAGGATTGGAAAGATCTGAGTGTAGACGACAAGGTAAAGAAGAGGAAGGTTGTTAGGAGAGATGAAGATGAAGATGAAAGTATGGACGAGCTGGATATGTTGGATGATGTGGAAGAAAGGCCGAGCAAGGGAATGTCATTCGATGACATGTGAAGCATTCGATACCAATATGATATGGGTAAATTCCCTTCCTATCGTACACCTACTACAGTATATGATACAGTGCCTCGCAAACCAACCACACTTGACTCGCTAGCTATTCCAAGCCTAACATATAACTTAGCGGTTTTCCTATACAACCTACCCCTACTGAGTCTTTTCGAGGATGCGACGATATTGCTGCTGACGGATCTTCTCCTTCTCCGAATCATGCTCACTAAAGAAATGAGCCGACCTCTCCAAAGCACGCCAGTACTCGGTCGTGAAGTGATCCCTGAGCTGTTTCGGCGTGAGCAGAACCAAGAGTTGAGCTGGGTTAGCCTGCATGACACGGCGGACCCAGCCAACATATTGGCGACTAAGGTCTTGCGGAGTACTGAAAATCCTTGAGCGGATGGCATGGGCTTCGCGGGGAATGGTTGAATGGAGCGTGACGGCGTCGACATCATCGGAAGGATGCCCAACTGGGTTCCAACCCAGAGGTGCCTTGTGGGCATCCTGGAACACGCGAATACCGGGACCGATGACAGAGTAGTCGGCCAAAGAATCACGTTTCACCAGAGGAGCGCTGACCAAAGAGATGGCAGAACCCCATCCTCCCGACACGAAAGTCTGCGGCGAGAAGGGCACCCGTGTTACGAGATCGGAGTCGTCGATGATACGCCAAAGAGTACGGGGATTGTCAAAAGGTGTGCTAGAGATGGAAGCAAACCACTCGGCAAAGTCAGAGTCGCCGACAGCCGGACAACCATAGACGTAAGCATCCCTAAGGAAAACATCAGAACCCAAATCATTGTGTCCAGCGTCAATGGACTTCATCACGCGGGCATAAAACAAAGAAGCGATTGCAGCACCAAGAGAGTGTCCAGTCACCCAGACGGGTACATGACGCTGAACGTGACCAGTAGTCCTTGGGCTGACAGGGATGCCCCGAGCGAGCTGCTGGGCTTTGCGGCGAACAGCACTGACGATGGATCCATAAGGCGAGTTGGCAAGACCAAGACGCCCATTGTAGGCACGAGTGCTCTGACCGGAAGAGTCAGGGAACAGCGAGTCATAGAAGCCCGTGTGAACGTCTCCAAACAGGTAAGCACCTGCACGCGTCTTCTGGAAGGTGGCATCGGTGATCCATTCGGAAAAGTCTCCCGGACTGGTACCCTTGAACGAAACAACAATGAACGGGTGATCGCCCTCCCGCCACCAAAGCGCAGCGAACGGGCTACCAGTCGTGTTGAGTTCACTGACCGTGGCAAATCCAATCGGAGCACCCGGTGTGGACCAAAGCTCAGCCTGCCTCTGAAGACGCCTGACGGAGGCCTCAAACAAGCCTTCAATATGAGTTTGAAGATCGTGATGGATGGGTTGTTCACCCATGTCCGGCGTCAGCATTGTAGCAGCCGGATGATCCACGCCGAGGTGAGGCACCGGGTCAAGCGTGGGAAAATGACGGCGGAACCGCTTGTACTCCCTCGAGGCTTCATGGACTTTTTTGTCATCCCTCTCATACATGATGGATGAAACTAATAACAAGAATCTGGCAATGTCAACATCGAAGACGGGAAACTCCGGATGAAAGCCGTCGTGTGCCTTCAACATCTGTTTGATTGCCGGGCGGGAGTCTGTAACCATAATTAGCGCCGCCATGGGAGTGTTCGCTGGACAACGTACTTAGTTTAGACAGATTGTCTTTGGCACGTACGACAACATCCTGATACTTCATGGTGAACATGTCCGGCTCAGACCAATTGACGACAGAAAGACCGGCACCATAGGTGTCTGACAGATGCTGGAACAACCGCTTTCCTCCGAGGAAATAAAACATCTTCAAGGCAAACTCATACCAGAGCAAGGCCGTTGCTACAAAAGGATAACCGACGAGCATCATGAAAACTTGAACAGGGTCGGTGAGCCACATAAGGGGAGTGCTGAGGAAGGTCATAATGACATTCCTGGTGGTTTGCTGAACGTACTGGATCCAAGGGAGCAACGAGACGAACAGCGTCTGTAGCAAAAATCAGCAATGTTACGGAAGCCGCGCCCAATATTTCGGACCTTCGCGAGTTCAAACACCCCATGCGGCTGGATGATACTGGCTCTGGTGATGCGGATCTTCCCACCATACGCGGTGCCCTGCCAATTCGGAAGGTTGTCCCCAGCACGGGTCCACAGCGAACGCAAACGAGACATCTCAAAGTCCTATTCCCCTCATTAACTAAGGTTCTTATCGTACGATCGCGGAAGCTCACCTGAATATGCAACTGATCCAACCTCCCAGTACCCGACCGATTATACGTCAACTGATCATCATCCTTGAACGCAACATCCATCGTCGCCTGATCAAGAGGCTGAATTTTGTGCTCCTGCTGCTGACGAGGCTTCACATTCCGACTCTGATTCTGGTGATCACTATTATACGGCGGCACAGCTTCAGGCGCCGCAATGAACGGTGCAATCGGACCCCCCGCAATGGAGCCCGTGGGAACGGGAGTAGACATGGAACCTGTCGATTGCCACTCAGGTGCGGATGAACTAGTCGAAGACGAGAAGGGAGATGCGGATAGGTGTTCTGGCTTAGCTGGTCGTTCTGGCGTTGTTCGAACGTGTAGGGATGGAGGCTTGGGGGGAGGATGAGGTTTTACCGGCATTTTATACCGTTCACGGCGGGATGTGGTGATGGGCTCAGATGGGGTAATCAGCTTGACAGGACCGTGACGCAGTAGGTCATGAGATAAAACAGCTGCTGTCCTGCGAAGGGTCCGTTTCAACGTGTTGGCACCTGATTGTACGGGCCGTCCCAACAATCTTGAGCCCAGTCAGTTACAATCGAAACGATGTTGTATCGATGGTCGTGATCACGTTGCGGCATAATAGAGTTCAAGCCAAGCCGCTGCTTGTATGAACGGACATGCGCAAGAGGTGCGGTCCGAGCCCTGGAGGGTCCACTAACCGGTGCCCGGAGCGAACGTGAGGGAAACCACCATGGCCATGAGAAAAACTACAGTGAAGGAGTCAGATGTATAATACAAGCGGACAGACAAGCAGTCACAGGATCACGGGAAGATGCACCGAGACTCAATAGACGATGCAAAGGGAGTTCTTTTGATGTGATATGTTTTCCAAACCAAAAAGCAAAAGACCAAAACCCAATGAAATCAAAACGCCAAAGAATATTTTCCAGTTCCCAGTTACAGTAACTTTTTGTCTTCAACCTATCTAACCACTACCAAGTAGAGGGAAGACAGATTTAAGCGTCCCAGGAGGTGGTGGCCTGGACCTGAGCGGCATCACCGGCCCAGTCGGATGAGCCAGCGGGGGCAGCATCCCAGGAAGCCTCACCGGAAGCCTCAGCGGTAGCAGTAGCGGTAGCAGCGACAGCGGCAACACCGGTACCGGCAACCTCCCAGTCGGCAGCGTCACCAGTGTACTCGGGAGCGGTCTCAGCAGGGACCTCAGCCTCAGCGGCCTCGGCCTCCTTCTCGGCCTCTTCAGGGTCGCGGTAGAAGTACAAGTCGACCATGACATTCCAGGCGGCATCGCGGGAGGGAATGACACCACGGAGACGGAGGACCTCACGGGCCAACAACCACCAGACGAGACCGATGGAGTGACGACCCTTGTTGTTGGCGGGGATGGCAACGTCAACGTGCTGGAGGGGGGAGTCAGTGTCGCAGATGGCGATGACGGGGATGTTGACGTAGGAAGCCTCCTTGATGGCCTGGTGGTCGGTGCGGGGGTCGGTGACGATCAAGAGACGGGGCTCCTTGAAGGCACGGACGGCGTGGTTGGTCAAGGAACCGGGGGTGAAACGACCGGCGATGGGGGTGGAACCGGTGTGGTTGGCGAACTTGAGGACAGCACGCTGACCGTAGGGACGAGCAGAGATGACACAGACGTCAGAAGGGTTCTCGATGGTGGCGATGATACGGGCAGCGAGAACGATCTTCTCCCAGCTACAGAACTGTTAGCCCACCTAGAGCATTGAGGTCAAAGGAATTGACAAACGTCTTCTGGAGGTTGATGAGGTTAACACCGTCGGGACGGCGCTTGTAAACGTAAGGCTCCATGCGGACCTCGCAGTTCTTGGCACCAATGTGGGTGTTGGCAGCAAGGAGCATCTAGAGGTTAAACCCATGTTAAAGTCGATTCTAAGCCGATGACCTCAGGTCCAGTTGTCGTCCTCCCAAGAAACACTAACCTCGATGTCCTGCGCGGTGGGGTTGAAGATGGTGGGAAGCTTGCTCATGATGCCTGTAGGGAGACTGTTAGCACGCCAATGATTGTCGCTTGCGGGATCACCTACCTGTAAGTTACTGGAGGATGGACCGAGACTGGGTGCTGGCTGGAGAACTCGAGGTCGGAACTTTTGCGCGCTGGAGGTGAGTTTGGTTTCGCAGAGCGCGGCGTGCGCGCGCCTAGGGTTAACCCTACCCCACGGCCCCCCGCCCCAAGCGACTGAGTGCGAGCCCGTGCCAGAGCGGTACCGTTCTGCTCGCAAAAACGCCCTCAAGAACTCGCAGCAATTGCCCATGTAAAAGCAGGCCTCCCGTCGCCGGACCCGACAGATCTTCCGACATGTGGGCCCACGCGCTACACGGTTCATTCATTATGCAGAAGATAAGCTACAGCGTGGTCCGTGCGCCTTTTTCGAACGCCGCCGGAAACGCTGGACACAGCTGGCGGCCGGCGCGCATGGCGAGGGCGAAGGCAGAGGAAAGCTGGGGACATGTTCTGCCACACCGATCGGGATGGCCACCCGTGCAATCCACAAACACCCCACCCATCCTCCTCCTTCACTGCTGCTGTCAACGCACACGCGATGACCTCTCACGCTCTCACTACCTCAAGAACAATCATCTCTTGCTACTCCACAAAAGACATGGCAATTGAGCGTCCTCTCCTCCCGTCACCTCTTCCTCCAGCCGCGCTGAGGGAGTTGGACGACAACGCTTACCTTCACAGAGTATACCTCCAGCGACTTGCTTCACATGCTCGACGACCCATTCGATCTGATATCGTCGATTTCTGGCAACCGTCTTGCCGGAAGTTCCGGAAGACGTTGCCTATGCCACGCACCGTTCCAAGAGGCAGCTGCCGGCGACAGCTGCTGGCCGCGATCGACGAGATGGATGAGATCCTTTGGGAGACAGTCAATAAAGAGCAGCAGTGCCAAACCTCACGGAGAAATAGTTTGGCGAGGAGTTATGATTCAGGGTACGCGACATCCGTCGAATCACTCATCTCGGACGCGTCTACGATCAGACCTGCTTCAGTACAGCAGAAAGCTGTCGCAGTGGACATGAGGGCATTCTGCTCTATGGGACCTCTGCCAGAACGCGAACGGACGCATTCGAAACACGACAAGAAGCGGAGATCAAAGTCTGGGCACAGGCGATCTCGGACATCGACAGAAGACAAAGAAAAGAAGACCGCACCGGCATCATCGCCGTCAAAGAAGGCAATTACGCTGTTTTCGTCGCTCTCACCATCTACACCTCCGGTTCCTATTCCAACTCTTCCGGAATTCGCAAAAGCTGCCGCATACATCCCAGACGAGGGCGTTGTCTTGAGTCCTACGACAGAGGATGTCCTTCCCGAGGCAGATAACGCGAACGAGAAGAAGCCTACGCGACGGACTTCTTGGCAGGCCGTTTCTTCTTACTTCAAGTTCTAAACAAAACGCAGGGAACACGAGGCGATGTGATCATGAATGGGGGGCATACGCACAGGCATTTGATACCAGCAGAAGCAGAACTTCCACAGGACAGGCGTTTTCGACATTTTCCTTCATCTTCTACTAGATTTACTTTTTTTGCTACATACATCTTTTTCTTAGCGATAGCTTCGTAGGGGGCTCCGAAACATCCCCGGGAGAGCCCCGAAGAATGGACTTTTTCCTTTTCATCTTTTACTTGGCTGTCGCAACAGCGTTTTCACACAAACAAACAGTTCGAGTTCAAGTTCGTATCTATCAGATGCCGATTTCTTTCGTACCCGTCGACGGAAAAAATGGTCGTCCGGGGGAGGCGCTCACTCAGCGCGCTTCAGTTACTGGGTGTTGGTCTCGCCAAACGGGGTGGCGAGAGTGCCACGGCGCCGCGCTCCTTGTTCCAAAAGAGAATCCCGATAGTTCAAAACGATTCGATACAGACGGAGAGATCTCGGTATTCGGTGTTTGACCTTCTTGCGTCTTGCTTACGATATCAAATATGGGAAGGGAGGGTTATGGGGCACGCGGTTTTGACAGTCACATTGAGAATGGACACGAGGAGGGGATCTTCCTTACCTTGCCGTTACATCCGGTTCGGATGTTTTTCTGGGAGCGTGTGCGAACTGCTGCAGGCTAACAAGCAGAGCATCTGACAGCCAGCCAAAACACGAAACCCACGATCGCGATGACACAGCTGAGGGACAAGCCGGCAAGGCTGGTTAATAATACTGAACAGTACAAAGCAATACGGGACGGGCGTCCGCCAACCGCCAACCGCCAACCGCCATATCCCCTCCCCCCCTCTCGGCCAAAGCCGGCCGACAAGGCTGCCCCCGATCGAAAGTCGTACCATCCTGTCATGTCACCTGTCGAGAGATTTCCGTACATGGTTCGTTCGTGTTCTTTGACAAGCCAGCCCCTCAGGTGTTTGAGCCTGGGTTTGGAGTTTGCAGGGGAGGGGAGGGGGGTGTACACTTTGGGCCGTTAGCGCTTGCGACTGCACACCAGGCGACACTTGGGACGTGACTGGGGCGCGAGAGAGGATCCTTCGACGCGCCTCCATGAGAAGAAACCGAAGCAGTTGTTCCGTCTTCTACGACAAGAAGACGTCTAACATTCGAAGCCATTGCTTTGTATATCCGACGAGGCCGTCGCCTGATCTTCAAACACGCGTCCGCGAGGGTCCGTGCGCTTTTCTCGACTCACGCAACCTTATCGGTTCATTTCCCAAAAAAGTCCTGCAAAGCAGAGATCTGCCTGTCTAGCCCACGGGTTCAACCGCGTCACGCAAGTAAACCTCCTAGACTTCAACACCATCCCAAGAACAGTAATATCGACCATGGGCGCAGCACTGAGCAGAGCAACCTCGTACAAAGCTCAATTGGGCCGTTATGCGGGAACTGACTCGCCATTGCTCGATAAACAGACCCTGAATGGCACGATTGGCCCGGTTATCCCTCATGCGTTTGAGACAAAACACTACGCGGAGGCATTACTACGCCTCGAGGCGTTACTGATACCGCCAAACGACACCAAAACAACGGCCGTATTGACGTTCATTCTCGGTGTTGCGCGTCTCGAACTCGGTGATCGATGCGGTGCGCTGACTGCTTGGACGCGAGCACAGACATTGTTGGGTGCTGGGAAGGATGTCAAGTTCGACAAAAGTATCGACAACCTTGCGCGGTCGATCCAGCGGGATCGTCAGGCAGCGTCGCGAGATCTCGCGAGGATGCCGCCGCGATCATACGTCCAGCAATACAAGCCCGTTGAGGCTCTTGAGATTCCCAACCGCGATCCGCTGAATATCGAGCTCCTCGAACGAGCGATGTTTATCTGGAAAGAAATGACACCGGAAGAGAAGGAAGCGTTTCAGCGCATGGCCCTGATATCCAATTGCGAACTTGAGGGTATTTTCCAGCTTGATGATCTGCGACGGGCGCGTTTGATCACGCAGGGATTCCGGACGGATCTCATCTCCGGATGGTCACCCGCAGATGCAGGATACGGGTACATCCACGACACGCAAAGTTTGATCTCCCATCTCGAATCATTACAGAAAACCCTTGATCTGATACAGGAATGGATCGACACTGGTCGGGATACGCGACTCACACTTGCAGATTTGAAGCAATTGCATATTTTGGCAATGGGTAATGCTCGGTTCAAGTCAGGCAAACTCGTATCAGTCGGCGAGTTCAAAATCCATGCTAATTTCGGCGAGCATCCCGATGGCAAGGTTGTCTTCTGTCCACCCAACAGGGTTGAGGCAGAGTTGAATATGCTACTCGAACTATACGCCGACTACGGTACTAAGTTCAGACATCGGCCCGTCCTCCTCGCTGAATGGATCCACTGTCAATTTGCCCGCATTCATCCTTTCGAGGAGGGAAGTTACCTCGTCGCCAGGTTGCTGTCGTTCATGCCAAAGATGATTGCGAATACACCCCTAACACTCGTGCCGGCGAGCAGACGGCAGGATTATCTGAAAGTTCTGTTGGATGCTCATGCGTGGAAGGACAAGATCAATTATCTTGGACGATTCGTGATTTCGGAATCCCTTGATGCCATGATCAAGTGCGAGGACCTCATGGCCAAGGAGGCTCATCAGTACTGAGGATGGAGGAAGCTCTAATGTCTTTTTGTAATGTTGGCGTTATATCTGGATTGCATTTGAAACGGAGGAGTTCAAGTTCGTGATTGGCGGTCGGACTCGACAAGGCTCAATTGAGGTTAGGAAAAAGCCTGAAGCTTTTAGTTAGCATAGTTTCTAATAATATACCCATTCATACTGTCTACTTATGTTCCTTTTCGTTCCAGGTCATAACCGTCCCGAATTAGGCAACTTGTTTGGGAAACGTAGACAAACCTCGTTACACCCCCCACGTCTGCGGACCAAGAGGCTCGACAATGGGGATTTCGGGGTTATGGGACGTCCTAGAGCCGGCGTCAGAGAGAATTTGTATGTTGACTTAAAGTTTACTCTTTCGTATCGTCACGAGCGATGACTGACCAGGCCGTCTAGCTCTTGCGAAGCTCGCCGTCGATAGCATGGTCGATGATGGAGTTCCCGAGTCTGAACCAGCAGCACTGAGGGTGGTAATTGACACCAGTATCTGGTCCTTCCAGATGCAGGCTGGTCGAGGGGGAGTGTATGTTAACCCCGTTCTGCACCAGGAACATGTGTTGAACACAGCGTGTACAGGAATCCAGCATTACGAACCTTCCTCTTCCGACTATGCCGCATTTTATCACTCGGTTTCAATCCTATCTTTGTCCTTGATGGCCCCCATCGACCAGCATTCAAGCGAAACAAGCAAGTGCGAAATCAAACACCTGCCCAGATTTCAGCGATGAAGCGATTGATCGAGCTGTTTGGGTTTCAAGTGCATCAAGCGCCCGGAGAAGCCGAAGCTGAATGTGCTGTGCTTCAAAGAGAAGGGCTAGTTGATGCTGTCATGACTGAGGATGTCGATACGGTTATGTTTGGATGTGGACGGGTGATCCGCGGGTGGGTCGATGAATGCAGGGTGTATGAGGAGTCCAGGATCAGTGACAAGGTAGGCATCAGTCGAGCGGGTATGATATTGGTTGCGCTCATGAGTGGAGGGGATTATCTCCCGGATGGCGTCAGCAAATGTGGGATTAAGACAGCGGTCGAGGTAAGTTCTTTGCACGACTTGTAACCCCACCACTCACATCGGGTGCACAGGCAGCAAAAGCAGGACTCGGAGACCTGCTGCTAAAGCAACTCCATGACCTTCCTTCTTGGCGAGAGCACCTGATTGCCTCGCTTCACACCAACAAATTCGGGCACTTTGCAAAAAGGCACCCGGGCTTGACTATCCCCTCGGACTTCCCCAGCATTGAAGCATTGAAGTATTACGCAAACCCCATCGTCAGTTCTCGCAGTAAACTGCCAAGAATTGAAAGGAGGACGGAGCCTGACCTTCAGGGAATCAGACAATACGTGAACGATATGCTAGGGTGGGAGGGTAGAGGCGGTGCCGAACGGCTGATCAAGATCATCGCGCCTGGACTTTTGATGTGGAAGCTTCAAAACTGCCCTCTGCAACCATCAACGAAGAGCAATAGTCTTGCACCCGGCGCGAAGGAGAAGCCTGCATCAAAAGGTAAGACGCCAACAGGTCAAGCGCAAATGACGAATTTTTTTGCCGCAAGCAAAGCAAAGGAGGTATCAGCCTTGGTCAAGACAGTCAATCCCGAGCCTACTGACGAGGGCCTCGTACTGTCCATTCACGGGACGAGAAATCATGTCTCAACCGGCGAGATTCCCGAGCTTCGCGTAGCGTACATCCCAGCAGTCATCTGTTCCGCCATCGACCTCTCTATAGAAGCAAATCTTTGCGAAGCACCTGCGCCGTCGAATGACTTTGATCTTATATCTGATCTACCGACTACCCCGCCAACGGATGACACATGTACAAGCAATGTACCGACAGCTAAACGATATGATCCTACTGTCGCTGAAAGAATCTGGCTGCCAGAGATTGTGGTGAGGAGAGGATGCGAGGGTGTTGTGCAAGCGTGGGAGAAACACGTGAACACGAAAAAAGCAGTATCATCACCGCGAAAGCCGCGCACCAAGAAAGGTCTGGCAGAGGTAGGGCAGGCATCGACGTTGGATAACTACTTCACGAAGTCTGCGGCCAGGGCCCAGGCAAAGCCCAGCGCCTCACCACTGGCTGAACCCAAGGTGAACGCAAAGAAGGAACGATTGGCCCAGTGGAAGAAGGTACTGGATGAGGGTCGAACAAAGGAGAATGGCGACCCATGGCATAACGACAATGTTAACACCGGTAGTGAAGCGTTTCCGGTGGCTCTCTCAGATGATGACAGCGTTACAGGGAGTTCAGCATCGATACCGTCCTCCGAAACCCTCATGGCCTCATCTGAGAGCCTTGAAGGAGCATCCGTGCAATCTCGACCGACTCGTGGCACAAGAGCAACATCTGCGCAGTTTACGATATCAGGTTTCCGCCCTGCTGAGAAAACATCAAAAGTACAACCAGAGGAGGCATCGGAGCTACTATCACGACTCAAACTCCCGCCTCGCGCACCTATTAAACGCACACGTCGACTGCTTTCCAGCTCGTCCAGTTCTGCGTCTATCAAGGACGATACCAAGACCGGTAGCGTGCTTGATCCTCGTCCTACGAAAATTGCCACGACACCTTCTCCCAAAGAGACAGCAAAATTCGATACTCCTTCAACGACCTCATCAGTCACTAAAGGTCTGGAAACATCAGAAATCGGGCGGAGAAGCCCTACACCGCGGAGAGAGGCCAAATTTACCTTTACAGAAGCAGCCGTCAAAACTGTAGATGAAAACAAAGCGAAGTCGACAAAGACCCATGCCAAGGTTCAAAGGCGGCTTTTCGAAAAGTCCACGCAACCTAATCTCCCTTCTCGTACAGACAAGGACACGCAAACGAACGTGACTGTCATTCTCATAGACGAAGACTCAGATACAGAGGTCGCAGTCGTGACACGGCCGAAGGAGAGGAGAAAAGTGATACCACGGACAAGTCTTAACGGTGCATGGCGTGATGGCGGGAGTGACGAGCAGGGCTACGAGTGTGAGGTGATTGACCTTACTAGTGACTAGGTTCTGTCTTTTCTTGGTTTCACAAAGCATGGTTCAGGGTGGGTGATAACAAGGATACCGGCGTTACGTAATTCCAGCTGTCTAGTACAGCGACTAGTTATCCTTCCTAAGAAAGTTTAGAAAATATCTTAGTCCTAAGCTTTGCGGATTCTGCCCGTCACAACTGCGATCAACACATCACTTAAAGCCGCCATCTCCGCCTGCATCGCCTTCAAACGTTGGAGATTCCTCGCCTCCCCTCTCTTCTTGATTGCAACCTTTCCCTCATTGTCCACACAGAGCTCACCTTCTTCCTTCCTAACCCAGGGCTCACCGCCATTCGCAAACGCGATCCAAGCGTCCATGAACATCTTCTCCAAATCTCGATCAGCTTCGCTGGGAAGGATATGATGCGCTGTACCGAACGTATAGAGCATGTCAAGAGTGTGGTTCGCGTACCCCTTGAATGGGGTGTCGAAGGGGTTCTTCAGATCAAAGCGGTAAATGTACGTGGGAAAGGGGAAGCTATAACAAGCCTTGTCTGTGCCCGCGTTGAAAAACGCGTCTGTAAGGAAATTACAAAGGCCTGGGATCATATCCTTGGCTGACTTGAAGCGGTTAGGATCGTTCAGGCCGTATTGAGCCAAGAGAGTCTCCGAGGCTCCCTGCGAACCAGGGAGTGGAGAACGGAGTGTATGGACGAAATCCTCAGGCGTATACTTTTCACTTCGTGCTGCTTCGCAGAAGAGAATACCCTCTTCAGCGAGGTCACCAAAGATGGCACCCTTGACAAAATCCTTGGCATTCGGAGGGGTGAGCCAACCCTTTGTTTGCTCACGATTGTAGGTGAAGAATCCTCCTCGAATAGCAGAGTCATCCGCGGGAAGGACGAGGGGCATGAAACCTGGGAAACAAGCTGCCTGCGCCTCCACGATCTTTTCAGCGTCAATTTCACGGAGAGCCTTGAGGCGATCCTTAGGCGAGAGCGAGGTAAGATTAAGTTTCTCAAGAACCTGATCGTAGAGAGGTTGTGCGGCAGAGACGCTCAATGAAATAGGACCGTCCGTGCCTTCGGCACAAGTGCCAGACTGTCCGATACCACGGCTGAAAAGGCCGGGTTTGCCTGCCAGCATGTGAGCATGAACCGACATGGAGCCGGCGCTTTCACCAACAATAGTCACTCTGTCTGAGTCACCGCCGAACGCGCCGATGTTGTTCTGCATCCACTCCAGGGCAGTCCTCTGATCCCAGAGACCGTAGTTACCTGCACCGCCTTCACCGCACTCCTCTCCGTCTGCGATGAGATCCTGAGAAAACATGAACCCCTGAACGCCGAGGCGGTAGTTGATCGTGATATATACGATGGGCTTCCCATTCTCTACAGAGTGTTTGACAAGGGGTGTGCCATCGTAGAGACCCTGGGATCCACCGCCGTGAATGAAGGCACCGCCGTGGATGTATACCATCACTGGGACCTTCCGTGCTCCCAGACCAGTAGGACGCCAGATATTGAGGTTGAGTGAGCCTTTCTCACTTAACTGGATACCCTCTGGGAAGGCCAAATCTTCATGAGGCCACATCAGGAGGGCACGCTCCTTCGCGCGGAACTGGTGGGAAGTCAGAGGACTATCAGCATCTATGTTAGCATTGATGGCAATAGTTCAAACAAAGTTCCTACCCAAACTTTGATCCGTCATGCTTCCCGCCGGGCAGACTCTGTAGCAACTTGGGCTTCCGCCAGCGGACGGGATCCTCCGCGTACGGAATTCCCAGGAATTTCTCGACATCCTCGTTCTTGACACCGCTGATCTGACCAAAGGACGGTACGTCGATCGCGATTGCGTTTGGCATAGTGATTGCTTTGTACTTATCGTTCTCAGACTCACAGTGCTCTTATTTGTAGCTCATTGTTGTTTTTTACTGAAGTCGAAGCGGGGCATTGCGCAATGCGGGGAAAGCGGCCGCGGGTTGCCGACGTCAACCCGCCCACGCCTAGAAGTGCCCGAGCTCCAAACGAAAGGTTATGTTCAAGTATGTGTAAGTACGCCTGGTATGTCAATAATCCCCCAAAGAACTCAAAAAGAAAACTCCCAAGAGCAAACGAAACGAATGCAACCCAAAACGAGCGAGACACCCTCATAGTATATCGTATCGAACCCTAGATCACACATCTGCAATTGCAAATCACGACTTCCATCCAAACCATCCTCTGGTAGGCCCTGCCTCCGAAACTTCATTAACGCCAACGGTAACCGAGTCGCTCTTCGTGACATGAATGGTTGGCCTCACCAACGGCGGTGTAGGCGCCGCGGACTCGGCTTTCTTTCCCGCTCCCGACATCACCTTTCGCAAAGTATCTACGCGAGCCTTTGCTTCTTCCTCCATCTGACGCGCAACAGCCAACTCTGTCTTCACGTTCGCCAAGTCCAGCTTGAGCGAATCGCAACTCTGACAGCCGATGTTCGTTGCGGTCGGCGTCGATGACCCTGAGCTTCCGGAGATTGGCGAATCGGGAACGGCGGGAAGTGAAGAATTGCCCGTGTATGACTCGCGCTGGTGCATCATTGTGCTCGTCCTGCGGTTTACGCGCATACTGGCTCCACGAGACAATGGCCTGATGCCTGTGGAGGTCTCCGGAGCTGAGGGGATCCCGCTTCCGGATGGTGTACGTCTGACCAAGGTCAACTTTCTCAAGCCCGGTTGCTCACCCTGAGCCTCGGCCGGCTTGTTCACCAATGACTTTGCCTTCTCCCTTTGAGCCTCTTGGTACCTTACTCGCATCTCCCGGTTCGAGTCCCTTAGGCGTGTCAGTTCCGAGTTCGCATCATCCAACTGTGTGGCAAGCGCAGCCGATTTCGAGACCTCAGCGACAAGAAGAGACTGGATATAGGTAATCTCATCACCCCCAGCGCTGTGCGTGTCATGGACAATACCAGCCTCCATGTCGTTGATCTTGCCAATATACTCCTTGACACTGGTTTCTCCCTCGAGCTCACTCGCGTCCCTTTCATCACAGATAACCTCAATCTCCCTCTCCAACGCCTTCACGACCCCACGCGCCAGAGACCGCGCACTATCGCGCTCGCGCCTGGTCTTCTCCAGTTCCTCAGCTTTCACGGCATGTTCCCTCTGCAACGTATTAATCGCCAACAACAGATCCTCAAGCTGCGCCTCCAACTCCCTTGTCGACTTCTCCTTCGCGGTCGAGATTGTCGCGGTAGAGTTCTGTTTGCCGTGAGAGTAAATCGAGGGCGCGTAAGAGTTTCGAGAAATTGTAGTCGCATCCGTCGAACCCTCACTCGATCCAGAGTGGCGTGAATCCGTTGTCGATACACTCTGTTTCGAGGAAGACCGCTTCATGTGGATGCTCGCGGGTGCTCTACTCGTCTCAGGGCTCAACGTACTCCCGCCCCACAGACGCCCGAGGAAGCGCGAAGCTACTGCCTGTAGATCCTGAGTCGCAGTCGATCTCTTTGTGGGTGCTCCGCCGTTGTAATAAGCTTCCTTCAACTGCTTCAAGCCCGCTGTAGTGACGCGGTTCTCCAAACCAATACACGCGTCTGCGATTAGGCCATCGTCGTCAACCTCGTAGGCACGCCACAGTCCGCCGCCCAGCAACATGGTAACGGAGTCGTCAAAACTCAATGTTAGGAGACGCGATGCGTTACGCTTGAGGAGAGCAAGCGCGATACGCATGATCGTCTCAGGCGCACCCTCGGCGAAGATGATATCGTAGATGCGATGAAGCGTTCCGAGTGGGCATGTAACAGCAAACAAACTCAAGAACCACTGCGAAGCATACATCGACGGCGCAATCCCAAGCCCCTTTAGGTGCGCATTGACCTCAGGCAGCTCAGCCTCGAGCAATCGCTCAAACTGCCACAAGCGGAGTTGCAGACCGGCCAAATCCTGCGTAAACATCCCACGCATGTCATAGCTCTCCATCAATCTCACCAACACGCAAAACGCCTCCTCTTCCGCCATATTCATCAACAACGGACCCACCACGAATGCGAGACCCTGGCAGTATCCGACGTCGGCGTCGTAGATGCTGAATGCGTGGAGGACACGTTGGAGCATTTGTTGTCCTTCGCCGCCGGGGACTGAGAAGAGTGGGTTGTTGGGGAAGGTGCGAGAGAGGTCGCGGCTGATTTGGGAAGAGTATGGTGTCGGGTGTTGGGTTAGGGTGGAATAGAGTCCGGTTAGGTGAGTGAGGCGGGAGGATGAGATAGACTGCCAAACGAGGCCGCGGAGTGGTGGAGGAACCCCGGATCGGAGCTTTTTCGAGACGAGGTTGGGAAGTTTGGAGGCTGTTGAGGGGTAGTCTGCGACCAATGCGGCGTAGAAGTCGAGGTCGGTCAGTACTGAGGGCGGAGGTGGGAGGAGTGAAGTGCGCAGATTCTCTGGGTTCTCTGATAGGAGGTTGCGGAGGTATGCGATTGTGATGGAGTGCCGAGGTTTCAAAGCAGATAGTGAAAGACGCTTGGGGTCTTTATGGATGGCCTCATTCTCTTTCTCGAGGCGGGCGAGGAGGAAGGCGGTTTCGGCATCCTCGTCAGCTTGTGCAGCATCCTCTTCTTGTTTGTTGAGAGAGTCCCAATTGACGTCCAGCGAGATTGACAGCATGCTCTCCCTTGAATCCTCCACACCCTGATCCCGCACGGTCATACTAGAATCCACAGAGACGGGTGACATGATTTCTTCCTTCAATTCGCAATCCGCCATTATAATCAAGCGGTTTCGCAAGAATTCCCGGTTGTATGCTGGGTAAAAAGGAGGAGATCCTTGATCAGCAACAGAGCAGGCGATACAACGGGACTGTCAACGAATGGATGCGGCCAAGCAGGTGGTCGGTGGTCTCTCGCCTTATGCCTTATGGAATGGTCAACCCCGGTGAACCCTGTTTGTATGGAGTGGCTCACCAGGGGCTGGCCAGGGGGGCCCTGCAGCCAAGTGCACAAGCGTCGTTGCCAGGAAACAAACAATGCCTAGGAGTGACCGCCGTTGAGAGAGAAGGCTCTCGTTCATGAGCATTGGCCTGCTACGAAGGGCCCTGCTGACCTCTAGACGGCCACTCCCTTCGACCGCTTCACTGTGAGTCCCAGTCAAGCATCGGTCACCGCTCTATCGCCGTCCGCCGTTTCGCTAACACGCGTCTAGCTTTCGCCGGACAACAACAGTAACCCGCATACGACCATCCATATCCAGCTCGTTCGGACCATTACAGCTAAGAGCAATGTCCAGCGACTTTGACATGTCGGATGCCTCCGACTTCGAGCCTGTCGCTCCCATTGTATGTTGTTGCCACTGTTGATCTGTTAGCATACACTCCCACTAACGCGCGTCAAACAGAAGGCAGCACCAAAGAAAGCGCCCGTAAAGCGTGTTGCAGCAGTTACGAAGAAGGCAAAGGTTGTTGAGTCAGAGGAGGAGGAGTCGGCTTCGGAGGTGGACTTTGACGATGACGAGCCAAGTCCGCCACCAAGGAAGACGGCAACGAAGAAGACTGCGTTGAAAGAATCAACTGCGGATAATGAGATGGATGTGGACGAAGCGCCATCACCGGCAGCCACGAATGGCAAGAAAAAGACTGCAACAGATACCTACCAGAAGCTCTCTCAGCTCGAGCACGTTTTGAAGCGTCCTGACACATATATCGGATCCGTCGAAGCTTCGCAAGAGAAACTTTGGGTATACGACTCGGAACAGAACCAGATGGTGAACAAGAACGTCTCGATCGTGCCCGGTCTTTACAAGATCTTTGACGAAATCTTGGTTAACGCTGCTGACAACAAGCAACGTGATCCCAATATGGACACCCTGAAGGTTACTTTCGACCGCGAGAATAACAGCGTCAGTGTTTACAACAACGGTCGCGGTATCCCCATCGAAATGCACGACAAGGAAAAGATCTGGATTCCCGAGTTGATTTTTGGTAACCTCTTGACTTCCTCCAACTACGACGACGACCAAAAGAAGGTCACTGGAGGTCGTAACGGTTACGGAGCCAAGTTGTGTAACATCTTCTCGACCGAGTTCATCGTTGAGACCGCAGACAAGGGCAACAAGAAAAAGTACAAGCAAGTGTTCTCGTCAAACATGAGCAAGAAGGGTGTCCCTAAGATTACAGAGAACTCCAAGGGTGAAGAGTACACCCGTATTACCTTCAAGCCTGATTTGAAGAAGTTTAGTCTGGAAGAGATGGATGCGGATTTGGAAAGCCTGATCAAGCGTCGTGTGTACGATATGGCCGGTACCATGAAGGGTTGCAAAGTCTTCCTCAACAACGAGCGTATCAAGGTCAAGAACTTCAAGCAGTACGTTGAGATGTACGTCAACTCTGTCGCGCCTGACGCTACGACTGGCAAGCCTCCGCCGATTGTCCACGAGGTTGTTTCCGATCGCTGGGAGATCGCATTCACAGTCTCAGACGGTTCGTTCAACCAGGTGTCTTTCGTCAACGGTATTGCGACTACCAAAGGTGGTACCCACGTCAACTACATCGCGGATCAGATTGTTACCAAGATCTCCGACGCTGTCAAGAAGAAGAACAAGGCTGGTGCAAGCGTGAAGCCGCATATGATCAAGAACCACTTGTGGGTGTTCATTAACTGTCTCATCGAGAACCCTGCTTTCGACTCTCAGACGAAGGAGAACATGACTTTGAGACAGTCTGCTTTTGGATCAAAGTGTGCTTTGAGTGAAGATTTCATCAAGAAGGTCTTGAAGTCTGGTGTACTTGAGAACGTGTTGAACTTTGCCAAGTTCAAGGCTGATCAGGCTATGAAGAAGACTGATGGACACAAGAGGAGTCGTATCACTGGTTTGCCAAAGTTGGAAGATGCTAACAACGCTGGTACCAAGAACGGTTCGAGGTGTACTTTGATTCTTACTGAAGGAGACTCTGCCAAGGCGCTTGCTGTTTCGGGTTTGTCCGTCGTTGGTCGTGACAACTTTGGTGTTTTCCCCCTCCGTGGTAAGCTTCTCAACGTGCGGGAAGCAAGTCACGCACAGATCATGGCGAACAGTGAGATTCAGGCCATTAAGCAGATCATGGGTTTGCAGCACAACAAGACTTACACCTCCGCTGCGGACTTGCGTTACGGTCACCTTATGATCATGACTGATCAGGATCACGATGGTTCTCATATCAAGGGTCTTATCATCAACTTCTTGGAGACGTTCTACCCGTCTTTGTTGCAGATTCCTGGGTTCTTGATTGAATTCATTACTCCCATTGTTAAGTGTACCAAGGGCAAGAAGGAGATTACTTTCTTCACTATCCCCGAGTATGAGTACTGGAAGGAGGCCAATGAGGAGGGTAAAGGATGGAATATCAAGTACTACAAGGGTCTGGGTACCTCCACTGCTGCCGATGCGAAGAAGTACTTCTCGGACCTTGACCAGCACTTGAAGTACTTCCATACTACTCAGGATGGTGACAAGGAACTTATTGACATGGCTTTCTCCAAGAAGAAGGCAGATGACCGAAAGGAATGGTTGAGGCAGTTCAAGCCGGGAACCTACATGGATCATAGTGTCGACAAGATTCCTTTGGCGGATTTCATCAACAAGGAGCTCATTCTCTTCTCCATGGCTGATAACGTTCGTTCCATCCCTTCCATGGTGGATGGATTGAAGCCTGGTCAGCGTAAGGTCATCTTCGGCACCTTCAAGAGGAAGTTGAAGGGTGAGATCAAGGTTGCGCAGTTGGCTGGTTATGTTGCTGAACACTCTGCGTACCACCACGGTGAACAGTCTTTGACTCAGACTATCGTCGGATTGGCACAACAGTTCGTTGGAAGCAACAACATCAACCTTCTCTTGCCTAACGGTCAGTTCGGTACTCGTATGCAGGGTGGTAAGGATGCTGCTTCTGCTCGTTATATTTTCACCGAGTTGAGCCCGTTGACGAGAAAGTTGTTCCACAATGATGACGACCCATTGTTGACCTACTTGAACGATGATGGTCAGAACATCGAGCCGCAGTTCTATGCGCCTATTTTGCCGATGGTTTTGGTCAACGGTTCTGAGGGTATTGGTACGGGTTGGAGTTCCTTCATTCCCAACTTTAACCCTGAAGATCTCGTGGCGAACTTGAGGCGCTTGATGAAGGGTAAAGAGCCTGAGGAGATGCACCCCTGGTACCGTGGCTTCACGGGTTCCATCGAGAAGAAGATCGGCAAGTACGAGCTTAAGGGTACGATTACTCAGCTTGATGACAACACTGTGGAGATTACCGAGTTGCCTATCCGCTACTGGACTCAGAACATGAAGGAGTTCCTTGAGGTTGGTATTGCTGGAACCGAAAAGGTACCTGCCTTCATCAAGGATTATTCCGAGTATCACACGGACGGCACCGTGCACTTCATCGTTAAGTTGACCGACAAGGGCATGGCCGAGGCGCTCAAGGAAGGTTTGGAGGAGAAGTTCAAGCTGACCACCTCTGTCTCTACCAGCAACATGGTGGCCTTCGACACTGAGGGCAGAATTAGGAAATACAACAACGTGGACGAGATTCTTAGGGAGTTCTACCACCTGCGTCTCGAGCTTTACCAGAAGCGTAAGGACTACTTGGCTAATGAGCTCATGCGCCAGTTTGAGCGTCTGTCCAACCAGGCTCGCTTCGTGCAGATGATCTGTGACCATGAACTCATTGTCTCTAACAAGAAGCGCAAGGACCTTGTCGCTGAGTTGAAGGAGAAGGGTTTCAAATCGTTCCCCAAGAACAAGGAGGCCAAGGAGGCCGGTGAAATGGAGGAGGCTTTGGAGGACGAAACCGCCGATGCTGGAGACAAGGGTTATGACTACCTGCTTGGCATGGCTATCTGGTCGTTGACCCGTGAAAAGGTGGCCAAGCTCAACGCCGACAAGGACGCTAAGGAACGTGAGCTCGATGAGCTGCTCAAGCTTTCTGCAAAGGACATTTGGGAACATGACCTGCAGGCTTTCATGGAGGAGTGGCATGCTACGCTGGAGACGGACGAAAAGCTCATCGCCGACGCTAAGTCTGGCAAGAAGCCTACCACTGGCAGAAAAGCTGGCACGAAGCTCGAGGCTAGGCCTACGTTGAAGGCGAAGGTCAAGCGGGGTAGTGATGATGACTCGGATTTTGAAGCCAAGAAGCCCGCTGCAAAGAAGGCGAAGGCATCCACCACTCCGGCAAAGGCTAAGCCCGCGGCCAAGCAGACCAAATTAGCGTTCACGAAGACTGAACCATCTTCACCTGATGAAGAGGTGCCTGTCCCAGCCAGAAAGACCGCTGCGTCAACTGCGAAGGCTGCGGCCGCGAAACCAGCTACCAAGAAGGCTTTGAAGGTCGAGTCCGATGAAAGTGATGAGGAGTTTACTGCACTCAAGGTGGATAAGGCCCCCGAGCCTGCAAAGAAGATGCCCGTGGTGCAGCCAAAGGCTACCATCATGGACGACAGTGATGACGACTACATGTCGAAGCTTGCCAAGGGTACTGGTGATGCGAAGCCCATGTTCTCGTTCAGTGCGCTTAGCAAGCCTACAACTAAGCCTGCAGCTGCTAAGAAGCCGTCTCCCATTGTCGACCTCTCTGAGGACGAAGAGGAATCCGCTACTTTGTCTAATGTAATCGATGACGAGTCCAGTCCAGAGAAACCAAAGGCTAAAGCCGCTCCGGTCAAGAAGGCAGCTTTATCTGCGGCAGCCTCAAAGAAATCATTGAAGATCTTGTCTGATGAGGACGAGTCTGAAGAGGAGGTCATGAAGCCTGCAGCAAAAGCAAAGGCTGCACCGGCTGCGAAGAATGCTGCTCCTGCTCGTTCTGCTCGCGCTGCAAAGGCTAAGGCTGTCCCGGTCATGATCGACAGTGACTCGGCTAGTGAAAGTGAGGGATCCTTCCAGGAGGAGAGTGAAGGGGAGAGTGATTTCGATGAAGATGATTGAAGGAAGAATATCATATAGAGTACGGACAAGCCAAAGCATGACTATTTGTATCGCATGTTAGGTACTCGTGTATCGCGTATAATTCTAATACCACATTTTCCCATGGTTCGGCAAGCTGAAATTGCCAGTTCCTTGTCGAAGTTTCCAAATCCAGCAGGCGCGTGTGGCGCAACCGACCCAAAATCATCGGCGAGTGTAACGAAGACATGCAGAAGCGATAAGTCGCAGAAAAACCAGAAATGTCGTCAAGAGAAGCTCAATTGAAGAAGCTGTTGGAGCTTACATCCTCATTATCCGCCAATAATGACGCAGCATCTGCACCGGCAGAGCCAGTCGCACCACGGCAAAGATCGGACTTGAACGCCGATATTCTGAATCAAATCCTCGGTCCTGATGAGGCAGAACTTATGAAGGAAGCGATGACTGTTATCATGCACCCACAGGCTACTCTGGAAAACAAGGAAATCGCTTTCGATAACCTTGAGATGCTGATCGAGAACCTCGACAATGCCAACAATATCAAGAACCTCGGTCTGTGGCCACCATTGCTCTCCAACCTCTCTTCGCCAGAACCATCACTTCGACTTGCAGCATGTGGTGTTATCGGTACGGCAGTTCAGAACAATGAGAAGTCACAGAACTCGTGTCTGGAACATGATGGCTTGGCTAAGGTGATCGACGTGCTTCAGAATGATGATGACAACGGTGTGCGGGTAAAGGCGGTATACGCCGTCAGCAGCATTATCAGAAACAACAACCAGGCGCTGAAGACCTTTGGAGACAACAACGGATGGAAAGCGTTGGCTAGCACGTTGGACGGATCAACAAATATGGCGCGCAAGGGTGTTTTCCTGATAAGCGCTTTGTTATTGCAGGACGAGGGCTCCGAGATCGCTTTGGAGCAGGTGAAGTCGTTGAGGTTGGCGGACAAGGCAGTTTCGCTTGTGGAGAAGAATGCGGATGACGAAGACATGGTTGAGAAGTTGTTGATGTTGGTTAAGGTTGCACTGGAGAAGGATGGCTCCGCACTGGATGCGGCGTCCAAGGAGAAGCTGAGGTCGTTGGTGCCGGGGTTGGAGCAACAGTACGAAACTGGATTCTTTACTGAGGGTGAATGGAAGGACTTTAAGGTACTCATTGCTTAGGAGGGCGTACGTTATATTGACCGATTACTGATGACAGGTGGCAGCGATAGGAAGATGAGAAAGGGCATAACAGACTATACCGGAATTCAATAATCATTTGACATCATCAGTAATCATTGTATGTATCTCGTTTCCCCCGTCAGATAAGGTTTGTGTGCCGCATATCGATGGAGCTGCGAGTGCACGTGCCTTCGTACATACGAAACGCGACTCCCCGAGAAACCTTGACCAACGTAAACAATCGCTGAGGGATATCAGAGACGATACAATGCCCAGGATCAAGACACAGAGAACGAAGAAGGCGCCAGAGGGATTCGACGAGATCGAGTCGACGCTGCTGGACTTTGCGCAGAAGATGAAAGACGCGGAGAATGTGTCGCATGAGGGCAAGCGAAAGAATGAGGCCTTGTGGGCGATTTTCCAGGTATGCTGCATCTATAACGACTGTCAGAACCACTGCTAATGCTCTAGCAGATCTCACATCAGCGATCACGGTATATCTATGAGCTGTACTACAAGCGAGAGGCGATCTCAAGAGAACTGTACGATTGGCTTCTGAAGCAGAACTACGCTGATGCGAACCTGATAGCGAAGGTATGCATATGTCTGCTATACTATTTGTGCGCTAGCTGACCTTTGTATAGTGGAAGAAGCAGGGTTACGAGAAGCTGTGTTGTCTGCGATGCATACAGATGAAGGAGCAAAACTTCGGTACGACTTGTATTTGTCGCGTGCCGAAGGCGAAGTTGTCAAAAGGTGCACCAGTGGAATGCCTTCATTGTGGGTGCAGAGGTTGCGCATCCAGCGACTGAGCCTTGAATTGGGTATGGAGTGAAGGATTGGGTCATATGGGTTCGCAACGGCAACAGCATCGTGAGGATCGATTTGTGGATTAGCATGGAACCCGCCCCGCTGGATTCGGCAAGCTTAAGACGAAGATGTGCACGGGTACGTTGGGACGTACACTGAAAGCGATTGGGCAAAAGAATGACGGAAGAAAAGCTTGTCATTTCGTCTCATATCAAGACCAACTAGCTATCAGGACAAGCAAAGGCTTAGAAGCTGAAAAGGGTATTCCATCTGTCAAACAAAAATAACTCCACGCCCGCCTGTCTCGGGCTAATTATACCTGTGAACCAAACCGTAAACCTGACCAAAAAGAATAAAGACCACTGACACCCCTTGTCGGTATAATTGCATCGTCCATCGTCTTCTCCAGATTCCTAGAAACCACTGGAGTAACTTCTCTCCATCATGAATCGCCCATCGTCAGAGCCATGCACAGCCCTCCTCATCACGCTGACGACGTCAACGCCAAACACATCTGTCACATCACCGAACGCTTCTGATGCGAAGTCGCTCATCCTCAATCCGGATACAAGCCCGCGACGAGCCTCCCTACGCTTGGCCTCACGTTTGTCGGGAGACCCGAAGCAGGCACGGGAGATAACATCGTCATCCTCGCAATCCCTGCCAAAGACGGGGTTATTCTCCTTATCCAGAGGCGTCTTCGCCGGTGAAGCAAGTGCGGCAATCTTTTTGGGTGAAAGACCGTATGATGCCCACGGATCGTCGTATTCGATGTTCAAGCTCCTGGCCGGGCTAGTGAGCAACCTGTGAACAGCCTGACGATGTTGCCTGAGTGTGGTAGCGGGCGACACACTGCCAGGAACATTGGTGTTCTTGAAAGCAGGCGCCGGTGTCTCCGGAGGCAACAAAGTAACGTTGTTGTTCAAAGGAGCCAGATATGGCGACGACGAAGGAGGGGGCGATACGAGGTCACCGGCAGCAGACTGGTGAACACTTTCGTACTTGGCAATAGAATTGCCGCCCAAGTACTGCGTCCGCTTGAAGGTAGAAGCATAACTTCCATAGTCGTACTCCTCCTCATCGGTGTGCTCATCATCCTCGTCCTCCCTAACAAAGGTTGTAGTGACCTTCCTCTTCAAATTGGTCGGAGGAGGAGTAGGCTCACCGTACATCTGGTACTGATAGAGCTTCGGGGTAAGAGCAGAGGGATCAGTCGGGAAGAAATGCTTCTTCAGGACACCAGTATCGGCCATGGCCATAGGCGGTGCAGTAGGTGTCATCATGACTTGTTTGGGCATCTTGGCAGCCTGCCCAGGAATGCCCTTCCTGGTCCTGACCTTCATGAACTGGAATTCGCAACCGGGCTCGATTGTCCAGTAATTTCCCTTCCCAGGCTGGTCCTTTGGCCTCTCCTGCTTGACGAAAGCCTTGTTCAAGGAAAGATTGTGACGAATGGAGTTTTGCCATCCGGAATCGGAGTCGCGGTAGTACTTGAATGTGGATGAAATCCAGTTGTAGATTTCAGCAAGAGTAAGGCGACGGTTAGGAGCGCGAAGAATGGCCATGCCGATCAGAGTAGCGTAGCTGTACCCAGGCTTCTCTCCGTCATCCTCGACAGCAGGCATCTCGCTCGGGTCAGGGATCGCGGAGCTAGCGTCGACACGAGCATCTACTAAAGGTGCAGAGTCTTGAAGGTTCTTCTTCGCGCTCCTAGAGTATGCATTGCGTACGGGCTTGGATGTGGGTGTGATGAACTGCGGAGGAGGCATCATCAAGGCTTGTCCAGGACCCATAGGTCTCATAGCAGGCGTCTTTGGCGCGAAGAACTTGGTCGGAGAGCTAGGCGGTCCCATGGCAGCCGCTTCACCGAAAGTAGGAGGAAGAGGAAGCTGCCTCTGCTGGTGCACTTCCGGCGGAGAGCTAGACATGAGAGGATGTGGCACCTGGTGCATCACCGGTGCAGAGAATGCGGGTACGCGCTGCTTCTTTTCGGGAGAGATCTTCGCATGATGCTCGACCTTTGGCGGCGGAAGAGGACATGCACGGAAGTCGCGTGCAGAAAAGACTGATCTCAGAAGAGGAACGGCGCCCGAAGAGATGGAACGGCGGAATGTCTTCGATGGAGAGATCGATGTAGGCTGAGGAGGAGGTGCCAGTGCCACTGGAGCTGGCTGCATGACCGTGGAGAACTGGTATCGCTGAGGAGGTGAGGACGTTGCAGGTGAATGCGAGTGATGGTATGTTGGTGGGTAGTTGTTCGCGTGAGAGACCATCTTAATTGGCTATGTCGATTCTTGTCGTGATTGTAGCAGGTGTAGAAAGCTCAGAGAGCGTGTTTATGGACTCGATCCGGGACTGTATGCTACGCAAAAGGTCGTAGGCCGTTATAACTAACGTCTTCAAGGTTGCCCTTTTCGTGACAGACGTGACAGAGAAGTGACAGAAGTGCTCTGCGAGGACGTTGATCCGTAGACGAGATGACTGAGTGGGAGTAGAGGATGTCAATGAATGGTGAGCAGAGAAGGAGTCGTGAAGAGATCAGGTGGGTGAGGCGAAGAAGAAGTACGACGGCAGCGATTCCCGATATGCGAAGAACAAAGAAGACTTCTGCCTGAGGGGGTTAACTGCAGACGATAACGGCTATCGAGCACGATGGCTGAGGGGCGTTACTTGAGGCGGAGGTGGTCGAGCTGAAAACAGACGTCCCAGGAGACGATCTGCGCGACCGTTACGTGTGAGCCGAGGAATGTATGGAGTAGAGTTTGTCGCGACGACGAGAGAGCCGGGTGGAAACGCGGCGCAATTGAAGGAAGAGAACGATTGATCGAACAGGGAAACAGACGAATGACTTCGAGCAGATATACACGGACGGTGCTCAATTACCAGGCCTACCTTCTTTTTCTCTCGCAGTCCTTTGTCGTGGGGACGCAAGGGAGACGCGTCTTGACGCGTGCCTTGACTCCTGGGTTTCCCCAAGAATGCACCGTCCCGTAAATTCAAGGTTTCTAACCGACACAAGGGCCGCAGGAAATAAATGGCAAGACGAACATAGGAAGACGGGCTTACGTGTATGCGAGCATGTGGGCCGCACGAGGCAGGGTGATCTGGAAATGTTCTGATTTGTACGAAACGCGACGTCGACGCGGTTCCGCGTTGATTCACGGCGACACGCGTAGATAAGCTCTACCGACGCCGGCATGGCAACGACAAGACTCGATATATACGAGGCTTTCGTATGTACAAGTCAGTTGGTCTCTCTGTTGGTAACTATCAGTGGGACTTCCAACTTGCGGTTGTCATGATCGTGCGTGGACATGCACGCGTGTGAACTTTACTAATACTTGTAATCCGCTCGGCTAAAATACTTAGAACAATGGAAAGCCATCGAGTTTGGTTACTCTCGTGCATGCTTACATATGAGAGTGGCGAGGTCTCCACCCCAATCAGCCGTAAAGTGTATCCTTGCCTGCTGCCCGCACCGACCTCATCTTGTCGAATGCACCCAACGCAAGACGTCTGAAGGTCGGGCCAGAAGGCATCCCGGGTCCTATCTCATCATCCACAACACTGTTCCCACGAGTCCAACAACGATCCTGCCACAGATTTGTCCTATATTGGCAATAACAGTGTCGACACCCGAAAGGTCCCATAATTCAGGGTTTGGTAGGAAGGACTGCACCTCGCCAGACGCTGTACTTACAGCAAATCGAGACATCGAGTCATGTATGGGGATAGGCTTGAGGTGAATACGGCAGAACCGCGGCCAGAAGCCGTCTCGTGTTTGTAAGCTGCTGGGCCTGAAAGCAGCAAAGCAGCAGCGGCTAACGATTGTTTTATTCCCTGGAGGACTTTTAATTTACGCGTCAGTTGAGCGTGTGTACACCCCGCGACAGATTCGCTTGGAACAGCACGAACTTTATAACAATGTTGATGCATTCTATCAATACTTTTGCGTCATTCTCATAATCGTACAAAGCCTCAATCTCCTCATGGCGACGTCCCTATCGTACTATACCGACTCTAACACTATGAATGCCCCAGCACTAACAATCCAATCACCTCAATGCTCTTTTGGAAGTCCCTCCATAATGTGCCTGTCCCTGCTCAAATTATAAAAGTAATCACTCCCGTAACCCTCCATATGCACACCCGCCAACTCGCCACCAAAGTACCTACTCGTTAAGCGTGCAATCGGCATACCGTGTCCATAGCTCTCGTAGGGAACCTGTGCGTAGTCGACGAAAGAAGAAATCTGTGTTTTGGGGTCTGGTGAGTTGCCGTTTATTTCGGAAGCGAAGGACGGCGTTGTGTTTCCGGTTGGTGGGGGGCGGGAGTGGTAGTAAGACCAGATTCTTTCGCAGGTTGAGAGAGGGAAGCCGCCGCCTTGGTCGGAGATTTTGATGGAGACGTCTTGTTCTCCTTCGGCGATGATGATTCGGATTTCGGGGAGTGTTCGGTCTCGTGATAAGTGTGAGGCTTTTGAAGCGTGGTGGTTGTGTGTTCGTGCGATGGAGTGCTTGAGCACTTCGAAGAGGATGCGGTGGAGGTGTTCTTCGACATAGATCGTCTGAGAAACCTTTGGTGCCTTGAATATGTTGATCTTGGGCGCCGGAGACGAGGTGAAGTAGGCGGAGGTAACCCTTATGGCGTCTGCACTGGCCCGCTCAGCGACCTTGGCGGGATCAATGGCCTTGACTACCCTCGTTTCATCACCTCGTACCAACGCAAGATGTTCTGCAATGAAGAGCCTGCTCCCCATGTTGAGAGTGTAAAAGTCATCAAAGAACTTGTTCGTCCGCTCGTCATCCATCTGTTCCGGTGTTGCGCCCCGGTCGAGCGCTTCATTGACAGAGCGTCCTACACCTAGCAAAGCGGATTGATGCTCAGACATGAACTCGTGCAGCCATTCTCCAAATTGTTTGGCCCTTTCCGGTGTATCCGGTGGTGGTCTTGAGGTAAGCAAATCAATGATCCGATGGTAGCGCTGTTGTTGCCATTGGATGGTAGGAGTATCACCAAGACCGTACGGTGCTTGCTCCTCGATGTTCTTCAACACTAGCGCCCAGCGTGTTGCCAACTCTGTGTAGAGGAAGGATGATGGACGGATCAAAGCCTCGTGCTTGTTATGGGCCTTCGCGACATGATTGGAAGAGGACCAGATCTGATGAAGGTTGACGAGGGTTGCCTTAGTTGACTGCAGCCTCTTCAAGATCTTCACTGGATCAGGCATGTTCTTCAGTCTGCAATATTTTTCTGGTCTTCTCTGATCCGAGGAGGAGCGATGCCGCACGGACCGTCTGCTGCTGGTTCACGCAGGTGACGTTGGTGGGGGACATCGGCCGCACCCTGCAGAGGACTGCACCGCGTAAACCCCGGGGAAGAGACCTGCAAACACCCGTGCAGCCATCACTGACAAAATAATGGAGAGTTCAGCGGATAGGAGACGTCCAGTGATGACTTATGGGGTTAGGAAACGTTCTACGCCGGTCGAATATGAGGACTGGGGCTTTGACGACGAGGATCTGCCCGTTTCAACCGTAAAGGAGCCGCATACATCCACTCCGAATGAGCATACACCTGTCGAAAGTGCTTCAAAGAAGTCGACTCCGGCAACTTCTGGTACCAGTTCACCGAAGCGCACTACACTGAAGGCCAAGTCTGCAGCACAGAAGAAGGTGGACGTGTTTGATTTGCCGAGCGACGATGAGGAAGCGAGGTATATGCGCCTCGAGGTACCAAGCGGACTGAAGAGAAAGGCGCCTGCAACTCCCATGAAGGCTTTAGTACCGGTCAAGCGGGTCAAGTCGCCAGTACATCGTACAGAGCCAGCACGACCGAAAGAGTCGACGCCTTCGCCACGGAAATCGACACGTTCGCAGGCTACGAAGCCTGTAACGCCAACAGAGACCCCGCCTAAGAAGGTAAATGCTGGGTACAAGGAACGTGTTGCAGCGAAACAGTCGGCGAGCCCGAAGGTCACCAAATCCAGCGAAACTGCGATGGGTGCCGCTGCCGACTCTGCCAAACCTGCACCAGCTCTCCGATCCGCCATGAAACCTCCCGCACCACTAAGATCATTGAAGTCTATGCCAGTTGTGCCGACGCTAGTGACGACATCGCCATCTCCAACAGGGGCTGTTGCCCTTCCGACGCGGCAGAGAGTGACGATAAATCCAGATCCGACTGCCGTCTATTCTCAACCGCAGCCTTCGACACCAGAGCGCCCAAGGTTGCAAAAGTCATGTTCTGACGTTAGTCCTGCACGAGAACGAGTGGTTTCTGTACCGAAGTTGTCCTCGAAGGAAGCTGCGGCGTGGGATCTGTTCGGATCACCTGAAGAGGTAAAGAAAAGTCCGGTGAAGGGCACGGAGAGTCCTCGGAGTGGAAGGAAGATGATTGGTGTGCTTGGTCGAAACCCTAACTCTGCCTCAAGGGTGTCACTGTTTCGCACTATGTCAGATGTTCCGGATGGTCTTCGCGAGGATCAAGGTGGGGAGGACCTTAGCAAGGTGGTTCACCAGGAGGAACAGCCCAGTCATTCCTTGGGCGGAGAAGTGGTCACTGCAGAATCACAGGACCGGCTACCTGACCGCCGTGTGACTTATGCTCGACAACGATCATATCGCGCAGAGGAACCTGCTTTGGGTGTTGATCCATTGGAAGCCCTCCTGGCAACACCCTTGTTTGCACCACCTAAACGGCCTGCCGAGGAAGAGTCACTGAGTGAGGATGGGGAGGGTGAAAGCCAAGTGAAGAGCGTTCATGAGTTGCGTGAGGCTGGCGAAAACAAGCGTTTTGCGGATGAGGTTGAGTATATGCTTGAAGGCACCGGGGCTGGTAATCCGGCAAAGGTTAGGAGAGCTGGTTTAATCGAGGTTGGTGGCAAGTTATGTGAGTCGAGTTTCTTGTTGCGGTTCAAACGAGGCGGTTTTGTTGATCGACTCCTAAAAGGCGTCGGGATGGAAGAGGATGTTGTGGTTGGATTTGTTCTTGGTCTGACTGCTGCGTTGGTCTTTCAAGATGAGAGTGCTGCGCAGACGATTCTTGAGTCATGCGCATCTTGTATTCCTTTTCTGTTGAGCTTGTTGAACGAGGCTCGCGATATCGCTGTCATCGCAAAGAATAGGAAGCTGGGTTTGAGTAAGATTATGCAGGAGAATGTTCAGGAGTTAAGGGACAAGGTGAAGGAAAGCGATCTGTGTCGAGCTATGACGGCACAAACTGTGGTGTCGCCGCGTCTTATGGGACTCGTCGCACTAAACTCGTTGTCGGTGCTGCGTGCGAGGGTCAACCCGACTCCTCGCGAACTCATCATTCAGGCTGATGGCGTTGAGAAACTAATGGGCATTCTCGGCGACAATGGCCTTGATCTGCATTCTGAGCCTGTTTTGGACGTTGTCGAAATGTCACTGAAGATATTTGAACTTTGTGTCGATGGAATCGTTGTCCCGGTGGGTGTGAAGCATGTGGAGAGTTTGGGAAGGTTGCTGAACCGCATCATTGCGGTGGAAGAGAAGTTGGAGGATCCGCTGTTGAGGAAGCAAGCGGAGCTGATAACGTTGTCGCTCCTTCGAACTCTTATCAGCATCTCGAATGGTCCTGCTGTTTGTGATGCCATGGTGATGACCTGTATCGTTTCTAACCTGTTGCGGTTCGTTTGTGTGCCTGGGATACTGTCAGATGGTATCAAGTACGAGGACGGTACTACTGAGGATGCAAAATATGATAAACTCCTGTTCGGTCTTGGTTTGATGAACAGGTTAGCGGAGGAGAGTGCCGTTCTGAAGGATAAGATTGGACAAGCTGATGGATTCACCTTTGCTGGTCGAAGTGGTCTTGAAGGTCTTGCCGATCAGTTCAAGGATATGCACGCAGTGTTTGATGGCAAAGGAAATCTCGGAGAGTTCGAAGTCGAGCATGTTCATGCGTACGGATATCTCGCGACGCTCTTGGCGCACCTCGTCCAAAAAAGTCAAGAAACATTGCATGCTGGCAACCTCGCCATCCTACGTCACCTCCTGCCCGGAAATGATTTGCGTGCTATTACATCAGCCCTGACCATGTTCACCGGTGTTCTCACGAATGAGGAACAACGGAATCAGAGTTTACTTGCGAATATTGGACATATATGTGCTGTTTTGAAGGCGTTGGACAAATAGGTTATCATCGGTTATGGCGTTTCAGCAGATTTAACTCTAATGTTAGGTATAATGTTATGGTAGCGAGTATCATCTGTCAATGAATGGATTCAAATAATTCCCGCGGTTCAAGGTTCCCCGTAGTACTGGAGCTGCAACGCACCATGAAAGTGTGGATTACCATATCCCAAAGACATGCTTCGGTTATTGACATGCGGAACGACATTACAAACTACGGGCCTTGCTCTTGACTGTTCGGCGCATTTATCTGGGTATATTGCATCTTCCGCACATCTATCGTACATTCGCCACGGATCCTCTCTATCTTCAAGTCTTCTTCTTCCCAACGCCAAGCCTCTTTTTGGGTGCCGGTCCAGCACTGCTTGTAGCTGTTCCACTACTTCGGTGCTCCACTGGGGCAGCTGCGTTCTCCTTCCTCTTCTTTGCGCCACTTCCAGCCTCTCTCTCAAGATCCTTCTTCATATCTTTCAGCATTTCGTGAAGAGCGTCGTTCTTTCTCTGTTTCAGGCATGTTAGATCTTGCACACATCAAATCCACGACAGTGCTTAACGTACGGCACACAACAGAACGTCATCACATCCAATAGTCCTTCGACCCGCATGTCTAGCAAATGACTCGGCATCTCCAGCAACAAGCTGCGCCTGTTCGAAAACGAGTTGTGCGAGCGCTGCAATGAACTGCGGTGTAGTGTTTGCGTCGAGAGTGAGTGCGAGGTGGTCAATCAGTTCGCCGGTGTGAAACCAGACTTCACAGCCCGTTAGCAGTAGTCCAACACACCCTTGGAATACACGTACCAGCCGACTTCAATCTGGCATCAGCGGCCTCTGTGTCCTCATCCATATTTCCTGTTCGACCTCGAGCGCGTCCTGAGCGCGTTCATGGTGTTGGGTGTACGGTGGCTGTGCTTGGGGAGCATACGGTAATCCGGCTGCAGCTGTTGTAATACGGTACACCAAGAGACGAATATGTCGTTGAAGAGAAGCCCGGACGAGGAGGGCGAGCTGAGGGATGTGAAGAGAGAAAGGATTGACAATGGATCGTCTACAGTCTCGCCGTCGAGGTCGCAATCGGCTGCCATGACTGCCAATGACAGTGCCAATGGTGACGGAGCAGCACCGCAGCCGCGCCGGAAGCTAGAGTTCAAGGGTTGTTCCAATGTCGAGCATGAATATGAGTTTCTGGAGAAGCTCGGTGAGGGGACGTTCGGGTATGTTTGCTGTTTTGCTGGATGGCTAGACAACTAATTGAGCTTGCTGGACAGTGAAGTGCACAAAGCGAAACGGGCTCGGACAGGCGAATTGGTTGCCCTCAAGAGGATAATCGTGCATCAGCCAGAGAAAGAGGGGGTAAATGCTCTTCCGATTTTTCCACAATTGCTTCCATTGACAATTAACTGCAGTTTCCGATCACTGCTCTCCGCGAGATCCGCCTTTTGAAAGCCGTCTCTCACCAGCATGTCATCTCACTTATCGACATGGCAGTCAAACGTGGCGACCCGAAGAAGGGACGTGGCTCGGAAGCAATCTACATGGTTACACCATACATGGATCATGACCTCGCGGGTCTCCTAGAAAACCCCAAGATCCATCTCACTACACCCCAAATCAAACTCTACACCAAGCAGTTGCTGGAAGGCATGCGATACTTGCACGCGAACAAAATCTTGCATCGGGACATGAAGGCTGCCAACCTTCTTATCAACAACGAGGGTATTTTGAAAATCGCTGACTTTGGCCTGGCAAGATATTACGATGAAGACCCACCGATCCCTGGTGTCGGTGGGAGGCCTGGGCCTGCGAAAAGAGACTACACCCCGCTGGTCGTGACACGATGGTATCGTCCGCCTGAGTTGCTACTCGGTGAGCGCAGGTATACTACGGCAATTGACATGTGGGGAGTTGGTTGCGTCTTTGCGGAGATGCTGGTCGGCAAGCCTATTCTTCCTGGTCAAAGCGACATTGACCAGGTCGACAAAATCTTCCAGCTGTGTGGAACGCCAACAGAGGAGACCATGCCGGGCTGGAGTAAACTTCCCGGCCCTCCTATGGAGAATGGAATTACTTTCAATGCGCCGAAATATCCCTCGACCATCAAGCAACGGTATGAGAAGTATGGCGTACTTGCGGTTCAGCTTCTTGAGAATCTATTGAAGCTCAACCCTCAGGAGCGGTACTCTGCATACGAAGCCTTGGAAGCGTCGTACTTTCACACTCAGCCACTCCCGGCTAAGCCATCAGAGATGCCGAGATTTGAAAGCAGTCATGAGTATGATAAACGCAAACGCAAGGAGGAGGAGAGGAGCAGGAGACCCGCAGCGCCAGCAGGTAGTCAAGTTGGAAATCCGGACAGTCATTTTGCAGGGAATGGGAGAGGCCCGGGCTACAGAGGAGACCGCTGGGATGGAGGCAGGGGGTATGATGACCATCGACGTGGTGGATACAGAGGTGGTTATGGAGGTGGAGGACCTCCTGGGGATCGAGATGGTCATGGAGGCGACGGTGGTGGCTATAGAGGTCGCGGTGGATATGGAGGGCGTGGACATGGCGAGCGTGGGGGTTGGCGCGGCGGGAGTAGACCGTACGAGGATCGGGATCGGAGAGATGGATATGGACCACCGAGAGGGGGCGGTTACAGAGGTGGATATGGAGGTGGAGGTCCACCGCCGCAGCGTGATGACCGGTGGAGGGGGTAGTGTTAACGTGGGAGCGCATACTTGAGTTGGGCATCAAGCTGTCACGGACGATGACAGGCGCGGGGTACCCGAATGCATATCTTTACAATCAAACTATATCATCCTATCATACGAGTAAAGCAAATACAGGTCGCCCCAATGGTCACCGAACTGAGCTGTAGGGGCACATGCGCGCAGGAGGTGACTCCCGAAAAAGTGCAACGTAGACGAAACCATACAAGAAAGTCGCAACCATAAATATGGCAGCTTCGGTAGCAAACGGCGTTTCAAACGATACCGCTATGAAGTCCAACTCTGACGCTACGAAGCCCTGGGTTGTTCAGAAGTACGGAGGAACCAGTGTTGGAAAGTTTGCCGACAAGATCGCGGAGGATATCGTACGGTTTGCAGCAGCCTGATCCGATGCCTTGGAGATACGAAGGCTAACGTTTTATTGATTCAGAGTCTACGTCGATGAATACCGCGTCGCTGTTGTTTGCTCTGCACGGAGTACCGCTACCAAGGCTGAGGGTACCACTAACCGGTACGCCTGATCCCTGCTTCCACTACTGTCGCAAGGCATGCTCAAATCATCGCATTCGCTAACTGAACACCAGACTTATCCGCGCCGCCGAGGAAGCCTTGACTGAGGGCTCCAAGCTCTACCTCGACATCGTTGAAGCCATCCGCGCAGACCACATCAAGGCCGCCAAGGAGCTCATCGCGTCGGAAGCTATCATCGCTGAGCTTGAGAAGGAGATTGAGTACGAATGTGAACGTCTCGGATCTTTCCTTTCTGCTGCGCAGATCATCGAGGAGATCTCGCCCAAGACGAAGGATATCATTATTGGATCAGGAGAGAAGTTGGCATGTAGGGTGATGGCGGCGTTGTTGAGGGATCGTGGTGTTGATGCGCAATACGTTGGACTGGATCACGTTGTTCCCGCAGACTACCCGGTGAAGGATGGATTGGATCAGGCGTTCTACGACTGCGTCGCAAAGGCCATCGCGGCGGAGGTGCAGAAGTGTGGAAGCAAGGTGCCTGTTGTCACTGGATTCTTTGGTGTTGTTCCTGGGTCGCTGTTGGCGAACATTGGTCGTGGATACACTGATTTGTGTGCGGCGTTGTTGGCTGTTGGTCTGGGTGCTGACGAGTTGCAAATCTGGAAGGAGGTTGACGGTATCTTCACCGCTGATCCTCGTAAGGTTGCGACTGCTCGTTTGTTGCCTACCATCACCCCTGAGGAGGCTTCCGAGTTGACTTTCTACGGATCCGAGGTCATCCACCCGTTGACGCAGCACCAGGTCATGCACGCTCGCATCCCCATCCGCATCAAGAACGTCGAGAACCCCAAGGGTGACGGTACTATCATCTTCCCTTCGAACCTGCAACCCCGGGCGCAAGGTGGCGATGCTACCCCTCCCCACCCACCAAAGAATGTGCCTGAGAGCTTGTACCAGAAAGCTCTCGGTCAGCCCCGCATGCCTACTGCCATCACTACCAAGGAGAACATCGTGGTCATCTCAGTGCACTCCAACCGCAAGTCCCTTTCGCATGGATTCTACCGTGAGTTGTTTGGTGTTTTGGACAAGTACAGGTTGGCTGTCGACTTGATCGCCACCTCTGAAGTTCACGTGTCTCTTGCTGTCCACAGCGAGGCTAGACATCACCAGCTTCGTCTCGGTGAGGCCATCAAGGAGCTTCAGCGCATTGGTCAGGTTGACGTTTTGAAGGGAATGATCATCTTGTCTGTTATCGGTATTCAGATGAAGAACATGGTTGGTATTGCGGGTCGTGTGTTTGGAACTCTGGCGCAGAACAACATCAACATTGAGATGATTTCTCAGGGTGCAAGTGAGATCAACATTTCGTGTGTTATTGCAGCTCAGGATCAGTTGAAGGCGTTGAACGTGCTGCATCATCATTTGTTGTCGTTGGCGCAATAAAAAGAGAACGAGGGGACACTTTACGATAGACACTGTACGCAGTCTTTTTGATATATTTTTGGAAAACACCCATATTTCTTCATGCGTTCTCAATCCTGTATCCGACCATCTCCACTGCTAGTAGGTACTCGTTCGCAGCTCTATCAGCATAACCTAACGGGCCTTTGTCGCAGTCTGCACATGCCAGGTATTTCAAGTTCGGTCGTGCCGGATCATCCTTGGAGAATCCGAGGTTCTCGAATGCGAATGGATCGTTGACTTGCCAGAAGTGTGCAGTTGCTTCTGATGGCGCAGATGGTTCTGGTTTATCCCCGTCGCTTACTCGTGATAGCTATGACGATATTTCAGTCTCTAACGTCCTACGCTGGAGGGTACTACTACGTACAGGTGCTGCATCTCGCTCTACTCTCTTGCCAACTCCGGCCTTGAGGATGATGGACTTTAAGCAGTACGGGCAGTATACATCGTATGAGTTGACGTCCTCGCCGAGGTTGACGGTGAATGGAGCGACCTTGACGTTGGCCATTGCTGATTCTTTGGTGTTGGTGTTCATGTGAATCGCGCAGACGGTTGCGTGTGGGGTGCATTCGCAGCAGCTGGTGTCATCTGGACTTGGGAAGAGGAGAAGAGGGTGACCGACCTATGAGCAGCAGCTGTATCAACCGGATCACTATCGCATATGCTTACTCTGGATGATCAAAGGGTCCGTTTTCGGCTGAAGGGCCATATCCTGTATGCTCTTTAAAAGATCCGGCCTCAAATGCGCCATATGCGTTCGTGGGTATACAGGCGGCTCGAACACAGACCGTCGCTATATACCATGTAAGAGATCAATCAATTGTTGAATGACGCCCATTTCTGGACTCCAATCGGCTTATGCGATCTGTATCGACGGTCAGGTTTCGGCCCGGCGTTCGAATCGGTGCGGTGTCTGCTGATCTCGGGTATACAAGAATGAACCATGGGTATGCACACGCGGCTGGCTGCCGCAAAACATCGGTTTATGTAATCCGACATTGCAAACAACCGCAATCATGTTCACGTGTCTTACGTCTTCTGTCTTGATTGATCCGGCGCAGTACAAGAAAGAGCAATGCGCTGGTTGCTTCCTGCGCTGTACAGTCTGTCGATATACTGGGAGATCAGGTCATTGTAGGTGCGAGTAATTTGCTGACATTGACTGTCTTCACGCTATTTGTCACCAGTGGTCTCTACCGCAGTTGGACTTGCAGTCCAGCAATCAAAAGCGACCATGTCGGCTACATCAAGAAGCGGTGACTCGCCGCCGCGGACATCTTTCGAGGAGATTCCAGCATACCCCAGTACCCTGAGTCGCGAATTAAGGCTCAATCTACCTTCAATTCGCACTCTGCAATTAGACACCCCTCTTCCGGGTGGTGTCCGTCAACAGGCTTCCACGTCAGCTCCGGACATGCCCTGGTCTTCGCCTCTGGAGTTTGCGCTGCCGCCATTGGAACGAGCGAGAAGCTCATTTGATGAGACTGCAAGTCAGTCAAGGACATATTTCGAGCAACACCCGGGAATGTGTGCGCTTGCGGAAAGGGGGCGGATGGATCAATCGCTGTACACGAGCAGTGATACCCTTGACGCTCACTTGGATGTATCGACGCGAGGAGCCGCTCGACTACCTCTTACGCCCGAGTCCGCTCGCTTTAAAGACAGGTACACATATCGAAACGATCTGGGATACCACGTCCCTGCCCGATCTGTTACGGCCTTGAGCATTTCCGAGGTAGGGGCTTCTCCGCAGAGGACACCCCCAATGTCAGTGCACGGCAGTGCAGTACCACGATTTCCAACACCAGTTGTCTCGGGGCGTTTACGACATGGACCATATCCTGCTCCTTTGAGCGCACCTATGTCTACGAGGCAAATGACCGAACCTATCCCGCCTCCGTTGGATGGAGAGGCATCAGCAACATCGTTAAAAGATGCGGCAACTTTGTTGTTCTTCAAGAAAGAAGGCGTGCGACACCAGAGATTGATCCCTAGGGTCCGGTCTTTGCCGCACCTGAAACGAGAGCTACCCGGCCCGGAGCCCCACGCTGTGGAGGCTGTTCGTACCCAATCCCGCAATTCGTATACGTCTTCAGATGATAGCAGCGCATATGGAACAGCATCGCAAGATGATGCCTCCGATTTCAGGAGTCCGGCTGATCTGAGCTCGTTGCTGCTGAATCGGCGACGTCGGAGAAGGCCGCCGAGTACGTTCGGGAACTATACGAACCTCATTGCGCATGCTATACTGGATAGTCCGAATAAGCGACTTACTCTAAAGGGTTTATATGTAGAACTTCCGAAGAGATGGCCGGATCTATTCAATGACGGGAAGGGTGATAAAGGGTGGCAGGTAAGATAGGATATCTGTCGGCCGGTTGTGTTACTAAATTAGTCAATCCAGAATACCGTCCGGAATACTCTTTCGACGAATTCATGTTTCATCCGTCATCCCAGAATATCTGGTGAATCGCAAGACGCTTTGGGAAATAATGAAGGTGGTATCGATGAGCAGGCCTCAGCAGCTTTGCAATCAGGTAGCATGTCTCATCTAGGAAGGGGCGGGCACTGGGTTGTATCAGAGGCAGGTATTGAGCAGTTGAGGGTCTCCGGAAGTATCGAGAACGAGAGACATAGTCGAGTGCGATATCGTGAGGGAAGCAGGAGCGGTCGGAGTACCAGGAGCCGGAATTCTCCTGCACCGCCGCGGTCCCGAATGGAGGCCGTGATGGCTGAATGATTTGGGCTGCAGCGTTAGAGTGCGCAGTGACTTGTTACAGCTGAAGCTGCCGCATTTCAATAGTCGGAAAGATGTCGAAATGCTCCTGGTCGTGGTTTTCCCAGGAGGTAAGCAGCGCGCAGCCAATGAACCTGAAAATGATCAGCATCCCTAAAGAACAAATTTCACGTATTTCCAGCATCATCAAATTAGAACGACAAGTACAAGTTTCTAAGGATGTCGGTACTGGACTCCGATATCGGCCTTGCGCGTGCAGCCGATTGCCGACTTTGGTACCCCACGAAACTCACCCGACCTGCTCGCTCGACACCTACCCGACCGCAATTGCACCCGGTCAACACGTATCCCGACTCGATCCATTGACTCTTCACTCTCCAAATAACGGCGTATAATGTCTCCAACTTGTACCACAACACTGGCCGACTCTGAGCCGACCTTGCCAACTGCTCCTGCCTCCACGGGAGCCTCTCCCAAGGATGCCGTCAGAATCTCCAACCCACCATGCAAGGACACAATCACTGTTTTGCCGCAGACGAGCCAACTAATTGCTCTGCTTACCTTGATCCGTGACCGGAAGACTCAGCGGGTATTGTTCGGTATCTTCCCGAATAGCACCTTGGCTAATGAAACACTTTCAGGGCGACTTTGTGTTCTACTCGAACCGTATCATCCGGCTTTTGGTCGAAGAGGGTCTGAACCATCTCCCTGTCGTGTCACACCCCATCGAAACTCCTCTCGGCACTCCGTATACCGGTGTCAAGTTCCAGGGCAAGATCTGTGGTGTGTCTATCATGCGCGCAGGAGAGAGTATGGAGCAAGGATTGAGAGATTGTTGTCGGAGTGTCCGAATCGGAAAGATCTTAATTCAGAGGGATGAGGAGACTGCGCAGGTGTGGCTATGTCTCTGCAGTGCAAAGAAAGTTATGCTGATCCGATACAGGCCAAACTCTTCTACGATAAGTTACCAGAGGACATTGCAGACAGATATGTGTTGCTACTCGACCCTATGCTCGCTACCGGAGGCTCTGCTATCAAGGCAGTCGAAGTGCTGCTCTCGCGAGGTGTCCCTGAGGACCATATCTTGTTCTTGAACTTGATTGCAAGCCCAGAGGGCATCGAGAAGTTCTCGGAGATGTTCCCCAAGCTGAGAGTCGTTACAGCATTCGTGGATGAAGGTCTGGATGATAAGAGCTATATCACCCCGGGCTTGGGAGATTTTGGAGACGTAAGAACCATGTGCTGCTAACCTTGATGACCGGAAGCTAACATCGGACTATAGCGCTACTTTGGAACTGCCTAAGTCTCATTCGTGACTTGCGATAGGGTACAATAGTCTCATGAAGGTGGTATTTGAGATCCGTTACGTGTCAACAGGCCATTCGGCCCAGCTGCAGTTGCTTCGAAAGATTATGGTGGTCGTAAGCTCTAACCAACAAACAGTATGATATTTTGGATGATACGACCATTGACAGGCAGGACCTTTCAAGCAGTATCACTACTAGTCGCAATATATCAACCTATCGTGATGGTGGTGCTCATACAATAATGTCCTCTGCGAACGCGGCGTATCTGTTTCCCACGACAAGCTCCTCCATCGCACTCCTGTAACCAGCGTCTGCCGACGCACCTGCGAGTACGGATTCCTTCCATAAGACATTCAGCCGGTTCGCAATCCTCTCCGCTGCTTCCCTGGAGCCAGCCAAGTTGAACGCTCCCGGACCCAGTTGTAAGGCCGCATAACCTCCTACCACGAAGAGTGGGACCTTTTCATTCCATTGCAAGTCATCCGTGATATGAGGAAACCCACAAACCACGTCCACAGGATGCGACGCTTGCAAGTTCTGAAGAAACGGAAGCGCCTCGATGGACATAGTGGAACCTGTCGCCGACACAATGTAATCGACTTGAAGTGACATGTTGCCGGAGTGGTTCGGTAATGCGCATTTACTCGTGAGCTCAAGCTGCCACCTCTTCTGCTCGGGATCCCAAGCAGCAGCTTTGATCTGCGTCTCTGTCAACATCTCCAACTTCCCGCGTTTAACATGCTCTTTCAAGATCTTGTGGTACGGCGGAGTGATGCTGCCACCGTTCCGTGCGCCGCGGATCTGCTTGACGCGAGCCTCTGGGTCGTCTTCTTGCCAGAAGGCCATCTTCTGGACGTTTTGGTACTTCCCTAACCAGTCAAGATCCACATCGAATGGCTTCACCTTGAGATGAGATCGGCAGAGCAGGAACACCTTCTTCACGCCATGTTTGAGAGCCAGATTCACGATCTGCGCTGATGTAAGACCGCCACCGATGATGGCCAATGTGCGTACATTCTGCGGGAATGGCCTTGTTACCAAGGCTGAAGAGTGACAGTATCCCTCATGTTGCGGTAAGGGAGCATTCGACTCATGCTGCATGTGCTTTGTCGTTTTGCTGCGCTTGGGCGTGGGAGTTAGGACGTCGGGGATTGAGGGGATCGCTCCCGCGCCTGTTGCAAGGACGAGGGCCCTCGAACCAAAACGGACAGTCTGACCAGTTTGTTCGACAGTCAAGGTGAATGCATCATGAGAGAGATGGTCTTCTGATTTGATGTAGACGTGACCATACTGTACCTCGGTGACGGCACCTTGTTGTACGAGATTCTCCAAGCGATACCTCGAGATTACATCGTCGCAAAAATCGCGGAAGAGCCTCGTGGATGGAGTAAAATAGTCTTGTCTGCTTCGCTCGTTTACAGCAACCCCTAGGGATTGGCGTCTGGTAATAGCAGTTTTCCCTTTACTCTTCTGTCGACATTTGCGGCAGTGTTTGCTCAACTCCTTTCCAACCACCCCGTTGATCTCCACCAACTCGGCTTGACGCCCTTCAGTCTCTGCATAAGCCACGAGTGAATCCAAATCCCTCGGGTCTGGATGAAAGAACATGGGCGACCGGAGATGTTTGATGTCGTACGCTTTGAATTGGCGATCCCATTGAGTCATCCATCCACCCAATCGGTCCAATACCAGCACGCGAGGCGGTGCACAAGCACGACAAGGCACGCTGGAGTATCTGCGAAGCCAGTGCAGACGTTGATGTTCAACATCAGTATAAAGCGAGGACGGTGTTTCTTCGTAAAGACGCGCTGCCACGGCGAGGGCGTGGGGGCCAGCACCCACAATGATCAGATCATAAAAGTTCTCGGATTCGACAGCTTCGCAGGTGGTATGTGAGGTAGACATGTTGGAGTATTGGCAATATCGTTACTTTGCAGAAGGACGTCGAATATAGGCAATTCGGTCGGGACCTTGCTGGTACCCAGTGTAGGACTCGAGGCATCAGACGTCAGGGCGTGAGAACCCTGGTGGTTAATCGATTATCGCTTGAGAAAGGCACCAACCAGCTACTGCTATTGTGAAGCAGGGAAAACATACAAGCTCATTATCAGCATGCTTATGATCTTGTTCAAGGATTTGGCGAACTTCTAGGCCTAGGCCTCTGACGTCTAAAAATTGCCTCTTCCGGGAACCGGAAACTGCGCTAAGGTCGACGTTACAAGATCCGCTTAGACTAGGCTCGAATAGGCAGTTTCGTACGAGCACTTTGCAAAAATACTGTCAGCAGCGAGAGGTGGTGATGGCAGGCGATACTATCAACCTTCTACCCATTACAATCAAACCCACTCCAACCATCTTCACTATCTCCCCACCGCTCCCGCCACCATCGACGCTATTATCGCCCAAGCTAAGGAGCAGGCCCTCACTCAACCGAAGAGGAAGTCCCTTGGGAGGACTCATTCGGTGCCACTGAGAACTGCGCATCCGGCCTCCGCTCCCCCTCACGTGCCACGTGCACCCGTGACAGTGGGTACAGGTTTGGTCGCTCCTCGACTACCAGCCATCGCTCCACAGAGGTTGAGGATGAGCAAATAGCCGTGCTGCGTCTCTCGATAATTCCTGTCCCGCTCCTGTCAACCTGGAGCGCAAACAGAAGATTGTAAAGTTAACATGACATGTAGACCACGGGGAGATCATGTCATCAGTTGTGTAAGTAGATTACACAATGAATACACGACGTGTAATCAGAGTACATGACAAATGGCGTCATGTAATTTGCAGACTGATTCCAGCCCCACGGACTCGGCGCTGGTGTATATTCCACGAGCACGTGTTAACCTCGTGTGGACGACATGATGCGCTTGTGCAATGATCATGTAGTTTCTCCCGCCGCATCACGCGAGCTGCGCAGTACTTGTGTCCTATAATGAGGAGGGTTGGCAAAAGCTCGTTTGGAAGGAAGCCTCACCTGGTCTTGCTCTTTGCTGCTGATAGACAGGAAATTACGCTTAGCCCCACAAATATGGCGGGAAAATGCAGGCTGTTAGGGCATGAGATCATCAGGTTGAAATATCGTAATTCTCCAATGTTCGCATCAGGTTTTTTGATCATACCACTACAGCAGGAGGTCCCTCTGGGTTAAATCCATGAAACGTACAGTTGTGTGTAACAAGCCTTCAATTTTTCAAGGCATATAGGTGTTATTTTCGCAATTTTCTCAAGTATTTTGCGGCGACACTTGCTATGGCAGTGCTCCATGATTTCATGAGGAATTGCAATCCATGATCATGTCAAAATTGTCATGCACTATTTTGTCTAGGAACTCTGCCAGAATAGTAATGCACGATGAAGTGCGTAACACAGTACTAGTGTAAACCCAGACGAATCCGCGATTTTGATGTGGATTTTGCACTTCCTAAGAGAGATCGGGTTTACTGCATGAATTTTTCCCTTTGTAGGGTATGTGCTGGACCGCGGCCGTAATAGAGGATGAGCATGAGGTAATGATGCATACATGACACATGCATGATATCAATATCACCTTACGCAGTGAGTCTTACTGATTTCCGAACTTGAGAAGGATCCGTGGAACAAGTCCTCATAATCCCCTGATGATTGATTTTGATTGGGGGTCAACACTCTGACTCTGGGAAGCACATGAAATTCTCCCGAAAATACTGTAAATGTGTAACTAAATAGGGGTAGTCAAGCTTTGGTAAGAGATAATACACTTGAATTATATGTGCTTGTTGTCATACCAACCGCGCTATATCAAACCCAAATCATGATTATCTTTGTTACCTCAAAGTTGGGTGTATGAAAAATACTCCATCAGAGAATAGTCAAGCATAGCACATGTAGGTGTGGTCAAACTTGAGAAATTATAATCGCCATTATCGTCTAATCCTGCTTAAAAACTACTACACTTTTACTACCCCTAATCAAGATTGAATATAGTTTATAGCCCGATACAGAGATGTTAAATTTAGAATATACAGCAAATATTATTGCACATGTAAGGAAATAGGCCCCATCCAAACACCATGATCCCGTGAGAATTTCATCATGGATATCTTATGAGCCCAATACCATAGCACAGGAATGCCATGAGAGTTGAAGTCATAGGGCTTCATGCCTGACGAGGCAAAAATCATGGATTAAGGGTAAACCATAAAGGATCATGCATCACGAGAGAATCATGGATTATGCCGAACTTTTTTCGTGTATTATGCCGGATAGGGTTGTGGATGATGCGGGAAAAAAATGGTAGTTTGGGTCCCGACATCCATGATACGATCAAGGAGTAACGTGGACTTCATCATATATGCAGAACCAGATCATGGTTGGGGTGGCGTCATCCAAAACAGAGTACTTTTATTCTACAATCAACAAATCATGGATGAAACAACTAGCAATCCATGATTCTTACGAATTCAGGGGCGAGTTTGCTGCGACCTTTCTTGGTTACAGTCCTTGTTCTCATCGAGATCTCGGATTGTAATCCAAAGCATCATGCTCAGGCTTAATCCATGATGACTTCAAGCATTGTCCCATATTGTGTCGGAGATTGTAATCCAGGATCTTGTTTGGGTGTTGGCTCGCATAGTAACGCAGTACTAATCCCAGTCGAAACCACGATAATGGTGTGGATACGCACCTGCCCAAGTCAATTCGGATTTGGTTCCCGATTCTCACATTCGCAGGGCATGTTCCATGATATCTCAACTCGCATGCGATTTCCTACGTTATGATCCCACGACAGCTGCAGTAATCCCTTGACGTGGGAAACCCAGGAAACGTCACCTAACCGGTCAAGACCGAGAATGCCTAGGTACTGTCTCACTCTGCGATGCTTTCTGTCACAAGGAGTCTAGGGGTACTCTGCCAGCCATCTATATGTCTGCCTGTCAATGATCCAAGCTGGCCTCACACCCGCACCTCAACTATTCTAACAAAAGCTTTGTACATTGCCATTGTCCCAACAAGACGTTTCAGTCCGCTCACGTCGATTTCATGAAGTCAATCAGTTGTATCCGCTGCAGCTCACGGCTACATGAGCATTAACAACATCAAAATCGCCAAACACACATCCGCCACTAGTTATTGTGGAGGACTTAAGGACCGAAGGGGGACCTAACAAAGTCAGAAATCATGAAGTAAACCCGAATTCCTTTAGGCAAAAATTTAATAGACGTCATCTCGAATTTGTCTGGGATTACAAACGAATTATGCACTTCATTGCGGATTACTATCCTGGCGGAAATCCTAGACAAAATTGTGGATTACAATTCTTGACATCATCACGGACACAGCCCGGAGAAATCACGGATTATGCCGGGCGCCGTCGCGGACTGAGCTTGGATGAAACCAAATTCGAGGATTGAACAGGATAAAGTATAGATTGAGCCCGAAAATATCGTGCAGAGAACTGACTTCTTATTGTGGACTGATATCGATCATGAATTATGCGGAATAAAATCTTGGATTAAGCCAAACTAAGGTGTGATTTAGCAATCGAGGTTTGGGCCCCGAAATCCATGGATTTTCCACGATCGAACATCATGTATTAAACGAGATTTTCTAATCCATGATTCTCTGGAACGTGTACAATCCACGATAATCCATGCATCGTACCTCTGTGATTTCGTATGGGATCCCTGCCCAGGTAGTAGTAACCCATGACAACGCACGTAATCCATGTGGATGTCTAAGACCAAACGCGTTCACAGTTTTCTTGTGGGTTTCATGTGCGCCTAACAAAGTTCTGATTCTGTCGGACAAATCGTGCGCGTTTCTATGATGAAGTTGGTTAATCCACGGCAAAGAGAGCATGGACTGAACCTGACCTGGTCATTCATGATCCTCACATACGTAGGACACTTTCCCAAACTTGAGATTTCTGGGATTCTACCGAAAATTATCTGGGGTTTGCTTGAAAAATTTGCATCCTCTAGTATTTCGACACATGTTTTTGAAGATTATGGCCGACAGCGTCTTGGCCTGGTCAACCTTCTCTCGAACTTTGCCTGAATTCTTCTGAAACCATGAATGAACCAATGGAAACCTTGCCACCTCACCTGAACATCTTCATCACACTCCAGACGTTCGGATTCAAAGCTTCTGTATGGCATTATTCATCATGGGAAAAAGCGTACCAGAAGATTCCAATATCAACCTGCAGCTATCAGACCTTATACTCAGCCGATATCTGGCCAACGGGTTAGGGTTTGTCAATTACCATGTCCTTCAACGATGAGGGTCAGAATTTAAAGGCATGCTCGCCTGCGCCGCGCCCATGCCCATTCCATGCCTATCTATATTATCTGATATTGCCTGTTTATATAGGTGTACAGCCCACTGCGGGCAGATCGAGAGTTATGAACCATATTCCCACGGTTAGGTGGTCGGAAGATTCGGTGTTTATCAGTATAACTACACTGGTTCTGTAGCTTCGGGCGATAGCAATAGCAATCTGATGGTAGATTGTGCAAGAACATGACATGGAAACCCCAAAACAACAGAGCTTTATACCTTTTTAGGTTTTACTGCACGGCGCTCTGAACGATGTGGAGGATGTCATGAACACCAAAACTGCGGCAAGCTCCATGTACAGAGAACGCTGCAGCTATATATATACGACGGTATCTTGGAATCATGGGTGACCCCTGTGAAATGTAGACATCTCAATGTGGGTCAGCTGTACACGCACAGACGACCCCGGGAATGAACACGAACGTGCATCCTTCGCTCCATCTCGGCGAATATTCGGTAATCAGATGCAACGTCCTTCCAGGATCTGAACCTTGATGCCATGGAGCGCGTTCGGAAATCGAACTCCGCGCCCATGGCCATGCATGCTCGGCGATGAGCTGGTGAGATACCTGCTCCGGATCAGGCCCGGCTAAAGAACTCGGAGCCTCCAATCCATAATCATCTCGCTTAAACGGATTTTAACCTTTCCGAACGTCTATTCGCTTCGTCGAGCCATTCCATCACTGGCGTTGCATTTTCGGTACTTTCTCGGTCCAAGCTGCGGTTTCGGTCCCAGTACGTAACCGCTAGCCTCCACCGTCACCCCGTATGCCCGCACCTCGTTTGGCTGCTCTTGATTCAGACTGTTGGACTTATCGTTTCTGTATTATTCAGGATGAGGATTCTCGCTGAGGGCATGGTTGGTTCTCGTTGATCATGGATTATCATTCCAGATCAACCTTTCACCGCTGTCGCACGATGCTCTTCGCACATCTCCTCTCCGCTCATCTCGGTGATCCGGAGAAGACTGCGTTAGATTGCTGTGGAGGATGCTGGCGTGAACCAGCGACGCCTCCGCCAACATCATCCCACGCTCTACTGCGACGGATCTCATGAACCGGAATTGCTACCGGCGGGGTTGGATGAATACCCCATGGTACGAGCTGAGCCCCACAAGCGGGGGACTAGGACGTCATTCGTAAGGATCGTCAGGACGCATAGGCCTTTTCTCCGGTCCTCAGTCCTTGAACAGTCTTCGGGGACTGGGGTATAAGTATGTAGTCAGACCCCCGCCTGTCAAGGGCTTTCTCCATCTGTGATTCCACTCTATTATGGTTTCCGCCGCCGCACTTGCTGGTGCCCTGCTCCTCGGAGCTGGAGCAGTCAGCGCTCAGAATTACTCCACCGTTAACCTCGCCGACGTCGACATCGCTTCTGCGCCCAACAACACTCTCTTCAACCGCTGGAGGCCCTCGTCTCGCTTCTTGGCACCTCACTCATGGATGAACGATCCTTGCGCGCCTTCATACGACCATGCTACTGGTCTTTATCACATGATGTACCAATGGCACCCCAATCATATACAGTGGGGTAACATTTCTTGGGGACACGCTGTCTCCTATGATCAGGTTACCTGGACCGACGTTGGTGGCTGGCAAGATAACAAGGCCGAGCCGTTGGCCACTGGGCCCAACGGCACTTCTGACCACCTCGGTGTGTTTTCTGGATCCGCTCAATTCCTTCCTCGCAACCAGTCTTACGGCTTGGACGGAGTGAACGGCCTCAACATTACGAATGGCAACGCAAGCGAGACCGTCATGGTCGTCTTCTACACTGGTGTTGACAAGCTTCCCACCAACTGGGCCAAGACTTACTTGAATGGAACCGAGGCGCAGAGCCTTGCTATCTCCACTGACGGTGGAAAGAGCTTCACCAAGATTGAGGATGTCATTCCCCAGCCTCCGCCGCATCTTAACATCACCGGATTCCGCGATCCTATTTTCGGCCAGTGGGCGGAAATGGACGACATTCTCCACGGTGACTCGTCTCTCGGTAACTACTACGCCATCATGGGTTCCGGTATCAAGGGCGTTGGTCCTAGGCTTCAATTCTACTATGCGCCACCGGACAATTTGACTGACTGGAATTACCTTGGACCGCTTTTCGCCGTCTCCGCGAACGAGACTTGGAGCGAGACTTACTCTGGTTCATTCGGGTACAACTTTGAGGTTGCCGGAGCATTCTCTCTCACTGAGCTCGAGAAGTTCGGCGGTGACAACGAGACCAAGCACCATTACGTTGTTGCTGGTGCCGAAGGTGGCAACACCACTCTGCACCCATCTAACCAGTGGGCGCTGTGGAGTGAAGTTCAAATGACCCGTTCCGAGAACGGATCTGCCCAGACCAACATACTCTCCACTGGTGTTCTTGACTGGGGTTTGGCTTACGCGTGGAACACCTTCTATGACGCCCCCAAGGACCGTCGTATTGCTTACGGGTGGATCAAGGAGGAGGACATCTTGCGCGGACAAACTGCAATGGGTTGGCAGGGAGCCTTCGCACTCCCTCGTCACCTGTACACGCAAGTGTACGAGAACCTCAGGAACACCGACGGCATTCTTTCTCAACGTGGTTCATGGAGAGCGCTTCGCCGTGCTGATGGCAAGTGGTCTATGACGACACTTGGTATGCAGCCAGCTGAGGACGTTGTTGCTTCCTTGAGGGAGACAGCGGAGGTGACTACCTTTGCCAACAAGACCGTCCAGGCTAAGAACGGCACCGAGAAGTACTCTGGTCTCGGTATCAACAGCACTTCGCTCAACATTCACGCTGAGATTGAGCTCAGCGGAACAGCACCCGTCGGCTTTGTCGTCAGACGCAGCCCTGACGGTGACGAACAGACCTTGATCAAGTACGACCCCGTCGCTCAGCAGCTCTCCATCGTCCGCGAGAACTCTACCCTCCTCAACGCAACTTATGTGGAAACCTACACGCACGTTGCTCCCTTGTTCTTGTTGGACACCTACAAGACCTCGAATACTACGAACATGGAGGTTGAGCGGGAGTCTCTCAAGTTGGACATCTTTGTCGACAACTCCGTCTTGGAAGTGTTTGGAAACAACCGTGTCGCCATCTCATCTCGTATCTACCCGGCGAGAATTGATTCTACTGGCCTTGGATGGTGGGTAGGATCTGGCGAGGGCAGCGTTGCGCTGAAGAACGTTACTGTCTGGGACGGATTGAAGAACGCATTCCCTGAGCGTCCTGCCAACTCGAGCACGCATTTGGTGTGGGACTCGGCCGACGTTACTCACAACGGGTTGTACTGGGCAGGAAACTAGAAACGACATTTCTTTGAGAGCAATAAATTAGGATAGCTTCTTTGTAAAACTTGATATCTACATACGTGAGGGTACGTCATGACCCGTGCAAAACACAACTCCAATTCAAACACTACACCATACATCCAAGTCCATCACAATGTCCAGCTCAAGGGAAGAAGCAGTCAAGCACCCTATGTCCACCACAATCAGCGACTGCTGTGCGTCCGGTCACTTGCACGAGGGCGAGCCAAACGGCAGGGAGGAGAAGGTGAACGGCTTGGACTGTTACATCTCCGAGCCAGAGGATGGCGACAGGAAGCTTGTCGTCCTCTTCGTCACCGATATCTTTGGCTACAAGTTGAAGAACTCGAAGCTGTTGGCAGACGAGTACGCCAAAGCCGGTTACTATGTCTACATGCCCGATTTCCACCAAGGAGACTCTCTTCCCGAGTCTCTTCTGAACAAGATTGCCCCATCTGAGGCTGCGGAGCCTAAGAGTTTCTTCACCAAAATGTGAGTGCCCGTACAGTTTTTAATGGCGACGAATCTAATGTTTCTTCGTGACAGTACCGATACCGCGTCTGCCATTGTTCAGTTCGGTCCTTGGCTCTTCCGTCACAGGGACGGTGTCACAAAGCCCTTGATTGAGAGTTTCATCAGCTACATCAAGAACAACACAGAGCACCAGAAGATTGCACTTGTTGGTTTCTGCTGGGGAGGACGTCATGCCATCGTCTTTGCTCAGAACCCGCCCATCACTTGCTCTGTGGCTTGTCACCCGTCAAACGTCTCGCTCCCGTCCGAGGTTTACCCAGTTTCTGCTCCCACTGCCATCTATGCTGGTTCAGAAGATTCTATGTTTCCCCCGTCTTCATGCGACACCGCCAAGGAAGTGTTTGAGAAGCTCGGAATCCAATATGACATTCGAGTCTTTGAAGGCCAGACCCATGGCTTTGCTGTTCGCGGTGACTTGACGAAGGAGGCCATCAAGAATGCGAAGGAGGAGTGTACAAAGGCAACCATCGCCTGGTTTGACAAGTTTATGAAGAGGTAGAGTGACGATAGTGATGCGGTGAGATGACAGAACAGGCAGTGCGAACGGGTTTAATGGTAGTTATGGGGTACGGCGTAGGTCTTGCTTCTTGGATAGTCGATCATGGAGATTTATACCTTGAAGATTCCGTCCAATCGCATGTATTGCCAAAGCTCGACTCGAGAGCGAGACTGCACCCGGTACCGGTTGGAACGGGATGCCGTGGGCTCCGGACCTCACAGAACAATTGAATCGAAATGACTTTATTTTAAACCATCATCCTTATAAAAGGAATTAGATTAAAGAAAGGTAGGATCCTAAGGATCAAGTAACGCAAGACATGCGAAAGATAATTTTTAAATAAAGATATCTCTTGACTCGTCCCATCAAGCGTTTCTGGTTCAATTATTTCGTCCGACGTTCCTCCCAACCCACGGGCATTGAGCGGCGCCTGAGCGAATGACGCTACGTCCGACTCCCTGGCGCTTCCCATCCAACAACCTCTCCACCACCAACACCTCTCGTCCTTTCTACCGTAAAGGCTTCTCCTACAATCAACTTCTCTTATAGACAAACAACATAAACACAATGGAAGGTACGTTCTGCTCTCGTTTCACCGCATTTCCTGGTCTCCATGCTGACGTGTCGCCCTTTCTACAGACGAAGTCGCTGCCGTACGTCACAATTGCTACGACTATGTGCTTGCTCGGTACTGACCAACGTTTCTAGCTCGTTATTGACAACGGTTCCGGAATGTGCAAGGCTGGGTAAGTCCATCTCGTCGTTCTGCCCCCTTTCTTGCAATGTCAGTCTGCCAGGGGTTTCTCGGGTGTATGCGATGATTGGCATGAAGACGTAGTGCGCAGCACATCTTGGACGAGCATTCATCCGAGGATAAATCCGATTGAGGGATGTATCTTGGTCCTTGTTGCTATTGCTTTGTCCCAAGGATGACGTGGACGCGCATGGAGACTTCGCATTGACTTGAGAGGGCGCAACGAAGACATTTTTCTGGAGTAAATGCTAATGTATGCTTCTACAGTTTCGCCGGTGACGATGCCCCCCGAGCTGTTTTCCCCTCCATTGTCGGTCGTCCCCGTCACCAGGGTATCATGGTCGGGATGGGACAGAAGGACTCCTACGTCGGTGATGAGGCTCAGTCCAAGCGTGGTATCCTTACCTTGAAGTACCCCATCGAGCACGGTATCGTTACCAACTGGGATGACATGGAGAAGATCTGGCACCACACCTTCTACAACGAGCTCCGTGTTGCTCCCGAGGAGCACCCCGTCCTGCTTACTGAGGCTCCCCTCAACCCCAAGTCCAACCGCGAGAAGATGACCCAGATCGTTTTCGAGACCTTCAACGCTCCCGCTTTCTACGTTGCCATCCAGGCCGTCCTTTCCCTCTACGCTTCCGGTCGTACCACCGGTATCGTTCTCGACTCCGGAGACGGTGTCACCCACACCGTCCCCATCTACGAGGGTTACGCTCTTCCTCACGCCATTCTCCGTGTCGACTTGGCTGGTCGTGACTTGACCGACTACTTGATGAAGATCCTTATGGAGCGTGGTTACACTTTCTCCACCACCGCCGAGCGAGAAATCGTCCGTGACATCAAGGAGAAGCTCTGTTATGTTGCCCTTGACTTCGAGCAGGAGATTCAGACCGCTGCTCAGTCCTCTTCCCTCGAGAAGTCTTACGAGTTGCCTGACGGTCAGGTCATCACCATCGGTAACGAGCGTTTCCGTGCTCCTGAGGCTCTCTTCCAGCCTTCTGTCCTCGGTCTTGAGGCTGCTGGTGTCCACGAGACCACCTTCAACTCCATCATGAAGTGTGATGTCGACATCCGTAAGGACTTGTACGGTAACATCGTCATGTCTGGTGGTACTACCATGTACCCTGGAATTGCCGACCGTATGCAGAAGGAGATCACCGCTCTTGCCCCATCATCGATGAAGGTCAAGATTGTTGCTCCTCCCGAGCGCAAGTACTCTGTCTGGATCGGTGGTTCCATCTTGGCTTCCCTCTCCACCTTCCAGCAGATGTGGATCTCAAAGCAGGAGTACGACGAGTCTGGTCCTTCCATCGTCTACCGCAAGTGTTTCTAAGCGTCTTGTTCGGTGTTTGGCGGTCATGGTTAGGATTAGTATACGTATGTGCTCAAGATAGGTGGGGGTGCAGGGATGGAAATGGAGGTGTTTTATTATCGCTGTAAAAGAGTGTTTTATCCAGAATTCAAGCTTTCTCGTTTTTATTCATTCCATACATAATGCCTTAGGATTCGTAAGTTGACTTCTCACGGCGACGCGATAGTTGAAGCTTGTTGACGCATGACGACAAACATCACCACTTTAACAAGAGAACAACGTCAGAATGGCCAGTACACCTGATCAGACGATTCGTCAAAGACAGCAGCCAGCTGCTTCAACGGTGAATGAGACTCCGCGTTCCCCTTTCAGCAGGCAGCAGGAGCGCGAAACGCGTCCTTCCAGTTCCGCTGGTAAAGGCTTCAATTTGGTGGAACTGTTCCGTTGGATCTCATTTCTTCTCGTGATCAACTTTGTTCTATCGTATTTCGTGACTGAGTCTTGGCTGTGGGGACACAAGGGAAAATGGACCAACATCAACAGATACAAGATGATGTTTGTGAGTGCACCCACGTTCCGGATCCTCGTTGAACATACTTTTGTCGACGTCCTGGCTGACAATTCCGAACCAGAAAACGCCTTTGAACCTTACCGAGCAGCAGCTGGCGCTATACGATGGCGCAGATCTGTCCTTGCCTATTTACGTCGCTATCAAGTAGGCCAACTCGCATACCGCGTTTCACTCGAGACATCCTAACGGAGACCTTATAGTGGGAGCGTATTTGATGTGTCTGCAAACCCAAGAATCTATGGAAAGGGTATGTGGTGCTGTATTCATGACTGTACGAACTGACGTTGACACACTTCATCTGCAGGCGGAGCTTACAACTTCTTCACCGTATGGTTTACTCCTCTACAGCAATACGAACTCAGATTGACAGAATGAGTAGGGCAAAGACTGCGCTAGAGCGTACATCACCGGTTGCTTCTCGCAAGACCAGACTCATGACTTGCGTGGAATTCCCGAAGAGAGGCAGGAGGTAGGCTACCCCATTGACACGGAAAGTGTACCAAGCTGACAGAACATCGAAAGGAGCTCAAAGGTTGGCTCAAGTTCTACAACGAGCATCCTGTCTACTACAAGGTTGGACACGTCAACCATCCCAAGATCGACCCAGCGTCCCCCATTCCTCCCGAGTGCAGGCCCGAGAAGCCTATGGGAGTATAGTAGGGAAGATGGATAACAATTTCGATAATACATTCCTTCCTATCTGCCTTAAGAATGTCAGCGTGTGTATATCACTGCCTGCTGGTGTACCCCATAGTTCCCAGGCCGTCCCCAGATTCAGCGGAGACGACCAAACCAATTGCAACTCAACAACAACGAACAGAACCAAAAGGATGACAGACGTACCAGATAGAGAACTACAAGCACCCTTTCTTCCACCAGACAAGGTCTACTCTATCCAGATCGGAAGCGAAGTCTTCCGCATAAGCGGTGCTGCGCTCTGCTCAGATGCTCCATCCTACTTTACGTGCTACTTTGAGAACAACGAGGACAAGACCCTCATTCTCGATCGCGATCCGGAGGTCTTCCAGGACATCGTGCGATATCTTCGCGGTTACTATGTAACACCAAAGTCCGAAGAGCACTTCATCTATCTCTGTTCTGATGCGATGTACTACAAGCTCTCGCGACTGCAACAACGGCTCTTTCAGGAGTACCACATCGATGTAGGAGGTCGATCTTTTCGCATCGAGAAGGACATCTTCAACGAAGTCCAGTATCCAGCTGGCGATGGAAACAACTTCTTCACGCTCGGGTTCGCCTCGCTTTTCAACCATCCCAATCCCCAGGCTTTGCTGAGCACGCATGAAGAGATGTATGGTGATCACCGTCCTCCAGAAGTACCACCTTCACGGTTACCGAGGTCGTCTGCCTTGTTTCAGGATATTCTGGCATATTTGCAGAATTACGAGGTGGAAATTCGCTCTGAAACGCACCGACAAAATCTCATGAAGGATGCACGATTCTACGGTTTACGTGCGTTGGTGGAGAAGATTGCACCGGGACGGAATGAATTCAATGGTTGGGAAGAGGGTGAAGCACCAAACAGCACGGAGGTCGAGGACGTCGTGCTACCGGTCGAAGGTGTTAAAGGACCGGGACTTTCGGTGGACGCGTCCAAAGGGCAAATTTGGTATAAGCGACCGTATATTGATACGGAAGCTGCTGGAAGACAACTGATCCTTCAGGTCAAGAACTTTGTTCTGAACGACTTGCATTTCAGTGCAAGTTCAACAGAACCCAAGGTACTACGATGTTCCGGTCATAAATACCTTGCGAAGAAGTTGAAACATCTGCTCGGCCCTTTACAAATACCAAAAGAGGACAGCTCCATTGCAATTGAAATAGGTGACGATGCCGCGGTCACTCTTGACGGTCACGATCTTGAGCTCGATGATATTGCGTTGCAAAACAAAGTCAGAGATGATGAAGAACCAGCAGCGAAACGGATCAAAACGGAAGCGGCCAGTGGCACAACATCGGGGCCGGTGAAGTTCAGAAGGTGGGTCGTCACAAAGGCCCTGCTGAGACCTTGCGTACGGGAAGAAAGCGGCAAGCAGATGTTGTGGCTGTGTGTCGTCAAGATGGAAGCGACGAGTAACCAGAAGGAGACGAACAAGGCCCGTGAATGGATTTGATCTGACGTGATACGGCCGACGTGAGGATTGGATGCCCCAGCGCGTAGAACTGCCAGGCGTTTCCCTACAATTCCAATCATGAATTCCACTTCAAATCACACTTCATACCCTTCCAAATAAGATGTAAAGGTGTAGCAGGCCTGCATCACCCCTCGTCAACGCCTGCATGTCGCGTCGAGCTCGAGCTTGTACGAGCAAGTCCACAGAAAATCATCAAGGTTTTGAAGAGGAATCAACCATGTCGAAGCAAGCATTTATCGAGGAGTTCGACGACGATACAGAGTTCGACATCCCCGCTGCGCCCGTGCGCTCTTTCCCTAATCCTACTCTGACGCCGGCATCGTCACTGCAACCAAACTCACCTGCAATCTCATCACCCGCTTTCGCACCACCGCCGAATCCCTCGACACGTCAACAGTCAGTCATTGGACCGGACGGCGTGCAGTATGTACAGGACGACTCGCACTTCAAATCATGGACGTGTGTTTACCCATGCTACTTTGACAAGAACCGATCGCACAAGGAAGGACGTCGCGTGAATAAGGAGCTGGCTGTTGAGAACCCGCTGGCAAAGGACTTGGCAGATGCGCTGAAATCAATTGGATTCAGCTGCGTTTTGGAGCCTCAGAAGACTCACCCACAAGATTGGGCCAACCCAGGCCGTGTACGATTACAATTCAAGGAGAGTGATGGGTCGTTCGCGCATCCCATCGTCAAGAACAAAGCAGATCTTTACGTCGCCATCTCTCATTATCTCAAGCACAACCCCACGACACCACAGTCTGCACTTCGCCTGCCCATCCCAGGCCTTCCCAGCGACAAACCACCTCCACCACCTGCCGTACCCAAAGGCAAACACTGGAAGATCAACACCGTCGTACCACTCCATTCGCCCGCATTGACCGGTGGTGGTGTATCAGAAAACCCCTTGGGCGATATGCAGTCGATGATGCGCAACATGGGCGGGCCTGGAGCATTGCCAAGTATGGGCGGAGCGGGGGGTATGCCTGACATGAGTTCGCTGATGAAAATGATGGGTAACATGGGAGGTATGGGTGGATTAGGTGGCGGTATGGAAGAAGGGGCACCTGCTGGAGGATCGATGCCAAAACCGAAGACGAAGGTGATCCGGGGAAGAAGATAGTAGCCGTGGGTATGCATTGATGTAGGATATTGTGCTGGATGGAAGGTAAAATTCACCACCGTCCTCTTCCTCCCCTTCCCATGTCTCCTCTGCCGTAGCTCGTATCTCGATCGTCGCCGCGTTTCCATTCCCCTCTTGGTGGTCCACCAGCACCTCCATTGAAACCTCCTCTTCCTCCTCGGAAAGACGGCCCTCCGCCTCGGCCACCTGCGAAAGACATACCGCGCGCCTCAGGAAGTCCATGATGCCCTGCTGAGAAGACAGCAACATCGATCCAATCTCCAACCACAAACCGTGCTTCATCTAATGTCATGGCGGCCGATCCGGTCTTCTCTCCGCCAACTTGTACAGTACCCAGTTCCTTCACTTGGAACCTGCCACGCACCGTATCTGCATATATCAGTCTGAAAGCACATCGTGTGCCAGGCTGTGCCACGGTAGGGTGTGATTGTGCAAGAACAGTGGTCAGTTCGTAGAGCGTAGCATCTTTCCTGCCTCAGAGATCAGCCCATGTGCTCACATAGACGTGGAAGGAAGTGTACCAGGTGTGTGTCTCTACTTCGTCCGCCGTTGGCTGAGAATATGCCTGGAAGTCATTAATGCTGAAGGCCTACGGTCAGCTCTGCCTGCTTGGCCGATATGGCAACATAGACTCACGGATGAAAGCCTCCCTGGCGATGAAACAATCGTAATAGAAAGGGGGTACTCTTCTGACGGTCGAGTTCTGCTCCAGTCATGGTCGAATTGGTGGTTACGTCGTTGCTGATCTCGCGTATCTTCGTTACATTCCGTTCTCGGAAAACAACCAACACCGCACCAACAATGGATTTCCTTCAGGCAGAGATTGAGAAGAAGAGAAAGCAGCTCGCATCGTCCGCTGGAGCCTCAGATGAAGGACCCCAGCCCAAAAAGTACTTCAGACGCGGTGATCTGGAGAAGGAGAGGGAGCGCAAGTATCTCGAAGAGCAAGCCCAACTTGAGAAGGAGAGAGAGGAGAAGAAGAGAAAGCGCATTGAAGAAGCTGCCGAAAGCGAGAGAAAGGCCGAGGAGGCGAGAAAGCAGAGGGCTCAGGAGAAATATGAGGTGTCTATCGTGTTTATCAACGGCGGAAAGGCACACAGCTAATCGTTACGTACAGAGTGCGAACCCGGAAATCTTCAGCATCACGGAAGAAGAAGTCGCAAAGAGACTTCGCGAGAAATATCAACCCGTTCGTCTGTTTGCAGAATCCGACCATGAGAGGAAGGTTCGCCTGCGAGCATTGGAGCTTATTGAGGAGCGAAACGAAAGGCACAGGAATGAACTCGCAAGAATCTTGAAGGATATGGGATGTGATGTGGATTTGGAAGCCTTGAAGAAAAGAGCAACCGAGCTTGATGCACGAGATGCTGCCGCGAAGGCGGTCGAAAAGCAGGAGCAGGCGGTAGAACAAAGCATGGCGGAAGAGGATCCTATGATCGATTTGGGGGACATCAAGGGCAACCCAGCAAAAGTCTACAGACAGCTTCACACTTACTTCCGTATCCTTGTCGGAGAATGGCGGTGCGCGATGGATGAACGACCAGAGGATATCCAACGCAGTCGTCAAGGTATACTTGCCGCTGAAACACAAAGACAGAGTGCCGAATTCCTTGAACCGTTCTTCACACTCCTGAAGCAGGCGAGCTTGAAGGAAGACATGTTTCCGCGTGTCGCCGAAATCGCATATTACGCTCAGCAACGGGAATACATGAAAGCGAACGACGCGTACTTGAAATTGAGCATTGGCAATGCTGCATGGCCAATCGGTGTTACCATGGTCGGTATCCACGAGAGAAGTGCTAGGCAGCGGCTGCACTCACCAAGTGGTGCCCACGTATTGAACGACGAGGCCACCAGGAAATGGTTACAGGCTATCAAACGTTGCCTGACGTTCGCACAGACAAAGTATCCGCCTAGCGACCCCTCGAAACTTATGGGATGATGCAAGGATTTTTTATGGATTTCTTCTTCGGCACGGAGGCGTTTCTCTATTTTTCTGGCAAAATACCTGAATTATTTCATTCAAGCACAGGTGCTGGCCGTGGGGTGACTCGAAGCTCGAGGTCGAGCGCGTAGGCACTGACGAGTGAGCAGCACCCACCTCTCAAACAGTAGACAAATTAAGCCATGACTTTGAAGGATAATTGGTAAACTTCCCTTAGCTGCCGACGTATATCTACGGAACAGAGAGCTAATCGCCTGAATGAAGGAATGCAGATGCGTATTCTTCGAACGCAGGATTCGTTCCCGTACTCTCGTCCGCAGTTGTCGGATTGCTTGATCCGCAGCCGGAAGACCATATCTTAGACCTTGGATGCGGTGATGGTGTTTTGTCATGTACGTTACAAGACCGATGTGCACGTCTTGTTGGCGTTGACCCGAGCCATAAGCTTATCACTCGTGCTAAGGAACTTGGTTTGAAGGAGACCAAAGTTGCTGCCGCTCAGGACCTTGTCGACATCGAGGAGCTACAGAGGGGGACGTTTGACAAGGTCTTTAGTAATGCGGCCCTACACTGGGTATTTGGAGGCGATCCAAGTCAGCGTGATGGCGTGGTAAACGGCGTGCGGAATGCCTTGAAACCTGGAGGGCTCTTCGTTGCAGAGTGCGGCGGGTTTGGCAATTGTGCCGAAGTCCACTCGGCCTTGATCAGCGCCATGGTTCACGTTTGCGGTGTTACTTATGAGGAAGCGCAAGGCCTTTCGCCGTGGTGGTTCGCAACCGAACAAGGAATGTCAAGCTTGTTGAAAAGAAATGGATTCAAGGTTACGCATACAAGTTTGACGCATAGACCTACTGAACTGCCAAAGGATAAGACCGCGAAAGCCTGGGTGGAAACATTCGGATTTCCTTGGCTCGATGCAGCAGACAAGAAAGGACCAAGCTACAGGCATAAAATTCTCGAAGAAGTTGAGGAAGCCTTAAGGGCAGTTGCTAGGCGAGAAGAAGATGGGGTATGGATTGTGAACTACATACGATTGAGGTTTGTTGCGGTAAAGGTATAAATTTGGTATCTCATATCTTACGTCTTAACACTGGGCCAGAGCCTTATCCACCATTTCAAGGACTTGTGTTGCATTGGGCCTGTCATTTGGTTCCACTTGCAAGCATTTCCGGATTATGTCGTTTGTTCCATCCGAATAATTACCATCTTCCGGTATCTTGTATTGACCATTCAGGACGGCCAGGGCTGGAGAACCTTCACCCGTATCAAACGGACTCCGTCCGTATAGAGTGGCGTACAGCGTGCAACCTAAACTCCAGATGTCGACAGCCTCCGTCAACGTTGTACCAGTAGGGACATCGAAGATTTCTGGAGCCCGGAAGTGCATACTGCAATGGACCTCGGCATCATCCTGCACTTCAATGGCTTCTGCACGGCTTCGTACTTCCCGGCGTGCGCGTCGCATCGAACCAAAGTCCATAAGGATAGGTGTAACACCATCATCACCGATCATGATGTTCCCGGGTTTGATGTCGCGATGCGCATATGCCACAGCTCCGCGGCCCGACCCAGCGTTATTACTTCCACGCATCATCGCTGTCGACTCCTGAGCATCGTCGTCTTCATCATCGTCCATTCGTGGCCGAACGACTGTTGGTGTTTGTCGGCCGCCGTGAACGACTTGTAGTGCTTTGCAAACTCCGCGGAAGAGCTTCAACACGTCGCGCTCCGATGACGTTGTTCGGTTCACGACATTGGAGTTGATCACGTCCTGCAGATTTCCTCGTCGATAGTACGGCAATAGTATCAGCACAGTCTTCCCGCCGTCCCGCTCCTGCACAGTGGCTGAATCCACGCACTTCATGATATTCGGATGGTCGAACATCTTGTAGGCATCCCGTTCTCGAAGCGCATCCTCCGTACCGAATGGGCACCTGATCTTCTTCAACGCATACTGCGCTCCTGATCCTCCGACCTCCTCCACCAGGTAGACGAAAGCGAAGCCTCCTTCACCGAGCAGCCGGAGCTCCTTTACCCGCCGACTGTTGATCCTGATTTCTGCTGCCGGGAAACACGACGACGTGAGCGAAGCCAACAGGTCGATCACGTACTGAGCCATTTGATCGAGATAATACGGTGTTGTTTGTTTGGTGGTGACGGTGCTTGGCCGTATCGATTAGGGAAGGGTCCCCGCGATTTATTTGAATAAGTATATTGTATTTAAAGTGACCACATAAAGTTGAAGGGGACGAGAATAGAAGAACATCTACGAAAGAAACACCCGAGAAGATCTCCGCTTAAACACGAAGCCTGTAGTTGGCGTTACGCCTGAGCTTCATCGACGCCGTTCCGTTGGTCCAGACAGGTGAAGCAGACACCGTAGGGACGGCAGAGGTGGCGACAGAAGAGGACGAAGAAACGACGGCGAACGAAGTAGCAGATGCGGAGGCAGACTCACTGCTGACAGCAGCAGAGGAAGAAGCAGCCTCTGAGGTGGCGATTGCGGACGAGGAAGAGCTGACGGTGTCATCAGCGGCCACGACCGACAAGGCAATGGAAGAGCACCTGGGAACGGAGCCATCAACACCAGAGGAGTAGATGGTACCGTCACAGTTGTAGAAGGAAACTGCAGAGTAACCCTCAGGAGTGAAGGTCAGAGAACCATTAACCTGGGACCAAGTGGCGGTGAAGTAGTCAGCAGCGCGCCTCTTGACAGCAACACCCGCAGAGGTGAAAGAGAGAGCGTCGGAAGTGGACGACACTTGAACCATCTCACCGTCGGTATTGACCATGGCACCACCATCCTGGATGGACAGAGACGCGGGAGTGCTGCCGGAAGAACAGACAACCAAAGTGCTGTACTCATCCTCGCAGAGGTAATTGCTTCCAGCCTGAACGTAGAAGGTGCTCAAGGTGGGGGAAGGCGTAGACGTAGCTTCCACAGAGGAAGAAGTTTCCTGAGCAGCCGTGGACGAAGTTTCAGCGATGGTTGAAGTACCGTTGTTAGCCTCAACAGAAGAAGTGGAGGGAAGTCTGGAGACTTCAGCAGGGGTGGCAGCAGCAGTAGTAGCAGCAGCGGTGGTCGTGTTCTGTGCAACAGACAAAGAGGTCAAAGGAGTGACACGAGCAGGTCCGGAAACACCAGCAGAGGTGGCGTTCTGAGCAATGACAGACGAGGTGGACAGAGTAGTCTGAGCAGCAGCGGCGGTAGTGGTACTGTTGAAAGCAACGACGGAAGAGGAGGAAGTCGTCATAGCAGCAGTAGTAGCGACAGTGGTGTTGTTACCGACAACGGAAGCGGTAGCAGCAGCAGAGGTGATCGTAACGGAGGAGGAAATGCTGCTGGCAGACGCAACAGCCTCGACAGGCGAGACAGCCATCAAGACGATAGCAGTGCATCCTACCTCCTGAGAAGAAGCAACCAAGCTATTGTCGCAAACAGACCACAAAGCGGCTTCGTTCGTAGCATCATAGTAACACTCAATCAAACCAGAGTCCTCAACAACCCAGGTGCAGACGTCAGAAGCACGCTTCTTCATGGCACCAGCGGAAGAAACAAAGTAAACATAGCCAGGCTCACCGGATTCAACCTCGAGGGTAGCGTTGGGCGAGGACATGACACCATCAGAGGACAAAGAGAACACAGGGGAAGCAACGGAAGCATCCGCAGCAGACTCGAACGCGGCCAGCGAGTTAGAGTCCGCAACGAGGACGTTCTTGTTGCCGTCAGCATCAAAGTAGGCGATAGAGAAACCAGAAGTAGCAGTAGGCTGAGCGGCAGCGAGAGCAGCAGCGGTGGAAGCAGCTACAGTCTGGTTCACCGTAGCGGTACTGACGAAAGTGTAGGTGAAGGTCGTACCATCAGCGGTAACGGTGCTCGTGACGGTCGTGGGCTCGGCAGAGGCAGTCACAGTGACGGGGGAAGCAATAACCTCCGTGGAAGTGACGGTAGCAGTGACCGAGGTGGTAAGAGTAGTGGTACCCTCAGTGATTGTAACCGGCAACAGCGTCTCAACAACGACGATGGTCTCAGTGGGAGCCGGAGAAGCGGCAGCCGTGATAGTGGAGACATAAGTCTGGTAGATGGTCGTAGCATAGTTGTTGATAATGTAGATGGTCGTACCAACGTTGCTCAAAGTCGTGGTGGTAGCTTCGACGGCGGCGACAGCGGTGGAAGCAGACGCGGCAAGGTGAACAGCAGAACCAGTCGCTGTGGTGGTAGGTTCCAAAACGGACGTAATCGTGGTGGTGTAGGTAACCGTCTTGGTCACGTACGAGGTGGAAGACCACGAAAGGGTCGTAGGAACAGCAGTCACGGCGATGGTAGTGCTGTCGATAACAACAATGGTAGGCTGAGTCAACTCAGTCGAACGAGGAACCATGACAGTTTCCGTTGTCGTGCTGGTAGCAGCAGCGGCAACGACGACCTTGGTGACAGTAACACGGGAAACCTGGGCTGAAGTGGTGGTGAAGGGCACCACATCGATGGTTTCGTAGATGGTAGAGGTCTTGGCGTCAGCGGTAACAATCTTGGTCAAGACAGTCGGAGTAGCGTACGTGACGGGAACGTCAGATGTAGTAGCGGTCACGTAAACGAAAGTCGAGAGCGTAGTGTAGGCCGTACGGGTGATGGTAGACGTCGAGTCGACCTCGGCAGAGCTGGAAACGGAGGTAGCGGACGCAGACTCGGTAAAGCCAGCGTTCAACGCAGCACCGTTGATAGAGACGGCAGTGGAGGAGACGACATCGGAGGTTGCAATCTGGACAGGGTCCACGGCGACACCGTTATCAACGGTGGAGGTAGACGACGACCCACCAATAGTCTGAACGTAGGTGTAGGTGGTAGCTGAAGCGGACTCACCCATACCCACGGTGTAGGTAAGAGTCTTGGTGATGTAGCTGACGCTGTCATCGGCGGCAACAGTGGCAGCAGCGTCTACAGCCGCAGCCACAGCCGCAGTAGATGAAGACTCGTCGATGTCGTACGAGGTGACAGTGGTCCAAGGCGTGTTGGTCAACGTCAAGGTCGTAGTGCTGGAGGACTGGTAGGTGGTCGTAGTGTTGCTCCACTTGTAAGCCGGAACAGTGGTGTTGGAGGCCGCAATAGTAGCATTGACGGTAGAGTTTCCGTAGGGAGCACCGGCAGCGAGAGACGGCAAAGCGGTCTGGTTGTTGGTAGCCGTTGCATCGAGGATGACACCGGTGGAGTTGCTGTACTGAGCATTGCCGGCTGCGAACAGCGCGGACAACGCGGCCAAAGACTGGATCAACCTCATCTTGGCTAAGAGTTACTCGATTCGACTAGCGAAAGCAAGGTGTCCTCGGGGGTGTGCGATATAGGAAAACTCGTCAAGAGCTTCTTCGTAATTGAGAGTCGACCAGCGACTGAGAGTGAAGTGAAAGAGTTAAAAGAAACCGAAGTTCTTGAACGAAATGACCGTTGGTAACGAACGCAACGTTATTTACCCCGAATCAACCGGAAGTATGTGGTAAGGGAAAAGATAGGCCACGGCGGGTATGATGGCCCTATATAGTACTTAGCAGCATGGCGAGTATACAACGGTGCTTGGCGCAGCAGCAGACAAGACCGCCTCTTTGACCTGTGCAATGGACATTCCTCGACTATTGTGTTTGGCCGGTTTGTTGTTGTATTACTGCTTTTGAGTTTGGGCCTCCTAAATCTGCGGCGCTGGGGCAGATGGGGCCAGCTGGAGGAGGAAACGCGCGAATGGGCGGTGCTGCCCCGGCGAACGTAGACCGGCGTATATATGTACGATGGATTGGGATGTATCTGGGGCGTGTTTCCATGTGTTTTACACAGAGATCTACAGGCAGGGTCATTACGGTGATCGTTACGGGAGGCATGGGAACGGGACGTGCACAGGGTATGAGAAAGTTGAAAAAACTCCATTGTAACCCAACAGAAAGCACCGGTGCTAAACATGACGAGCACATGACGTTTCCTCCCCAAATCCCCTTTATTCCTACATTTACTCGGCAGCGGCGATAGCCCTGGTGTAGATCTGCTGAGCGTGGTGGGTGTCAACCTTCTTGATAACACCCTGCTCCTCGAGCTCCTTCAAAGCACGACGGGCGAGGGAACCGTTGATCTTGAGACGGTCGACGAGGACAGAGATGGAAACGAGACGGTAAGAGCCGACCTCCTTGAAGAGCTTGTCGTAGGTGGCCTGGTCTGTTTGAGCAATCGCGTCAGCATTGTACTCTTTCTCACACAGAACTCGAATTGTACTGACCAAGCATGACCTTGTTCTGGGCCTTGTCCTTGACCTTTCCCTTGGACCACTTCTTCTTCTTGGCAGCTTTGCCTCCTGCGGCTTGGACGGCGGCGGACTTGGCCTGTCATGACGTTATTAGTTGACCGTTCAACGTGCACATTCGTAGACGCTGTTCGACAAGGAGACGTGCTGGAGAGACCGAATCAACGAGACAGGACGTCGAAGGTTTGTCGCAGGCCGTTCCAATTGCTCCCACCGGCGCATCCGTCCGACATCGTCAACCCATCCATCTCCACCCGCGTCGAAAACACCGCCCAAACACAGTCGATCTCGTTGATCCGGCGAAACCCAGAACGTCTCCAGCGTCAAAGCAGCAAAATCGACTCACCATTTTGTTGAATCTGTCGCTGACAAAGTTTCGCTGCCCGCCGCGGTGTAGACGGCCTTTTCACGAAATCGCGCATGGCCACACTCGCCACACAGAACACCAAAGTAACGGCGACCGGTGAAACGAGATGGGAAGGGCTCTGATGTTTTCTTTCTTTAATACTCGAAGTAATTATTGCTCTATTGTCCAGTCAAGCCATGCATTTCAGCTGTCACCGTCCATGCATGTCTACGTTACCGTCTGGGGAAATAATTGTCTACCGGCATAGGGCAACCGAGTTCGAGAAGCTGGGCGAGTTCCTCGATCCGAAGTCAGTGCGCCGTGTAGCGATCATCGCCATGGCTTTCCTCGGCTGGGGCATCCTTGTAAGGCGCCCCGGCGTGCTCTTCGCCCGAGCAAGGGCTTTCCACTCGTCTCGCCCTGCCGCATTGCAGTCAGAGCTTCGAGTTCTCGCAGCGGAATCGCCAGACGCAAAGCCGGCACTCATCTTGCAATGTAGTACACGACAATACATATTCAACTGCGGCGAAGGTACTTCACGTTCAACAGTGGGGAAAACAATTAGCTTGACGACGGCGAATAATCTCTTTTTCACCCACGCAGGATGGGACCGAGTGGGAGGATTACCCGGGTTCCTGATGACCATTACAGAGGCAGGAAATAAGGAGATTACCTTGCACGGCCCCAAAAATCTGACGCACGTCCTGGCAGCAACTCGCGGATTCGTTTTCAGGACGGGTTCGAACGTGCAGGTCAATGAATACAATGATGACCAACCAGAGCCGTTTTCGGACCAATTTGTCAAGATTACGCCCGTGGTTATCCACCCTGAAAATGACGGAGCAAGTACAGGGTCTCACGATTGTTCCGCCGGTACGTCACGCAGGCTTAGGGTGAACGCGACGGAGGTCGTGCGGAATATGTTCCCCCCGAGTAAGATATGGGTGGAAAAGGGACCCGATGTAGATCCAACTTACAAAGGCAACACACGGAATCGAGATCTTGAACAAACGTCAAAAGATCATTCCCGTGTTGCGTATGTCATTGAACACCATGATATACCGGGCAAGTTTGACGGAGAGTTGGCCGATAGCTTGGGTGTGCCAGGCAAAATTCGCAGAGACCTGTTACGGGGAGAAAGTATCACATTCATCAGCACGGTTACAAACGAATCTGTTACGGTGCATCCACACCAGGTCGTGGGACCCCCGCGCAAGGGTCAAATTATTGTGATTCTTGACGTCCCTTCGATCAAGTACTTTTCCTCGCTGATGTCTAGTCCCGAGCTTGCTTCACTGAAGGAGAAGAAAGAGAACGTTGCATGCGTTGTGCATCTTTTGGGCTCAAAAGAAGTTTTGACAAATCCCGAGTATATTGCTTGGGTCCGCAACACCTATGGGCCGGAGACTCAGCACCTCGTTTCCTGCCCCGACTACCCCACCAACTGCGTCAACTTTTTCGCAGCGACAGCGGCTTCGGTGAGGAATTCTGTAATCGACCAGAATATTTTCCCTGTGCCGTGGTATGACGATACTCCACCAAAGCCCATCTCTTGGGAAGGCTGTAAAACGGAAACTTTAGTGTCTGACCAAGTCTACCGTATTTATCCCATACCCGAATGGGACTTCAACAAATATCCCTATTTCCGACGCATTCCACCGCGGGGACGTCAGGGCAACCTTGAGAAGGCCCGAAGGCTGTACGAAGACTTGGTCGCCAGGGAACAAACCCGAATGCAAGCCGACCATGACAAGGAGCCCGGCACGGATGTCGAAATTGTCACTCTTGGTACAGGAAGTCAAAAGCCGGCGTTAACTCGAAACGTATCAGCTACTTTGATCACGAGCGAGCAGGGCAATTACTTGCTTGATTGTGGCGAGGGAACCCTGGGTCAGCTTACGCGTTTATACGGACCTGAAGAACTCCGGAAAATCCTACGTGAGCTACGATTTATTTTTATATCCCACGAACACGGCGACCACCAGCTTGGTTTGATCGGTCTGCTGAGGGCGGTCCACGCTGTCAAGGACCGCAACGATCCTAATCGGCTGCTGTTGATTACTCCACCACAGCATCTCCGGTGGCTCCGCGAGATTTCACAAGTTAGCGAATTTGGACTGAGCAGGTTCGACTTGGCAACGTGTCATGAGTTTTTACCGAATGAAACATCTAAACCTAAGTCGTTCAGTGGTACAAAAGCTCTTGCACTGGTTGAGACCTGCTATGCACGGCACTCCTATTCGTCGTTCTGTATCGCTTTGACGCATCCTTCTGGGTGGAAGATTGCGTATTCTGGCGATACACGTCCTTCAGACAACCTTGTTAGAATCGGACGGAATGCGACAGTCCTACTCCATGAGGCAACATTTGATGACTCCAGAAAGGCGGAGGCCGCCATGAAGAAGCACTCAACGACGTCAGAGGCCATCATGGTTGGCAAGGACATGAATGCCCGGTTTACCATTCTCACGCATTTCTCGCAACGCTACCCGATATTTCCGCAGTCTACCAAGTTAGCGAATGTGGGCATTGCGCATGATCTAATGAAGGTCAGGTTGACAGAGCTTTGGAAACTGCCGCACGTTGGAAGAGCTATGATGAAGCTTGGGTTTGTGTCACCGCACGAGGAAGGAGAAGAAGAGGAAGCCAGAAAAGCCTTTGCGGAGGAGGCAAGAGACTAAATAGGAAGATGAAACTCCCCACCGTCAACGCATCTTGAGCAGAACGCTTCGATGATGCAATACCGCTATTGCAATGGGCCGAGGCAACAGTAAAATTCAGCCGCCATCAAACGCTCAGACGTGATGCCAGCTCTTGCAAAAATAGACGAGGGTTAAAAATACACTGGACTCGAACGCTCCTTCTCAGATGGAACCTTATTCTTTCGCAAGGCCGGCCTTTTGCGTAGGCTTCTGTCCCTCTTCCACCAGTGCACCAACGACCTGGTACTTGTTCTTGAAGTGTGCTTCCCAGTCAATCAATGCAGTTTCCTCCTCTTCCGTCAGATCCTCCAGCTTGTCGATGGGCTCCTCCATGGGTGTGAGCATATCTGGGAATCTTCCGTCAGCACAGTAAATATATTATTGCTCTGGGGAACACGTACCTTCTTCAAAGCTCCCCTTTGCCAACCCTCTACTTGCGTCCCTCCCGGCAAAGTTCCCATAAGGTCCTTGAGGTCCGTAGAACTGCTTCCCAATGCTGACATCAAATACATTCCCCCTGATGGCCATGAGAATCTTCTTGTCTTCAACGCCATTGAACTTCTTAAGCTCCTTGGGCGTATAGTAAGTGAACACTTCGGGTGTGACAGGCGCCGGCGGAAGAGGAGCCTTGCGAGGACGGAGCTGGTAGTAGGCAAGCGCGAAAGCAAGGAGGAGGAGGAAGACGTTTCGAGGATTCGCACCGAAAGCAGGCGCAACTTCTGGCTGTGGTACTGATTCCATTTTGCGAAATGGTGGTGATGGTCGATGCTGGTCGTTGACGCCTGTTGGACCCGGACAGACCGAATTCGGAAATCGGTTCAACGTTACATCCCGCCCCACGACCGACGACTCTTCCCCCGGAGGTTTATATGAGATTAGGGGACGTCCAAATGTTTGGTAAAGGACTAGGGAATATCGCAGAGTACATCAGTTTTACAGCACGCTCCATTGGGAACATCTTGAAATCCAGAGGAATGAGGTTGTAAAAGTACACAGTCGTATCCATAATCATACACACCGAGCTTCCAACGTCGTTCAAAACGCCTTAGATATGTCCCTCAGGGTGCTTCGTCAACTCCTTTGCCACCGATATAACTCCGCCCAAACCGTATCGTACCAGAGAATCACCAGCCAACGCCCCACAAACCCAAACGCCATTTGCCAATTCCCATCCCCTTTCCAAAATCTCTTGCTTGAAACCATCCCGTCCAATCCACCCCTCCGGATCTATTACTCCCATTTCATCCCGCAATGACGGCGAAAGCCAATTCATCTTTATTCTCCGGCCGGTGAAAGGTTTGATCGCCTCCACAAGTCTCGTAGTATGTTGTCCATTCTGCAATCGTATCGTACATCCCAATCCTTCATTCACCTCTTTCACAAGAAGAACTTCGCCGTTTGCAATTCCTTCATAGGGTCCAGTAGCACCATGTCCCGTAGCAAAGTATTTCATATGCTGATATAGACGCGAGTATTCGGGATATGCTTCTGGATGGCACGCTTTTAACGGACTCGGCCTGTTGAGTGGATCCCAATAGTACATATGGACCAACGGCCGATTTAGGGGCAGGGTGGTGATATAATCCGCTGCAGAGAATCCCGACCCGATTACCAGGACTGGCAACGGAGGTAAGGTTGGAGTCGGAGGCAGAGTAAGCGCAACGCCGCTGTCGGAAGAAGTGTCCGGGGGATATTCGTCTGCAGGGCCATACGAGGCGGAAGCCAGTTCGGAGAGGATGGCAGAATCATATAGAGTACGACCACGGGGTCTATCAGCGTCATTATCGACGTACGGCGCAACGGTATCCGGTGGTGGACAGGGATGTGAAAAGAGACCCGACGCTAGCACTATATGTTGACACCGGATCAGATCCACCTTCTCTCCGCATTGTACAGATACCAAGAAGCCAGCACCATCATCCCGGACGATGTTGGTCACAGTAAGCCTGGAAAAGACGTTCTCTTCAATACCAACTTTCTGCGGATACATCGAATAGTACCGTGCCACATCGCTCCTTCGTGGTCGCATGAAGCGCGGCATCTCAGCTTCGATATGCGTTTCGTAAAAGTGACGAAAAGAAAATCCGGGCAGCGAGAGTGTCTCTGCATAACTCAGCGTGTGCGCATCATCACCCTTCTCCTCATACCCGTCCAATACGTCACTCCACTGGCCCCCTGGTAGTGTACTGCATCCAACGACGACATGATCCATCTTGTATCCTGGATCGTACTGATATCGTACCCGCGTGCCGGTTGCAACGGGATCAAAGTCGATGTCGACATTCGGCTGACTCAGGGCGTCCACGAGGACGTTGGCCTTGTGGGCCGTCGATGAATACGAGATACTCGAACCGAAATGGGCCGTTAACGCGGGGAGATCATCCATTGCGTCGTACAGAGGTTGATCCTTGGATGCATCGAGCTTCGTGTGTAGCAGGCGATCAGGATGAGGTCCATTCGTGTCTGGGTCATAGTACGGTAAGTTTCCGTTCAGAAGAAACGACAGGTAGAGCGCCGATGGTCCCGAGCCTGTAGTGACGATGTCAGTACACGGTGGTCAGATGTGAAAGACCGCGAAACAGTCTCACCGACGACGAGGGTGTGGACAGAGGCCGGTAGCCGGCGAAAGGAACAGTCATGATCTGGAGGCATAACAGTCGTAAGAGAACAGAATGGATGCGAATCTACTCCATGGTCTGGTCTTTTTTTTATTCTGATCTGGTGGTTTCGTACGAAATCGAGTGGTAAGATCCGCAACCCGCGCTGCACTCCGCACAAAACCTCTCCCGCTTGTGCGATTTTGCGCAGGCCAGGCTGATATCGCGGGAGTTGATTGATTTTGCGTTCAAGGAAACAATTCTAGATATTCATAAGAGGGTATCGTTCACGGTGATGTCGACATGTCGGTGTTGTCGCGGAGCTCGAGCTTGGGAGGATACGTGCAACGTTAACGTTGACAGCTGCCTTGTCGTAATGGGTGGAAATATATATAAGCGACAAGCCGATATCGGGCTGAAAACCGCACCGACGAGAAACCGCTCCATGACCGTCAACGTGCTCTTATAAGAGAACTCGACCACTCGAAGACGATGAGAGTAACTGTACGGCTCCCATCATGGCTGCCCCATGCAAAGCAGCGGCTGTCGACCTCGAAGAAAAGGCACAGTTAAGCCAAGAGACCGCTATCGATATCGTCAAACCGCATTCCGTATTCAGCGATCGTGCAAAGAAAGCAATCATCTTCACAGCCTCCATGGGCGCATTCTTCTCGCCGTTGTCAGCAAACATATACATGCCAGCTCTGACGACCATCGCAAATGATCTGAACATCAGTAACAGTCAAATCAACCTGACCGTAACGACCTACCTCATCTTCCAGGGTATTGCACCTTCGTTCATCGGTAACTTTTCGGACACTACTGGAAGGAGGCCTGCCTATATCGTTTGTTTTACAATCTACATTATCGCCAACATCGCACTTGCGCTCAACAATTCTTATGCCGGTCTACTTGCCCTGCGCTGCTTACAGTCTTCCGGATCGTCTGGTACTGTAGCTCTGGCCACTGCCGTCGTGGCCGACGTTTTGACGTCTTCCGAGAGAGGAACGTACGTGGGCTACGCAAGCATGCCATCTATCCTCGGACCAGCTCTCAGTCCCATTCTCGGAGGCGTGATCAGCGCCAAGCTCGGCTGGCACTGGATCTTTTGGTTTTTGCTCATTTTCACTGCGGCCTATCTCGTCCCGTTCTTGATGTTCTTCCCTGAGACGTGTAGGAAGGTCGTGGATGATGGGAGTGTGTTGCCGCCACCATCGAGCTGGAGCTTGCTGAACGTCATGGAACAGCGGAAAGCGAGAAGGGAGAGTACGAACGCGGCCGTGCTGAAAGCTCGGATCCGAAAGCCGAGTTTGCCCAATCCATTGGCCACGCTTGTTATTGTCACAGATAAAGAAGCGGCACTTCTTCTCATCTCAAACGGACTACTTTACGCATGCTATTCCGCCATTAACGTCAGCACAACAAGCCAGTTTGAGAAAATTTACGGATTTAACAGCATACAAATCTCTCTCATGTACCTCCCCATCTGCGGCGGCTCCATCCTTTCAGTCATTACTACTGGCCGATTTCTGAACTGGAACTACAGAAGACACGCCCAACGCTTGGGAATTACAATTGATCACAAGCGCCAGCAAGACTTGACAAACTTTCCTATCGAGCGGGCACGCTTGGAGGTGGCCATGCCTGTTCTCTATCTTGCTGCGGTGACCATTATCGCCTACGGCTGGGTCATGAGTGCGCATGTCAACATTGCCGGTCCGTGCATTCTTCTCTTCCTCATCGGTTACGCTCTCATCGCCGGGAACAACTGTACGAGTATCCTCATGGTGGATTATTATCGCCATAAACCAGCAACGGCTACGGCGGCTAATAACCTGGTGAGATGTTTGATGGGGGCAGCAGCCACGGCGGTCATCAACCCCATGATTGAAGCGATGGGTATTGGATGGGCAATCACCATGATCGGATTACTCTGGATTGCAGTCACACCGCTGTTGTGGATGTTGATGAGGTGGGGTCCGAGATGGCGGGAGGAGAAGACGGAGAAGCCGAGGCGTAGGAACGACAGCGAAGGGGAAGACAAGAAATGATATGTGAGCTGCATTGCAATAACTGAACATGACGACGAGAACTGACAAATGCACGACAAGCAAGCGCTACAATGGTGGCGGTAGCTGCGTCACCGTTACGTCTATTTCTGTGTACGCTGCACCTCGTAAGTCGCAATAGCTGTAGATGAGTACATGCCATAGCTGCGACGTTCCGTCGGGCCTGCAGAAGAGAGCTATATACCGGTAGATCAAATAATCTTTATCGTTCCAAAATATGATCAAAATAAATTTGGTAATGCAGCGGAGGTACTACGTAGACCTGCCTCGTCCTTTCAGGGTTAGGTTGACTAGCGCACGTATCCGTATTCGGGCCACCACAGAGGTCACACGGCCGATACGTCGATACGTCGGTAATTCAAAAACCGTGGAGAGTTCGCCTGTCATATAAAAGGCATGTCCTTCCCAGTCATTCAGTCGGCGGGCATCATCTTGCCACAGCCAGCATGGACGTCACGATTCATACTGCTGCGAATGGCTCAGTCATCGACATCGAATACTATCAGTATGAGCCTTCAGCAGGCGCAGCATGGACATTCGTGGTACTCTTTGGGCTCGCTACTGTTTTCCATGTTGTTTTGTTGTTTATCATTCGCGCCTGGTACTTCATTCCTCTCATTATCGGAGGCGTATGTGAGTGATCCACCACCATCCTCTCCCAAAACCCCTTTTCACGCGAAGTCCAGGTGAAACCTTTGGATATTTCGGACGGGCTTGGTCGCATCGTGAACCAAACTCGATCAAACCATGGGTCACGCAAGAACTCCTCATCCTCTGCGCTCCTCCTCTCGTAGCCGCAACTGTTTACATGATCTTGAGCCGACTTGTGCGCGCTCTCCAAGCCGAACCCCATTCTATGATCCGACCTGCACGAATTACGTTCATATTTGTCTTTAACGATGTCGTTACATTACTTACACAAATTGCCGGCGCAGGCGTCCAAGTCACCGGAGATCAACACGTTATGAACATCGGGAAAAAAGCGGTGATAGCTGGACTGATGATCGGCATATTTGTCTTTGCCCTCTTCATCTTGCTGACGAGCAAGGTTCATGTCCGGTTGAAAAAGCATTCTACACCCGTCCTGAAGCAGAATCCGCATTTACGATGGAAGCGATACATGTGGATGCTGTACATTGTAAGTGTCGCGATCATGGCCCGAAATGTGGTTCGAATTGTCCATTTCGCAGAGGGCAGTGAAGGTTGGGTTTCGAGACATGAGGCAATGATCTATGTATTCGATGCGTTCTTGATGTTCCTGGTCCTGGCAGTTCTAATTGTTCTTCACCCTCAAGTCATAATTAGGAGGACTCGTCGTTTAGCTGAAGAAGTGGAGCGGTAGGAATTCTCTGGCGATACAGCCGCGTTGGGTGTCGTCGAGGCGGACAACATACCCCTCACAGAGAATGAGAGTCAGGGAGACCGTTCAAAGTTTAGGTAGATACTAAAACATGACTCTACCTTCATATCGAGCAATGCAACGTTCACGTCGTTAACTATCCTACCTCCTCAATTGGCCACTCTATAGAAGCGCGGTCTTCTTCGCACAAGCACTCATACACTTCGCTCAGGATATGCTCAGCCCAGCCAGCGAAAATCCAAACCTCGCCAAGTTCATGCTTCATCAAGACCAGAAAATGTGCTAAAACTACTAGAGGTGCTACTTGCCGCTCTTCCAACGCCTGGGAGAACTCCGGCGGGAGGCTGTACGTCCACTTGAAAAGAATATGTGCAAAACGATTGTTGTTATCCGTGCCAGCAATGCCATCGCAGATGGCAGTGAATGATTCGGTTAGACTGTCAACCGCGCTGAGATATACAGAGAGAGACGGGTCGTGGGTAGCTCGGGAGATCACAAATTCTCGGAGCAGCTCCATTTTCTCTCGATACGGTAGCGAATTCATCTCCTCGGGCTCCTTTGGTGTCAAAGCCTCGCCCTGAACTATTGGCGCAAGGAGACCCGAGTGAAACTGATCCTCTTTGAACTCGATAACTGACCGCACTCCTCGTAGTAGCGTAAGCCAAGACACATGCTCTGCCTCACCAAAAAAGAGGTAATCTCCTGGACGAGGTCCCCTGGCAAAGGATATGAAACACAGAAGGACCGAGGAAACCCAGACAGCGTCGCAATTATCAGCTGTGAGGTTTGATAGTGAAAGCATCACTGATTGCAAGCCGGACGTGTGACGGTGGTCGGCTTGTGCGGTATACGATTTACATCGATCGGGATGTAAATGAGCAAGGTGTAAAGCGGAAAGAGCGAGAATAAGATGCAGTAAGAACGGCGAGTTATGACCCATTTTGGGTACGTCAATTTTCCAGAATCTTGATCTGCCATCCTTCCCGCTGAAAGTGAGAGCGGTTGAGGTGATGAAGTGGTGCTGCAGCTGGAGGTCGGAGAAGGAGAAGCCTGGAATACCGAGGACTTCCGCCGGGGCCGAAGTACAAGATGGGCATGTTTGTACTCTCGCGTATGGGATCGTAGACCTCTGGAACGGATATAAGATGATCCTGCGACCTGGTTGGCTATTGTCTGATCCGGTACGAGGTAGACCCACGGCAGTCGCAGGCGACTCGACGCTGGCGGAAGCCGTGACAGTGTAGTCGCAAGTAATCATGTGATTGTAGCAGTTTGCGCATTCCGGTTTTGTTTCGTCACACTGTTCAGCGTCGAATCAGCAAGATGGTCTCGCAGCTCGTCGTATGGGATCAACCTTGATGTGCCGTCTCTTACAGTTGATACAACCCAACCGCGACTTGCGATGCGACCGTCGTCCAGCGACGATGTTGAATCGTTTCTCCATAGCTTCCAAACAGTAAGTTGTCTGTTACCCACATATTGGCCGAGCTGCCCAGGTATTCAGAGTTCTCGATACCGGTAGACGTCGGTCCGATCTCGGCGCGAAACTCCGAGTGAGCGCCGACGTTGACCGAAGAAACCTGAACACCAACAGATCAAATCCATAGGTTTCGTTTGAATACGATGACTGGTTGAAAGAAATGGCATGCTCCAATTGCAGGCAATCGAAGGTTCGAGTGCGCTTTACCGATCTGTTATACCGTTTTCTGACGATCGTCTGTCGAAGGTGCGGTGTGATTCTGCCGGTGATGGCAAGTCCTGCTCGAGATGCAACCGTCTCCAATCGAAATGCGAAACGGTAGCCGGTTTCAGGAGAGTGAGCCGGGTTCAGAAAGTTGCCGAGTTGGAACGTCAAGTGCAGCATCTGGCAACCATTGTAGCGCAGCAGCACAGTGAACGCACGACAACACCGGCGGCCGCGGACAGGCCGACATCGCTGCCGGCCCCAACGCCCCAGCTGTTATCAGCAACTTCCGTACGGTCAGAACCACCCAACGGGCCTTCACCGCAATCGCTTTTGACCTCGCTTCCGGCGCCCGCAATAGCACGGTCCATCGAAGGGATCGAAATCAGCTCCGAGCGTATTCATTCGTTCTTCCAGACGTATGATGCTCTCTCTGTGGATACTCTATGGGCTACGTACTGAGCGCTCTGCAGGTTCTTCACGTTCTACCATCCCTTTCTCCCCTTTCTTGATCCGTCGTTCTCCGCGGACGCCTACTATGCATTGTCGCAACCTCTGTTCTGGGCAATTATTGCCGTCGCAGCTCAACGAGACCAGACTACGCCCTCCATCATCACCTCAATCGCACCGCATGTGGTCAACCTCGCATGGAATACATGTATGAGCCCTTCTCCGCCGACATGCGCCAATATCCAGGCTTTGCTGTTGTTGAATCTCTGGCCATACTGGCCGTACAGACCGTGGAAGGAACATGCCTATCTGTTTGCGAATGTAGCTATCAACTGTGCCATACGAATTGGACTTCACCGACCAGGCAATCCGGGAGACTTTAGAAGGATGGGGAATGAGGTGATCGGTGGGGCAGATTTCGGTGAAAGGTTACGGACATGGGTGGCATGTAACATTGTCGGTGAACTGTATGTCTTTGGAGAGATCGCAAGTCCCTTCGCTAACCCACTCTCAGCGTCGCGTCTGATCTCGGCCATCCTCCCTTGACATCCCTTTTCGATTGGACAGTTCAACGTGTCTGTACGCCTGCTTCGCCTGAAGCGTCACTCATTCCTAGAGATATAAGGCACATGCTCTTGATTATGCGTTTCAGTAACCGCGTATCAAAGACAATGTTCAGCAACCTTGCGGATCCTTTCGGTTTTCCTTGCGAAACCGAATGGCCGGCGTTGATGAACCTACTCGAAGACGAAGCGCATAATCTGGAGGCAACATTGAAGGAGGAACCTCTTTCGCATTGGACAAGGATCATCTTTCATAGCGCGCGATTGTATCTTCATGCGTTCAGCCTTCTTTCTCCTCCATCCTCGCCTCGCAGGACCGAGGCTCTGTTGAAAGCTCATGCCGCAGCAGCACAGTATATCTCCACAGGTATCACTATGACTACGGATAGCAATCCGATGATAGAGCCTATGCTCTGTGCGCCGATGACAGTTCTCCGACGTGCGTCCGTCGCATCCTGTATATTGCTGCGTGTTCATTCTTCAAAGCTCGAAAGATACGTCGATGCCACGGCAGGTGAACTCTTCAACACTGCGTCGCAGATCGTCCGTCGATGTTCGTTTAAGTCGGGAGACGATCTGACCCGCCATGTGGATATGGTTGCACAACTCTGGCGGAAGCGTATTCCGTCGTCCACCGAAGCCAATGGCGAGAGCCCAGTGGGGAGAAGACTTGCGCAGTACGATGACGAAGACATCGTAATGAGAGTCAGGGGAAGAGGAGCAGTTAGTGTGATGTTCGATTGCCTCGCCTTGTGGAGGGACGATATCAGGGAACAGCAGCGGACGTCTGAAGTTGCGCAGCTGCCTACGGAGCCGCGTGAAGACTATATAGCCACAGGAGCGTCGACGTCGGACATGGAGACTGCGGAGCAGCTTTTATCGATGGGTAGCACGGCAGCACATGCAAATACGGTTGGGATGGTAGGTATGGATGATTGGCTATGGGATCTGGATTTCGACTTTGGTTTCGGAGATTTTACGAATATGGCGCACAATGGAGGATCGCTTTGACAGAAGGAGGGGTCAGCATATCAATACAGTGTTGAGGGTGACGGTAGTATCTACATGAGTTCGTAGGCATTGGCAGAAGATGGCGACGATTCCGCATACGTCACATGTTGGAGTGCACAAACGCATTGCGAGCAATTGAGGATGCGAACGCCGTACGAGCGAAACACAGTACGTCTTACCAAGATGCACCCCCATTTTGACGTTCTTTCGGTGCCCAATCCGGTAATTTAGCCCTGCCCGCGCGTGCGGCGAACGTGGAAACCGACCTGAAAACGCCCATTAAAAAAGGTGAAATCAGTAAAATTGACCCGGCAAATCTGTTCTTTTATATTTCAGGTTTATTCCTTTCATCTTTGAGCCCCCTCACACCTCAATTACGTGAGATATCCCCTACTCTAAGTCGACGTAGGGGTAGCACGAGCGCTCGCTGCCAGCCGGGCCTCTCCACCCTCCCCGGCCCACACCCCACCCAGACTGTTCTTGAAACCCGGGGAAGAGAATGTCGAGATTTGTTCATTACCATTCACGTACACACCTGCAATATCTCCCATGTTTTTTACCCTCTCGTCCTCAATCTTTTCCCTCCCGTCTTCACCCTTTTCCCAGAGTTGTGTACCTGAATGTGCCGCCGTCGGCGCTTTCATTCATTACCTTTCCATTTCCGGCGTTTGTAAACAAAGAGCATGTCACCCGACAACGTCGCAACAACCCATTTCATCGCGTCTCCCTTCTTGTGCTACTATTCATGTACACACCTGCAATATCTCCCATGTTTTTTACCCTCCTGTCTTCAACCTTTTCCCTAGGGTTAGGGTTAGGGTTAGGGTTAGGGTTAGGGTTAGGGTTAGGGTTAGGGTTAGGGTTAGGGTTAGGGTTAGGGTTAGGGTTAGGGTTAGGGTTAGGGTTAGGGTTAGGGTTAGGG